TTATTAATACTTTAAGATTAAACTTATATCCTTAATATAGTATTATGCACTTTTTTAATTTACCTTCTATTAAATTTATTATAGATTAAACTATTAGGTGCTTTTAGTACTTTAATTAAAATTATATAATTATTACTTATATTTACTTAGTAATTAATAATTAAAATAATATTCAGTAGTCTAAATCTAATAAGAAAATAGTTATAAGTATACTCTGTAACTTAAATTTAGTAATATTTAAATTTATAATTAAAAGCTCTAATAAAATTTCTATTAGTAACCTTATTATATAAAATAATGTTCTTTACTAGCTAAGATCTAATAAAACTCTCTTATCTTCTAATAATATTAATAATAAAGATATTATTGCTGCTATTTAGAAATTATTTATTAAGGAGATAGATGTAATAGATACCTCTAAAATTTAAATTATATTTTAATATTTCCTATTTTTTATTTATATCACTCAGTTTATTATTTGGTTTATTACTTAGTTTAACTAGAATAGATATCTTTTAGTATATTATGATTTTCTCTAGATAAAAAATAACAATTCTTATATTCTTAATAAGTATCTCTATAAGGGATATTAAGAAATAGGATTTATATATTTAGAATTCTTTTTCTAGTTATCCTGCTATTAATATATATTTTTATATCTAGTAATAAATTTAACAATTATAAACTTCTAGCTATAGGATATTATAGTATCTATAAGAGAATTTATATGATTATTATAGTAAATAATAGAGATTGCTTATATATAATTAAATAATTAACTTATTGCAGTAATTATATATAATTATTTAATTAATACTAAGTTATTTATAGCTAAGTGGGGTGATCTAACTATATTTCTAACTAGTTTAATATCTTTTTATTAATTTTTTTCTTTATAATCTTATATATTCTAGTATTATATTAGATTACTTAGAGATTAATCTTCTTTCTTATAAAGAATAAATTATTAATTTATATAAAAATAGCTACTCTGTAAAATTAATATTAGAATTTCTTATAAATTATTATAAGATCTTTATTAAGAATTGCACTCTTCATTGTTGATTATAAGAATAGAATATTTGTTATTTAAAATATGTATATAAAGATTCTCCTTATTTATATATCTGGATTATTATTTTATTCTTTCAAGTATATTTAATAAATAAGGAAATAATTATTATATTAAAGAATAAAGACTTCTAGGTAAATTAATAGGTAATATAGTGAATTTATCTTAAAATAAGTATATATTATTTATTTAATGTACACATATATGCAGAGATAGATAATAAACTATATCTTATTATATAAACTAAATTTAATAGTAGAAGTATTAATAGGTTTAGCTATAAAATACTATATATACATTTTTACTTTAAGATATATATTATCTCTAGGTATTATTTTTTTAAACTCTTTAACACCTTATAATTGATTTAATATATAGAGATTATCTATTTTCTTTTATTAAAGAGATTAACTCTATTAATATTTAGAGAAGATAGAATAACCTATAGTAAGTTTATTAGATATTTATCATATCAGATCTAAACTATATTTAGTTGATTGATAGCCATAATAAATTATAACTATAGGATATTAAGATTTACACTGTAATTAATACTTATTTATATTATATTATTTAGATATATATTAATATTAGTAATCACACAGCTATTAACACTCTTCACTAATTCCTTAATATAATTAAAGATATAGATATTTAACTTATAAAGATTAGATTAGATTAGAAGATAGAGACTTTACTTCTTATAAGTACATATTTTACTTTATAAAAACAACAAGACTATAATTTTTCCTTTAATAACTATTATTAGTTTAGGATAAATATATTAAATTAATATATTAAAAATTAGTAGAAATAGCTATTAAAAGATCTTTTATTCTTATAATAAATGAGTAATTAGATTTTTAAATTATATAATAGCACTAATACTTACTTAAAATAAGAATTTTTTACTGAAATCTAAGAATAAGACTTATATATTAAAAGCCAGATTATAGACTGTATTATACTTCTTGCTATTTATATTCTTATACTTAGGTAGGAAATTCATTATTTTATCTAAAAATAGAATATTCATAAGATACATCTATAGAAAGATTAAGAATATCTACTAATAGGAAAGCTTTATATAATATATTATTATCATCTACATATTATAGATAATTTTAGAATAATATTAAATCTAAATCTTTTAAAAAAGTTACAGCAGAGAATAAATAATTAGAATATAATAATTTTCAAAGATTATTTAATATAAGCTAACCTTAATTATAAATATTAATAAATATTTACTAGTTAAAATTATTAACCTTTATAATTTAATATTACAAAATAATAAATACTTTTTAAATATATTACAAGAAAATTGCCTGCTAGATGATAGTTATATATATTGTTAAGCATATTAATAATTACAACAAGGCTTATAGAATCACTTCAATATATAGAAGAAACCTAAGCTAGTAAAATTATTAAGACTAATAAACACTTAAAAATAATATAATAAGAAGCTTAAGACTTACTATTAGACTATAAAAGAATATTTTAATACTATAAACTATATAATATTTATTCAGGATAAAATAAAGAAGAATCAATTATAGTAATTAAATAAAAAATACCTCACAATATTAATAAATATATAAATATAAAAAAGATTTCTAATTAAGAAAAGTCTAATCAATGAAGATAAATTTTCTTATTTAGTTATCTTCTTATAATATATCTAGAAAGCTAATACATCTAATAATAAATTCTTATTAGTATTAACAAAAGATTCCATATAATTAAGATAATCATCTTATATATCTAAATCCTTACTTTTTCTATTATCCTTTAGAATATTAAATAATCGCTTCTTATTTAATTAATTAAATAATATAGTATTTAATTCAAGCAATTTAATTTAGTTGATATTATTAGAGAGATTATTAAGATTATTATTAAAGATATCTATATAGTTATTATTATCAAATTTCTTAAAAATATCTTAAGTGTCACAAAATATATTAATATTAATAATTAAAAGCTTGAGTTTAATCTTTGTATTATCATTATTATTATTATTATTATTATCATTATTATAGGATTCCTCAACTTTTATTTCTAAAATATAAATCACTTTTTCTTTAATAGCTTTTATAAGAAATAGAAGTAGTATATTATTTATATTATTCTCATCTATCTTAATGCTAATATATAAATAAATTATAAATTAATAACTCTTATCTTTTTTTTTCTTTATTATTAAAAAATACTTCATTAAAATAGACTTTAGATTTATTATAATCTATATATTACTAGACAAAATAGTGAGAGATCTCTAACTTTTTTAGAATTATCTAGCTACTATAACTTCTTATATATCTAATGTCTTGTAAATATAAAATTATATATTAAAATTCTTTATAAATATCTCAATAAATTTATCTTTTATTTTAAAATAAATATTAACACTTAGATTAATTAAAGTAGATATTATATAAACTTAATTATAAAAAATTATCTGCTTCTTCTCTTTAAGTACTTCCTAATATAGCTAAATCATTATAAAAAGTATATAAGGAGCTAAAATAGAAGCAGCTTAATTACTATATATAGGACTGCTAATATTAAATATAAATATATTTTATTATATTTTAAAATTAGCCTTTTAATAATTATAACAAACAGCTTATTAATATTTTAATAGTAATTAATAAGATACTTAAAAGATATATAACCTAGGTCTAAGTAGATTACTTCTTAGAAAAAAGTCTCCTAAGAAATTAATTATAGAAGATAGCAGTATATTTATTTTAAAGATTAAATTTACTTAGCTATAGAAATCACAAGCTAGATATTTTATATATATTATATACTCATAATTTAAATTTTTAATATAAAAAGTAATCTATAATATTATTTAAAATAATTATAAATATAAAATAAGAAAGTAAATCAATAAGTTAAATATATAGAAACTTTATATTTAATAATATATATTAAACTTTTATTAGCAAGATAGATTATTAAGTAAAGAAGTAGTTTATTTTATTATAATATCTTATTTATTATTAACTAAGAACTAAGTTAATTAGAAATAATTAGTTAAATATCTAACTAATTAACCCCTATTAATTAGCTTACTAATTACTTATAATAATAAATTATCTTAGTAAAATTTCTTCTAAATAATTATCTTTAATTAAACAAATATAATATTCTTATATAAGAAATAAAAAAGAATTTTTTATATTATATATAAGAGAAGCAAAGAAGTAAAAAAGAGTTCTAGAATCCTTTTTACTTCTCTTTATTAAGATCTTAAGTTTATCTATTTACTAATAGAGGTATTTTTATACTATTAATATAATTATTATAGAAGGTTTTAATTGATTTGCACTTATATTATTACATAATCTTTATACATTATAGAATTTAGACTATAGTTCATAGTAAAATATAAGTTATGTATAAAATTCATTTTGGTAAGGTTGTACGAATAGGCTGCCGTATCCATCTTTAAACGATGACTTCTTGCCACATTGGGATTCTCTGGCCGGCTTTCATATTCCTCATCTTCTGCATGAATATATTCGAAGAATTCATTAATATTTCTCAAATTTTTCAAATTGTAGCACGCCTCCACTGGACGTGCGTACCACGGCGCTGGCAAGTTAGCCGAATAACCAGCCAGCCTAAAAATGTTGGATAAGCTGTACAGCCAACCAACATTGAAGACGCCGTTAGTGTAATATGAGGCCCTCAGCGAGCGAGGCCCGAGTACAATGCTTGATTTATAATCTCTTCCTTGAAATTCGCAGCTCACTACGTAACTGTCAATGAAGCCAATTATTAACCGCGATTTTCACCCTCTAGAATTTGTCCGTGGTGTTGGATAGAGAAGGCATATTTATTGATCTCACATATTTTCCAGTTGCGAAGCGAATAAGGCAAACAAGCGAATTTGTGCAGGTAGGTAAGCAATATGCTTGAGCTAATCATTCATCCTGGCCCTAAAACCCAAGCGATTGAATCGCCAATACCGGTCCCCAATGACGACCAGGTCGTCATCAAAGTCATAGTATCGGGCAGTAATCCCAAGGACTGGAAGCGGCCAGAGTGGTCAGACGTGCACATCAACCAAGGTGACGATATTGCTGGAATTGTCCACGCAGTGGGCAAAAATGTCAGCGAGTTCAAGGTACAAACATCCAACGATAAAATTATTTTGGGAAGGTCCTCGTGACAATAATCATTTGTAGTGGTCTATATACCACATAGTGAACGCATAGCTAACGCCAACAGCCGGGCGATAGAGTTGCGGCCTTTCATGAGATCATGCAGCCTGGAGGCAGTTACGCAGAGTACGCTTTGGCGTGGGCATCGACTACGTTTCATATACCCCAAAAGACGTGGTTTGAAGGTTGGTCTGTCTGATGTAAATGCTAGGGTTATTTACATCTAAAATTGTCGTTAATACCAGCTATATATAGAGGCAGCAACGATTCCGTGAGACTCACAGTTGTACAATCATTTCTGCCTCTGGTGCCTTTCTAACATTGACGCATTAGGCTTGCAGCGATGACCGCAGCTTTAGGCGTCTTCTCCCGTCGAACTACGTGGAATCTTTAATTGACCGTTCTAAAGGCGACATAATTGTCGACTATCGCCTTGGTGCAGACTCTCTGGTAGATCAGATACAAAGCTTTCTTCGAAAGCACAACTTTGAGAAGTTACAACACGTCTTCGATGCGGTTTGTGATCATGGAAGTCTCAAGAATATTCTACATGTTCTCGACCAAGAGCACGGAATAGTCGCGTGTGTTTTACCCCAGGCCGACTACCAGTTATCTTCTCTCTCCCCGGGGGTCAAGCTCTTGCAAACAAATGTTCGGAGTGTGCATGGCCAGCCAGGAAGTTTTCCCGGCGATCCAGATTTTGGGTTCGTTTACTTCAGGTATTTTTCCAGGGGTTTGACAGAGGGCTGGTTCTCAGGTCATCCCTACGAGGTTCGAGAGAATGGGTTGGACGGAGTTGAAGGCGCGTTGAGAGATCTGAAGGAAGGAAAGGCTAGCGCTGTGAAGTATGTCTTTCGTGTTGAGGATACACCGGCATTGAAGAAATAGGGTCAAGATTGCGGAGATCTGACAACTAATAACGGTACAATCTGTGTATACGAAATCTAGACTTGTCTACAAATGTAGCCGTAACCTGAAGCCATACGTACCGAGCATTCAATATCCGTTGATTTCACGGTTGACTTCAGGCACAATGATATCATGTTCAAGGTACATGAATATCTAGCGTCCCACCTCCATCTTTAAGTATTCATATATTCGAAATGCTACAAGAATTCATTCGTGACTTTTTATACCTCGATATCCTTATCGGTGCGTGTCTCCACAGTGCAGTTAAATAATTGGCTATACCGCAGTACGCTACTCCTAGTGAAGTATAGACAACCCACTTGCTCATTTTTGGCCAATAAGGACTCTTTTCGGTCTAATACCATGCCCCATATATATATTCTTTGGTATATATACGTCGCCTCGCCCTACCCTGATAGTCTCGTTCCCGAGCACCGGATTAGGTAGGAGATGGAAGTTCATGATAGGGGATTCGATCTAACAATCTGATTCTGAACAAGTAGAATTCACAAAAATAAACCAATGTCCAAATGTGAATGCTTAGAATCGTTAATAAACATTATAGAAATAAGGTGGGGTAACTCTGCGTTGTGTCAGATATACGCACGAAATATAAATTCAAGACTTATTCCTTGTCCCATAAAGATACATCCTTTGAATAGTGTCTATTTGAGCTCCTTTCCCCCCACTTGATCACAACTCCATCAATATGTTGGCTGAAATATGAGGAGTATTTGCCACAGCCACCCCCATCGCCTTGCGGAAGACCAATTGCGTAAATTTCATTTCCTCTCGACCTTTCCTTGTTGACAAGGACTGCGAGTGCAAGTGCCTGCGCAATAGAAAAGCTTCCTTCTTCTAAAATTGCGAGATCTGACAACTCACGTAGCCAGTTCTCCATCCATTGTCCGATGCAAGAATCATAGCACCGAGGAAGGCAAGCCATAAGAAGATTCGCTACTCCGATCGAATAGACATTCCTTTTTGCACATTCTCTCTTATCGAGACCCGCGACAATGCGACACAGGGTTCTCATCAAGAACGCGATTGTGTCACCTCTGGGCCTTGATTCAGCTTGTTTCGCAGCATGATGTTGAAGCCTGGTGAAACACCATGTACACTGCATAATGCGAGCAACAATATAGTAAGCGTAATTCGTCGCGTCATAATGTGAGCTGAAATGCATTCATCGAGTTTCCTCGACTTAGATTCCAAATAGCAATATATTCCTCAATCGTATTATAGGCAAGCCTTTGCATTTAATCTTGGTCTTCCCCAAGCTGCAAGAGGGCAATTGTGTTGATCCTTAAAGATTCACACATTATTGATGTTACTACCGTTCTTTTTGCATCGATGCAACGAACAATAGCAGCGGGGATGTCGTTGGTGCTAGGGCAATAGGAATGCAGGTTGTTTGGCACAACAAGGCCGGATTGGCACCATTGCCGGGCTCTTCACCTCTTGTTGAATCTCGATGTCTAGATGTTGCTCTGAAGGAATTTGTGTAAAGTGATCGATATAGTTAACAAGAGAAGAAGACAGGCAGTATGATTGGATGAATATTATTACAATGGATGGATGTAATTGGCTATTCTCCATCATAGCGGGTCAAGCCTAGTAAAAATAGACTCAAATAGTGCTTTTTGAAAACTTAGAGGGGCCAATCACAAACTCACCAAATGAGACACGTAATATGATTGGTTTATAGCCTCAGAGTTGGATAACATTCAGGGATATGCCTTCGAAAATAAGAGAAATCACTAAATAATGATCTCCTTGATTGCACATTACTCGTCATTTCCTCGACTATCATTGTATTGTGAGGCATTCTTGTTTTTGCTATATGTTCGGTTGCATCTAATTGGCCGGCCGGACAGGGATGCAAAAAGCAACGACCATGTTGCAAATTCTTCCGATAATATTGACCGTGCCACACAAGACCCTACTTGTACAAATCGTGCTTCATAGGCTTCTCGTTTTAATAACTTACAAGAGTTCTCGGTTTCAAAATTCATTGCTGAGGGGGATCGATGCAATGCATGTCACTATGGTAAGAGAACCACCTCCTCCTATATCTCGAAGAGTTTGTCGTGACTGATGAACCTTGGAAATATCTAGTGTAATCTTTACACAAGACTGATAACTCGCCATGCATGCAATACTGCAGCTTTGAGATGCATTTGTCTTTTCCAAGTCCCCCAAAAGTCTTCGATATCATTTCGGCGATGTCGTCTGTTTTCGTCTCGACTAGTGAATATGGCGCGGAATAAGAATTTGTTTACTGTTCAGGTGCAAGGACCGCTTACTAGTGACAAGGATAAAGTGGAAGCGATGCTGCGCTCACAACTGTGTAAAATTCCAAGCACCATTCAAAGTCTCAAGATCGAAGAGGATACTCCATCGGATTTGGAATGGTCCATCATCGGCGAGCACTTCTCTAATATCAGAGAGCTCGAGATGGATACAGGATATAACGAGGGATTCAACGATAGAAATCTGCCACTACATTGGCCTATTGAACGACTGTTGATATCCTCGGCCTGTGCAGAACGCGTACAAACCCGCTTTATCCTAGAGGGCAAAGTCAAGCACTTGACTCTACTGCTAACGTCGGGACTACGGTTTGAGGGGCCATCGAGCGAAGAATTACTGAGAGCTCATCATCAAGCTATTGACAGAGGGGAGAAAGAACCACGTTTTATGACACTACACAGAGGCACACCCGAAGAAAGGAAAATACAAGTATCTTTTCTTCCCGAACTCGTACTTGACTGGATGCATGATTACAACAGCAGATTTAGAACCACCAATGAGCGGACTGACTCTAGTCGTGGCGAGGTCCTGATCTCTGAGAAAATGGATCTGGGACGGCAAAAACTACTTCCAAAAGAAGTTTCTGTCAGTCTTGATAAATTGGAAACCCTAGAGAATGGCGCAATCGACACTTTTCATCGAATGACACTAGCCATTCCTCACGTTACCTTGAATGCGTCTATACTAAACCTTCGCTCCACAATTCGTCATGACCTGAGCTACACCAATGAGGAACTCTTCCCTCAGTTCCTTTGTCAGCTGGCTGAATTAAGGACATTAGTCCTGTCGGTTGGCGATATTTTCCAACGTTCTAGTCTACTACCGGAGCTATATCGACATTTCCCCCCAAACCTAACCACGTTAAGATTCAGAGGCCCCATTTCATTGGTTCAGTCAAATCAGTGGGACAATTGGTTACAAACGTTCGGATCATCAGACTATCTGCCGAATCTCAAGACATTGAGTTTCGTTCTAGATTTGCATTATGAGGACAAACGTCGGAGACCTGTTGATGCCCCTGATAAAATGTTACACGATGCTCGTTTGGCATGTGAAGAAATCTATACTGTCATGCGACGCAAAGGTGTCAGTGTTGAGCCTTTCTATGATCAATGGTCCGAGCGAGTAGAGAGTTTCAAACAACTAGATACACGATGGATTTAACTCATGTCGAAAGAGGATATTCATGCTGTCCTGCCAGCATGAACGAGACCCTGTCCTCATCGCTCTCCTATCAATTGTATAGTATCTGGATACCCCCCTCTTGAAAAGATTCGGCTTTTTTATCGTTATCTCTTTTGAGAGTCAGTTTCTCTAAGTCGTACCTGCTTAGCGATGTAAGATTAGTAAACCAAACTTTTAAAGTGCGTTGTATACTGAAGGGATTATTCGATTTTTCCAGGACACGTCTGTGGAGTGCAATAAGAACACAGCTGGAGTTCCTCAAAATAATCTGCCCAATAAGCAAAAACTTTCTCACACCCACATTCGTATTGCATGTTGTTCTCGGACGATACTTTTCAAGAGTATAAGCCTAAGTGTCTAGGTTACACTGAAAGTAGCTATTAACTGCGCTGCATGGCCACGGGTTTAGCAGGTGATGATGCCAAAAGGAGTTCATTGACTGAGCCTTCCTGCGAGCAGATGCATACTAGACTGGTTCAAAATTTTAGTCTTGCAGTAATAAATCCCCCTGTTTACGTGACATGTTACGAACTACACTTCTTGCATATGTAGGGCATTACAACTTACTTACTCTTCAAATTGTGATTATACTTGCATTCCGCCAGATCGACCTGGTCAACCTAATGAAGCTTCGAAGAAGGAAATTTACGCAGTCGAACTATTTTCCTTTCGAGCTGATTTTGTGACTTATCAGAGGCCGGTTTTCTTTTTCATAAAGATGAATTTCGGCATTGATCGACCTAGCATGATATTGAAACAGTACCGCCAGGCGCATAAATGCGTGACAAATGCTTTGGTATCGCTCAAAGCAACAATTGCCATATCATAGCTAACAAAGCGTGCCAAAACAGTATGCTTGCATAAGAATATAACGCGTGAGAGGTCATCTAGCTAGTTGATTGTGCCCATCAAGCATGAGAAAGCATGTCAATCACAATGACTATACCTTCTATGCAGGCTACTGCACACTTTATTCCTTGCAATGTGAGAAATTTTTTCCGATGAACGACGCCACCCCCGCTTCATAGAGCCATATACAAGCTCAGTTCAACCAACTTTCTGTGTAGTAATTAAAGTACGCAGACTTTGTAACTCTCGTAGGCTACAAGCGGTAAGGAAGAACCGAGCGACATAATAGCCAAATGATTATGGACCTTGAAAGTTCAAGGTTCAAGGTAGTCTATCTACTCTAAAAACTATATGATCACACACTATGCAGCCAGTCGCTTTTCTTACGCGGTTTGGCAATGTTACTGTTAGGGTCTCTATGACTTGGCTGGACTGTAGAGACCTACATGAACTATGCATGTGCATTGTCTGCAGAGGCTGACTGAATCAAACCTGTATGTCTTGCCGAATTGCTTTTTTCCCGGTGTTATTGTCGGCTGACCCTTGGAAAAAGAAAACAAAGATAATTGTTGGGCTCTCGTGTTTATAGTGACTAACCGCTACTCTAACGTGCCTTCTACAGTTGGGAATTGTTACCAAGCTAGACATTATAAATAAGGGAATATTGCCCACCATCGACGGCATTTACATAGCAATCATAATAGCATATATAACATATATAGCTTTTCGAGGGATCAACTACCTAAGCATTACAAACTAAAACCATGATGGATCTGTCTCACTATCTAACTTTAACTCTTACTACTTTGATCTTAACTGTCTATCCCAATGTTGCCACCGCGACCTGCTCGTGTTTATCTGATGCTGTATCATCAATCAGCGCAGATTCCTCCGCTGCTGCTTTCTGTTCTCAGTATGTTACTACCATCTGGGACTCAACGACCATTACAACACCCCTAGCAACCACGATCAGAACTCAGACTGTTTCTGCTTTGATCACAGTGACCACAACTGTCCTGAATGTAGGCAGTACAGTGAGTATTTGCTTCCACTGTCAAGCTAAGTGTCTTATAATTGACAACTTCGTGCAGACAACGACCCTCACCGAGACGGTTCCAATCCCATATGTATGTAGCGCGATTTTTGCAATTGGCTTTTGTCTCTGACTATTAAATACAGATATCCACAGTAACAACAACAGTTACTTCACCTACCACCGAATGCTACACGGGCACTTTATTTGGAACCCAAGAGGCTCCGATTGTCACCCCAGCAGCCAGAGGCCTAGAGGCGAGGCAGATAATATCAGAAACCCCACATATCATTCTGCCTACGCCTCCTTTAATACTCTCGCTGGAAGATTCACTCATCTCTTCTGCATGTGAATGTTTTCTTGGACCCTCTGCTACAGTTACGGAAACAATAACGGATATTGTGGGCTCTGGAACATTAACGGCCACTGTTGATTATACCACGATTCCAACTACAACTGCGTGAGTGACGAAGGCCTATTGGCTCAAAAAATCTCTAATAGATAAATAGCTACATTGCATTAGTTACAACGTGGACAGATATAGTAGTGATCACTTCATCTACTGCCACTGCCACCAACACAGCTACCACCACAGCCTACACTCCTGTCCCTACGAATACCCAGCACGGGCTAAACTGGTACTATTATACCAGTCCTTACGCATTTGCGGGCACTATACCATTCGATCCGCAATACTTTAATAGTCCTAACTACAATTTCAGTGGCTATATTGAGAACGTCAACGAGTTCCACACTGGTTCAACATATTCCACGTCCAGTACAAACTATACATGCAACGCACCAGTGCCTGCCGGCGAGGATTGTGGCTACGTTGTCGTTATCTTCCAGGGATATTTATGGGCTAGAGACGGTCCAGGTAATCACATATTAAGCAGCAGTGACGCTTCTGATAATGCATTTTTAGTTTGGCATGGGCAAAATGCATACAGTAACTATCAGAACACAAACTACGATTACCAAGCAACTTACCCTAGTACGACAGGAAGTGTCACTATCGATGTTGGCACCGGTGATCTGATACCTATTACTATGCTATGGGCCAATGGAGGGGGCCCCGGTCAAGTTGTACTTACCATCACTAACCCTGCTGGCACGACCTACTCTGACACTACTGGGTTCTTCGTTCCAGCTAATAGTACTTGCCCCGGGTACAGCAATCCCTTCTCTCCATAAGCTAAGGGAATATCTTAGAAGTGCATGCAATGCAAAAACCGCGTGCATTGTACTTCATAAGGGACCAGGGACAGGCGACAACACCTTACATCGGATTTAACACATAGTTACAATATCTTATCTACGGAACTTCCTTCTGTACAAGTTCTCTTCTTTGCCTGTATGATACCTGTTCTATTAAGTTTCATGTTAATCTAAATCCCTCCTCAAGGCCTTCCCAATAGAGCGGCATGTTCTGATTTGTAGCACGACAACTTTCAACCGCGAACCAAATTTACTATGGCAGCACCCGAATCCTCTACTTCAACAACTATATGACCATTTTGGACACTAGAATTTTCACCAACAATCACATTACTCAACCGCACGGGCTTCCCCCAGTCCAACTTCATTGGCAGATAGTCGCTGAATATAAACTGAAGAAACATCAGACGGAATCTGGAACGTGTACGGCTGACTCGGTCTTGGATCCGGGTTGGGGATTGAGAAGGTGCCATTGACCGTATAATTGTAATCACGCATATTTATTGCTGCAATACGCTCCAATGACCCATCCACATACGCCGCATATGCGCTCTCTAAGTCGCTGGGCAAAGGAATATTCGCAATTTGCACCGAGTTTCGAGTAAGGTCTCCCAGCATAGAAGCCACGGCAATGTTACCATAGTAAGGTGCCTTGGTGGTATCGTTGGTTTGGACAGGCTGTCAGGAGTCGTAGCGAAAGTGAACACCTTGGTGCATGTGTGTTCGTTGTATGCCTTGCCATGCACACCAAAGATTGAAATCGACGTCCCATAGCGCAGTGCCGAAAGCATTGGAAAGGCCAGGAGCACCCTCGTTATAAGGGGAATTCATTTTTCCCAGAACAAATGGGATGCCAGTATAGTCCAACTCATTGCGAACAGCGAGAAAAGCTGAGGCGGATTCGACGTTGGAAGTGTGATTCATTAAAGTCTTTTGAAGGGTAACTCCTGGTTCTGTTGCGCCGCCGATGTAGCTATGCAAGTCAATGGCATTATTTTCAAGGAAGGTGAGGGCAAGGCAAGTCCCTTACTTGTGGATTGATATAAGCTTGATATAATTGTCTACATCAAGGCCATCCGCAAATGTTGTACCTGGGTTGAGATGGTTATCAACCCCGGCAAAGGAGGGATTTAGGTACCCATAGGTTGCATTCGATATTTTTGTCGGACAATGTTGCGATATCTGCGACTTGATTTCTTGCGTTCCATTCACCCACTGCTGAACTGTCCCAAGTCGACGGTCGAACTGGTCTGTGGGCGGATGTCGAGTAGAGATCAGGCTCATTCCCATACTCCCACCAGAGAAGCTTGTCATCGCTACATGCTTCGCAGGCAAGTGGGACTACTTCGATCAATGATTGCCAACCAGCAGAGGAATAGAGCAAAGTGCGATCACATTGATTGGGCATAGCCACTGAGAGCCTCAACGGCTAGGGAGTTAGATACGCCTCGAATACTTCAAGGCGGTGAACAGCATGCGAGATAATTGGTTAAGCAGGCATTCTCTTGATTTTTAAGCAAGAGAGAATTGGCTTAGGGTTCTTCGGCAACATCCCGGGGCATCTCCCGAAGAACGCTGCATGGAATAATATACCTAGGTAAATAGCCTCCCTTCTCACATCTGGAGCCATGTAGAAACGAAAACCAGAAGGGGAAAAGGGAAACCTACAAACTGCCGAACATGTTTCTTCAGATCTCAAAGAAGGTTAAGTCATTCCTGGGGTTACTAATACATAAATGATGCACCGTATACCATTTGACTTTGTCCTTGAGCTCGACCACATTTGACAAACCGAAAAAGAGTAGCGATGCGAAGCACAATAAAACGCTAGTTTACTTGGTAGTCAGTTAACATGGCATTAATGATTAATGATCAATTAGTGCCTGGACTTAAGGCTAGTGCTCCCTCAGGCAGCCGCTTTTATCTACGCATAAAAACCTTTCAAGGTGAACCCGAATGTCTCTACTTTTCGTTTTCTTTTCAACAATTGTGCTCTTTTCGTTTATTAACCTTCTCTCTTTCACTTTCCTGCCCGCTTTTTTCCCCCTCTCTCTCTGACACCATGAGCCATAAAACCCGACACTTTGCAGGCGATTTATACGCCGATGCTGGAATATGGAGTCCTTCATCCAGCGCTGCCAAGTACGTCCTGCAAATATCTCGCTCTTATTGCGAGCTATTTTTATCGTTTGCTATATTCGCTTGGATGAATGTCGGTAGCTGACAGACTACTTGGGCAGCTTCTGCGAGGAGGACTACGCGGTGACAATATACATTGCCGAATTTATCAACTCACTGAGTAACTTTGCCTACAGTATGCATAAACCTACCTTGCAAATATGGCTCGTCATTGTGGCCTGATCCTGGGGGACTGATTGATCTAGTGTACTTTGCTATCCGCTATGCAAGACGCCCTGCAGGTCGATTTGACCTCATGGCTGCGTCTCTTTTTCTCGTGGGAGTGGCTTCATTCCTGTTCCATGCAACTTTACGCCAGATGGCCCAGTTTTCAGACGATTTATCGATGTTATTCCTTGCCGCATCACTGATTCAGCGTCTCTACTGCGCCAAGCAACCACATTTCAGAGCCGGCGTCATCACAGCTGTGATATATGGAATTACCTGCGCTGCATCTGCGTTTTACGTCCAAAGTGGCAATCTCATGGTACACACCTCCCTGTTTGCCGCCATGTTGACATTCGTGTGGCCGCGTACTCTGTATTTGATCAGTCTCCATGCCGGATCTGCAGAGGCCAAGTCCAGGCTTTTTGGAAAGTTCAAAAGCGCCTGTGCGTATTTGGTAATAGCATTTCTAGTTTGGGAAATAGATCTCAGGGCTTGTCAGGAGTTGAGAAACCTTCGGAAATCAGTAGGACTTCCCTGGGCTTGGCTTCTGGAACTGCATGGCTGGTGGCATATCTTGACAGCTGTTGGTGCAGCGCAATACATGGAGCTGATTAGCAACCTCTGTTAGAAATGGGCGCTGGGAAGCCTATACATGAAGGAATCAACGTATGCAAAAGACATTATTAGGCGATGAAATTCATACAAAAATTTAAGGTGATTGAGTACAGTAAACCAACCCTACACCCAACATCATTACCTAGGTACATGATTAAGATTATGGCGCATGGTTGAGGAATCGATGCAATTACATACAAAGAAGAAGTAGATGAAAACGGCAAGCGTGAATGTTTAGTCTTTCACGAAAGATTAGACGATCACCCAATGCGACGTTTATAGCATGTAACCGCCTGATAGATGTATGCTGAGCCTTCTTAGGATCCAAGTATCTACTTACACGAGTCCTCACTCTCACTGACCCTGTCCTAGTCTCCATGTTGTCGCCAGGGAATGTCTTCATCGTCGGAGGTACAGTGGGGGTGCAGTAGTGTTAACACCTCCTGCTTACTAATAAAAATAATACCCGCACCGCTTTCCTAATTCAGCTTTTGTAAAGTTTTCAAGCCAATGATAATGTCTAGATTTTGATTTATCCGGCAGAATAAGCGGCGGTGTATTTAGCGCGAAACAGGGGTGTTAACACTACTGCGAAGGCACTGTAGTCCACCTGCCACTTCATCATCGAAAGAAACGGATATTGTCAAACTCACTGTGCAAGGCATTAGTAGGAAAAGATAGTTAGGTGAAGAGCCGTAAAATTTTGTCTTATCCCAGCTTCGGTCTTTGATAAGGCAGATGATGCATGAGAATAGCAGGACAGACACTGCGGACTTATTACTCAGGGTCTCCTCTATGACGGAATGATTTCTAATACATATATACATCACTAGTTATATAAAGCACTTCTAAACCAAACAAAAACACACAAATAAATAGCTCATAGATGATTGCTAAGCCTGACAAAATATTTGACCATGACCGACGCAAAGGATATTGGCATTTTCCCAGCCTCTGGCGGGCTTGGAGAGAGCACAATCCAACACTTGCTAAAATTCATCCCCGCAGCCAGTCTTACTCTGCTCGCTCGTAATCCAGAGAAACGTGCTGCTGAAAGCCGACAAGGAGCTGTGGTCCGGCGCGCAGACTATGACGATGCAGCGTCTCTGGAGCGCGTATTTGAAGGCATCAGCGTCTTATTTCTGATTTCCTACGCTTCCTGTGAGCATGAGCATCGCTCCAGGGTACGTCAATTTTGCCATACTATGCGCCTTTACCATTCTCTTTGAGCATTCAATCTGACCTTTAGCCTAGGCACACCGCATGGCAATCGATGCTGCCATTCGCAGCGGCGTCAAGCACATCTTCTACTCCTCCCTCGCGTTCGGGGGAAACCTGAGCAAAGAAACTGCAGCGCTGGTGATGCGCGCACATATAGATACCGAAGTCTACCTGGAAGAACTCGCACGAGCCCATCAGTCGAGCTTTACATATACAGTCATCCGCGAGGGCCTTTACTCCGAGTCCTTCCCAATCTATACAGCATTCTTTGATCCTAGAAACCCCGTCACCGAAATCAAAATCCCGCATGATGGATCTGCTCCCGGCGTGGCGTGGGTGAAGCGCGACGAGCTTGGGGAGGCCACTGCAAAACTAATCGCTGCTTATGCTCAGAATCCGCTGGGGTTTCCGTATTCCAACCAAATTCTTCTACTAACCGGCTCGAGAGTGTTGACTCTTGCGGAAACAGTGGCTGTCGTGAGCCAGATCATTGGGAGAAACGATATTAGAATCAAGAAGGTTTCTGTGGAAGAATATGCTGCCCAACCGCAGAACGCGCCAATGTTGACATATCACGGAGTTGATCTGAGTAAAGAGTGGGCAACAGCCTGGAAGGCTATTGCTAATGGAGAGTGCAACGTTGTCACGCCATTGCTCGGAGAGACTTTGGGGCGAGAGCCGGAGGATTTTGAAACGACTATTAGGAGACAAGTCGAGGGTCAAAAATGGCACGAATTGCAGTTGCAACGAAGGGCGTCTTGATAATGAAGCTTGAGATTGTTGTTTGATTGATATGGAATAGACTTGTATTCAATTTTCATGCTTTTTTTTTTTGACTCATATCAAGAATCCAGTTAGCAAAAGTTATTTAAAAAAAAAAAAACCATACGAGAATCGAAATCCACATATTGTCACGTCTCAATTATCAGTATACAAGCCTGTTTACTGTGAATGCTGTTCAACCCCAAACATCCTCCTGCCATGCACCGCGTTTCTTCTGTCCTTCCATCCACAACCGCAACTGAGAATCACCCCAATTCTTTTTCACTAGTAAGCCATTGCCTAGTGCTGTAGTGACAGCCCGAGCCATTTTTGTTGAGCCGCAGATATAAAGATACGTGCTGCCATCCATCAGCATGGTGCAAAGCTCCTGTGCATGTTCTTGGATGCGATCTTGAACGTAGACCTTGCAATCAGGATTTTCGCGTGAAAACGCAGTGACTATTTGTAGATTGTTCCCTAGTGACTCCTTCAAGAACTTTAATTCGTCCTGATAAAGATAATCTTCCCCCGAAAGACGGCAACCAAAGAAAAGATGCATGCTACCAACTTCTCGACCCATGGCTTTGAACCGAGCTCGTTCATGGAGAAACCCGCGGAAAGGAGCAATTCCAGTTCCAGCAGCAATCATGATAATCTTCGATGAAGTCAGAACCGGAAGTTTGAATCTGGAATGGCGAATATGCGCGTATATTCTCCTAGACTGCAACTGATCATTAGGTCCCTTCAAAGGATATGTCAGATCAGCAGGACGAGTCTTTAGCTGAGCAGGGTCTGCTGAAATTGCATGTTTGAGAGCAAGCATGTAGTTTGTCGCTAATCCGGGAATCCTTTCAAGTGAATGTCCAGGGTTGACATACGAATCCGAGACAGCAACAGTCAATGACAATTGCCGTGGCTGCACAATTGACGACGAAGAGATGGAATAATATCGAGGCTGCATAGCGGCCAGGCTCTCGATAACGAAAGAGAGAGGAAGACTCTCCCAAGGTGTACGTTCACCACCAATACTGTATTCAAGCAACCGACCCAAGTTGATATGTTTGTCAAGTAAAAGCTTGTAGTAAGATTCTTTATCCTTTCCCAGCTTCGATAGCGTTTCTTTCGCACTCAATGTCGGCGCAAACTGAGCGAGATTTTGCACAGTCTCACGGGATACTGGTGCGCAAATTTCGAGATAATACTGAAAAAGGGCGAGAATGGTAGTTGGTGTTGGCACTTTGATCTTGGTACCGGACACGCAAGGTAGAAGGACAATCGGAGTGTTTTGTCGTTGCTCGAATCCAAGTACCCTAATCAAGCGATGCACCTCGCCGTCTGGATTCATAGGCCAAATGGCAATATGATCACCCGTTTTGTACTTGACTTCGGGATATGATGAAAGATCGAGCTCCATATGAATACAACTACGGTCTGCAGAATTCGAAAGGTCTCTGCCAAGTTTGATAGGGAGCGGTCGAATGGGCGAGCATACAAGGTTTGGTTTCTTTCCATGTTCTCGTTGGACAGGCTCACCCAAGTTGAGATCAGTTATTGTAAGTGAATCGTCTTCCATGACTCTGAATGTCGGCTCGTAAACAGGATCCTTCTCCGCAACGTCCAGTTCGAGCTTCAAGGCAGCAAAGACATCCTTCTTCCATTCTAAGAAGTCCTCTTCAGTTGTACCAAGCGAGTCGTCTGCGTGGCCGACAGGTAGTAAAACATGAGCTCCCAACTTATTCAACAAAGCTGTGACCACGTCAATAACCCGATTGTAATACTTATAGTTCTTGTTTCCGAGACCAAAGGCAAAATATCGGAGTCTGGCAAGGCTGATATCCGACGTGCGGTGCAAGAAATTCCAAAACTCCGTGGTGTTGTCACTTGGATCACCCTCACCATATGTAGATATAATGAAAACAGCGAATTTTGTACGCGGAATGAGCGCAATCGTATCAGGATCGAAGTCAGAGAGATCAGCAGCGATAGCTTGAATTCCAAAACGTCGTGGAAGCTCTCTAGCCAACCGAGTTGCAAACCCCTCTGCAGTGCCGGACTGCGATCCCCAGAATATGACGACATCTTTCTCCTTAGCAACACGCGTTAGCATTTGGTCGCTGAATAGAGAAGTTGGATGGATAAACATACATCTTCTTCCAACTTCTGGGCTATGTTCCTTGTCGCGGGTTGGAGTTTTTTGCTATTGAGGAGCTCTTGCGGTCGCTCGTAGAGCTTGTATTCATATGGACCTGACTTGGAAAATGTAACGCTCCGTAGAAGGTAGGCGATGCTACCAAGAGCTACTACCCCCAGCACAGCAATATCATCGTAGCTTACATTTGGTATTGTGATGAGGTTCAGGAATCGGCCGTGAAGCCACGGCGGCGAATATGCAAACTCCATCCAGACGCACGAAATGGTTGAAATAAAGCAAGCCCATGAACGCATATTTATCTTGTCTACTTTTCCTGCTTTGCCCCGGCTGATATACACATAGCTAAGAGGCACTTCCTTATTCAACGCAAATCAAGCTGAATGTTTCCCCGCAAATGATGCTGTCCATGCGTTTATTTGGCCTTGGTTGTTGACACAATCCATCTAGGGCGAAGGGAAGATCGTGGGGTTAGCGTCGGCGAGAGTTGCCCTCAGCGGGACTTCCCAAAGGGTAATCATGATCGCCCTCGAATGGCAGGCTTAGGCTTACCACGAACCCTGGTTGCTTCATATTTTGCCAACAACATGATCATCCCGGAAACTCATTTCCCCAGTAGATGCGGACTGTTTGTATCAATCTTGCTCGGAGAATACTTGCCTGTTCTCAATCTCTTGCTATCTGTGCTCAGCCAGTGCAGGATTTCTGCATTCTATTTGCTGCCCCAGACTTTAAGCCCGCAAAACGAGCGATCCAGGTTTTAATAGTAAAAGTATTATCGCGAGTGACTTCACTGGATGTGGGAAAGTTGGTTCACTTGGCGTTATTGTTACTATTTGCGCTTCCAGTAATGATAGGAGGGGCATTGTAACAGATAACCTCTGCTAACTCAAGTTAAATGATGAACATATCAGCGAGAACACCAACGGGGGAATAAATAGAAGAGATCGTTGTATATGATCCATTTCGCGTTCCATACCGCGTTTTTCCTTTCTATGCTACTTAGCATATCGCCGCCTCCTACCATATTGCATCCGTTCCGCACTTCCATAGTTGTTTGCTAATTTGACCTATAACAATACCATGCTGGGGCCAATTTTCTTCTTTGGAATAAGCATTCTGCTTATCTCCTACCTCATACTATATCCGGTGGTAGAATATTTTCGTGACCCCAAAGGTCTCAGAAAATATCCCAACTTGAATACCTTCTCAGGCCTCACCAATCTCAGTTTCATTTACGAAGCGCACCAGGGCTTCCGATCAAAAAAGCTTCTTCAAGCGCACCAAAATGCTCCGGTAATCCGCATAGGTCCAAACTCACTCTCATATGGGGACCCTAAGGCAATCAAGGTATGTGTGATTGGGAAACCTATTCAAATTACGCTTGGTCAAGAGAGCAACGCTCATGTCAACCATAAACCTAGGATATCTATGGGCATGGTACACCATGCGATAAAGACCGCTTCTATTCAGTTCTTGCAGGATCGCACTATCATCTGGCCGACGTGATAGATAAGCCCGATCACGCTCGTAAACGTAAGATTCTGTCTTCCGCATACGCCCTTAAGAACCTTGAAGGGTGGGAGCACAAGGTGGCCGATAAATGTGAGCGACTGGTTCGCGCATTCGACACACGCTGCACTGGACCTCCTGGTGGGAGTGAAGAAAAGCTCATATCCTCCGATGACCTCACCGTCGACTACCGCGCTTGGACTAACTTTTTCACAATTGATGCCATTGCCGATATTGGTCTCTCCGAGCGGCTCGGTTTTCTAGATGCTGGAAATGATAGCTGCATGGCAGAGCGTATGGATGGCACGCTGTACACTGTCCCTTCGTATCGTGCAAGTCTTCACGCCACAGCTCGGGCGCAATCAAATCTTGTATGGGGCTATGATTGGTATCCGATGCTTGTGAAACTGAGCAAGATTTTTTCGCGTCGATTTCGTGAATACTGGCGGCTGAACGAAGGTTGGAATGATATTGTCTGGCACCGAACATGCAAACGTCTCCGTCGGTATCAGGCAGGCGAGCCACTCGACGATTTCTTCGCTAGCTTGATGGAGAATAAGTCAGGCCATATGAACATGATGGAGTTCGGCGAGATCATGGCTGAGGTATCAATCATGATGAATGCTGGCTCTGATACAACCGCTCTAGCGATGAATAATGTCATGTTTCTTCTACTCAAGAACCCGCGTTGTATGGCAAAATTGAGGGAAGAACTAGATGCCGTTCTCGACCCGGAAGATGTAGTTGCACCATATGACAAGATTCGTTACCTACCTTATCTACGTGCGTGCCTTGATGAGGCGCTACGAATTTATCCGCCTACAACGTTCGGACTTCCGCGTCGCACACCTCCAGATGGAGCTACAATCATGAATGATTATGTGGCAGGGGATACCACAGTATCCATCTCAGCATATGTGGCGCATAGAAATCCATCCCTTTTTCCCGATCCTGAAAGCTTCCAACCGGAGAGATGGCTTGGTGAGAAGGGAAAGGAACTGCAGCCGTATTTTATCAGCTTCTCAGCAGGTGCGAGAGGATGCATAGGACGAAATATCAGCTACCTTGAACAGAGTGTGGTCCTCTCTACTGTAATCCATCGATATGAACTCGCATTACTCAGTGTAGACTGGGAGCCAGCTCGATGGGAAAGTTTCAATCTGATGTCTGGACCTATGCCTGTCAAACTTTGGAAAAGAACTTTCGAGAGTGAAAAGTTGGTGACTTCTTGATGGGTGTAATTATAAAATCAACCTCGCAATTTGCAAAGAAAAATTGACTCACTAGCTTAGGATTTATATTGATTGTACTCAACGCATGAAATTTGAATCTCGTGCGCGAGATGTTATAATTACATGTCTAGATAGGTAGCAACCCGATGTAACCCAGTTACGTCTATGCAATGATCTATACTACAACAGTAACAATATAAGCACAAGTTGCATACGCATATCAGCATTCGTTATTAGTACAATTTATTATTCATTATACGTTGCACAACGTCGTAGAAGACTAGCAAGCTTCCTCGATCCAACCCCATGCTTCTCGAAGGCTCTTGAATATCTCTTGCGTAGGCCAGCCATACTCGTCGTCAAGCTTGTAAAGAATCCCTAACAAGGCTTCTTGCTCAACTCTCTCGGTAAATTTATCACCACACAAAGCAATAGCTACCCCGGCAGTGACGATTGTGGGTGGGCAGTGTGAATTGGAAACAGCCATTCCACATAATCGCAATACAGTCTCCTTGATATCCCTATCTACGGAAGACATAGCTATGCGATGATTTAGCCCCAAACGAGGCAATCGTGGGTTATGTGCCATGAGAAGAATACGAGCCAGTTCCAGATGCTGAATCCCCGTAACATGGCAGTTGTTGAGATACCAATACTGGGGGAAGATATCTCCGCGGAATCTATCGGGTTCGCGCGAATAAATAGGGTTAAAGGAAGACGGACCATACTCCGTCCACAAAGTTTCGAATGCGACGAGATCATCGTACTTTTCGAGACGATCAGACGGCTCCGTGTCTGAGGGCTTCGTGGGAGTATCGGTACGCTCCATAGCAAGTAAAATACCCGGCGTATACTCCATAGGGTCGCGGTTTGTCATCTCCTTTTCAGCGCCAAAACAGTAGTGAAGCACATCAGCACAATGTAAAACTAGCCGATTGGCCCAGACGTAATCATCAGCCGGATCGAATGTGCGATAATGTTTGCACGGCTCTAATGGGAGCCGGAATGGTCGTTGCTTGGAAAACGCTGTGAGTATCTCCTGACGAAGAGCTATCCAGTAGGCTGCATGTCGCAGTGATCTGTCTGTAGTTGGCGAAATATCTTCGGGGTGTAGGAATACTCGAATTCCTCTGAGGCCATTCTCATTGTCATCGTCAATGAACGGAACTGAACAAATGGTTAGCTGTCCATCATCAATGGGAAAAAGGGCTACTTTACCATCGACTTCTTCATAGAAACGAAGTATAACGGCAGCAGCAAGGAGATTCTCATCATTAACTTGCATAGGATCATCTGAAAGCGATACTAAATGCTCTATGCACCTATTGTGATATGAAAGAGCTGTCTCTGGTTTCAAATTCGAAAGTACGTTATTGTGATATTTGATTTGATCTCCAACGTAGTACTTCTTAACACGAGTAATATGCCTTGCTGAAGTAGTGTAAATAGCGTTGCGGAGTGTAGCTGAACACATTGCCCGCTGTGGTACAGTCAACTCAAAGTGCCTCTTACTGTCGCATAAATCAAACTGGACAATGCTTTAGCTTCGAATTTTGGAATGGAGCAAGGACTTATACCTACCCAGTGAGCGAGCTCAGTAACGAAGTAACGCATCAGACATGCTTCCTGCAGTGTGAATTGGGATCCTGACAAGATCGGCTGGTTATTTATGCTTGGTTGCAGTGTATCTTCTTTCAATCCGGGTAGGCTGTAGTTTGACCGAGGACATATTGGAGAGTAAGGTGCGACGGAGTATGCATTATCCGATGATACTTCCAAGGACTTCCCATCACATTTCTGTTCTTTGCATACATGTCTTCCTTTTTGCGGCGACGCTTGGCCTATGTCTGTGGGGCCTCCCTGATCTGGGGTACACGACTGCGAAGTTGGCTGCTGGTCGCTCTCAGAGGATAAACGGCGATTTTGTGACAAGTATGGAGAATCTGTAGTATACCAGCTAGCTATATCGGCGGTTTCATCAACATACTCGTAGTTGACTACACTCCTATGGTCAGCCTGCTATGACGTTGCGTCCTAGTCCTTCTATCTTTATTTCTCCTTTGAATGTGACTACCTGCGAGAATAACGGACGCAAGACTCATGTTGACCTACCAGATCTTGTACCAGTCGTCCACTGTTGGTCCGCAGCAAAGTCGGCATCATACTTGGCACTTGAGCTGTGACGGAAGCGGATTTTGGGCAAGCCCCAAACGCAGGATGACTGTGTTTGCTCACGTCGACCACATACTGGTTTCTTTCCGTCACCTAGAACGTGTGATCAGTTGAAACATTCCACATAATATACATACTATCATGTTTTCGGCAACAACATGGTCGTAAATTGCCTGCCAAGTAACTACTGTTACACTCACATTTCAGATGCCGGTCTGCAAATGATATCAGCCTTTGTCTCAACTTTGGGCCGATCTAGTTTGAGTAGTATGGTAGTACTTACTCCGACATTCTTCGCTGTATATTTCCCCGTCAATTAGCTCCGTTTTAATCGTCACGTCGGCGATTAGGTTTGGCTATCTCACCAGGGAATTGCCTTGGTTCTTCCAGCGGGGGCCATGATGTAAGATCATGTGGATCTCTGTCTTCTAGCGATTCTGTGAGGGAATTCTGAACGACCAGAGAGGAAGAAAGTGCAATCTTTTGAGGGAAACACCGTCCGAGAAATAGTCCTGGAGCGGTAAGTAGTCGGCGAGTCAAATCCCCCGCGATTCAATTGCCGCTCTGGGGAAAATCCGGGGGAGGGGCCAGGGGCCAGATACACGCACGCTAGACCGGTTTGGATACATATCGTTCCAATGACGTCGAGCTACCGGGCAGCCTATCAGAACAGTTGTGAAACAAAACTCTCTGACTGCCATAGGGAGTATTAAACTCGGACGGGTCTTTGGCTCACTGTTTATAACAATTCATTGTTGTAATATGGTATATGTTTATTTTCACGTTCCTGGCACTGTTTTCAAGCACACGTCTTACTTTTAACATTCCTCGCGTCAGAAACCGCCATGAGTTCTACTAAAGACCGCATTTCCATCGATAAAATGGATGACAAGGACGAACCCGCTCAGCATATCGAAACGTTAGTCACTATAAATGTCGACATAGATGCGCTGGACAGTATCGAAAACACAAAGTCTAGCAAATACGCCTGGCTGGTGTCAATTACTGCTGGAATCGGTGGTCTTCTGTTTGGATACGATACTGGTATCATCTCCGCTATTCTTGTATACCTTGGAGACGACCTAGGCAAGGCATTGGATTCGAGCGAAGCGGAGCTCATAACTTCAATTACCTCCGGGGGTGCCTTTCTAGGCTCCGTTTTGGCCGGCTTAATCGCCGACAAGTACGGTAGAAAAATTCCTATTGTGACGGGCTGCGTTCTCTTTATCCTCGGTGCCATTATCCAAGCGACATCGTTTTCAATTCCTCAAATGACTGTTGGTCGTTTGATAGTTGGTTTCGGGGTTGGTTCAGCCGCGATGGTTGTCCCGGTGAGCTGTTATATTCATTCGCTGCTGTCCCTGATAGTGCTTTCCCCTTAAATTGCGTCCCTCACTAAAAGAAGTTGAATGACTTGCACTAATAATTGCAGCTCTATATTGCGGAAGTTGCTCCAGCAAAGTATCGCGGCCGAATGGTTGGCCTGGACAACATGTCAATTACTGGTGGACAACTGATTAGTTACGGTATTGGCGCAGCATTTGCAGAGGTTAGGAATGGATGGCGGTTCATGGCAGGCCTTGGCGCTGTACCAGCAATTGTGCTTTGCTGCCTGCTACCATTTTGTCCTGAGTCTCCACGGCAGCTCGTATATCACAATAAGCCTGCAGAAGCAGCAAGGGTGCTTGCTTTGATTTTCCCCAATGCCACTGAACAGCAGGTTCAAGACAAAGTGCAGCATATTACGTTTCATGTGGATCAGGCTAAGGCCTTGAATGCGGAAAAGAGTCTTTGGGCTCAGATAAAGCAGCTCTATGTGATTCCACGCAATTTCCGTGCTATGGTTGCCGCCTGTGGGCTGATGGCTATCTCCCAGCTCAGTGGGTTCAATAGCCTTATGTACTACTCATCAACCATCTTCGCACTGGTGGGTTTCAGTAACCCTGTAGCCGTCGGGGCTATTATCGCCGCAGCGAACTTCATCTTCACCTGGGTCAATCTAATGGCAGTTGACCGTTTTGGGCGTCGTCGCATTCTGTTGTGTACTATGTGGGGAATGGCTGCTGCCTTGGTTTTCGCAACGATATGCTTTCACTGGATTCCAATCAATCACGACTTGACTCTGAAGACCAACGACGTCGGTTCGCCGGCATACGTGCTTTTAGTATGCATGGTCGTTTACGTAGGCTTCTATTCGACGGGAGTGGGCAGCACAGCATGGCTGTCTTCTGAGTTCTACCCGATGGAAGTTCGAGCTATAGGAACAATGATGCTGACGATGAGTTGCTGGGGTGCAAACATTATAGTTGCCTCAACGTTTCTCACTCAGATGGAAAACACAACTCCCTCGGGTGCGTTTGGCTTCTACGCTGGCATCTGCTTCTTCGGTTGGGTTGCCGTGTACTTCTGCTACCCTGAGGTCAAAGGAATGACACTCGAAGATATACGTGAAGTCTTCAAGCATGGCTTTGGAGTAAACTATGCACGAAATGTTCAAAGCGAAATCAAGGAAAGACGCCGCGCTATTCCAGGGGAAGAGCAGGCGTAGAGCGTGAGATTTTCTCTCTGGAACTGCAAGTATACAAGCGGTAGCTTCCATGTCACTTTTACACAGACTATAGGCAGTGAATATCATTATATACACACAGATATAATGATTGCGTTTGGTGGCATCGGATTACAACCTTGTGTACCTAGCTATACCAAGTTCACGTCTGTCCAAGACATCCAAGTTTCACCAAAGTTTTAGTTCTTACTGTCTAGTAAATCTTTGAAGATTTGCGCAACTATTAGTCCTGTTAGTCCTGGATTTCAAATTTGTGTCAGAGAACTGATTGAACTGACTGCCACAGTACTAAGTTTTATTCACCATCTATGAGGTATCAGTAACATAATACCTACTAATATAAGCAAATTTATTTTGGGATTCTACCTTTCGTGTGGTACTCAGGGATCGGTGGTGGCTGAGTACGCACGATCCGGGCATCCTTAGTAATTCAACCCAGTCATATCGACCTATCCAAATAACATACAGACACGTATCACAAAACAGTACGGTGAGTCTACGGTCTGCACGTTTGGACCAGATAGAACATATCTAATAGCGGGGATGGAAGGGTTTCGAGCAATCGGGCAACTCTCGCCGCAGGATTACCGCTTTGGTCTCCGCTAGCATCCTCCACTTCTGGCGATCATGAAGTGCATATTCCTAGAACGTACTCCGTAGACCGGAACATATGCTAGCCAGCATGGTGCATCATTATTCTCCGGCTCGGGCAGAACGCCGAGTGCCTTTGAAGTGCGGAGATCTGCGTGCGGAGGAGCATCGTATCCCCATCCCCAGCCAACTGGCGGTATGCAACTAACTTGGTATTGTACAACACAACATTTACCCCGTACTCATGCCCAAATAAATATCAGCATGTCTGCTTTGTAGCTTATTTATTCTTCGGGGGATTCTCTGCGTAACGTCACTATATTCCTCGGTTATTGGTCGCCATTATCACAGAAACGCGAAAGCAATGTCATCCGAGAAGCTTCAAGTAGCGGTGGCCGGTCTTGGGCGAATGGGTGAATTGTGTTTATTTTTCTTTATTATCTTTTATTCCTTCTGTTTCTGTCTAACAATGCTCGCTTGAAATGAATATTAATACAAAACTCATACTATAGGATTGCGCCACGCACGCCATTTCGCTACACTCACTCCTCGCGCAGAACTGATTGCAGTCAGCTCTCCTGTGCAAGCCGAATTAGATGCCGCCAAAAGCGAGTTTGCGCACGTTCGAACATACATAGATTTCGATGAAATGCTCAAGCAGGAATCGACACTGCAAGCCGTAGTGGTGGCCAGTGCAACCACAGTGCACGCCGAACAAGCAATCAAAGCCATTGAGAAGGGCTTACATGTGCTCTGCGAGAAACCACTAAGCACAAGCCCAACCATTGTACGACATCCTTGACAGCTTTGTAATTGGAGTTCTTATCTGATCCTTGTTGTCTCAGTCGCAATCGGTAGTTACGGCGTACAAACAATCGCTCAAAAAGAATCCGCGACAGAAAGTTATTTGCGGCTTCTCGCGCCGCTTTGATGCTTCATATCGTGATGCTCATCAAAGAGTGACAAACGGAGATATTGGCAGACCTTCGGTTTTTCGATCGCAGACCTGCGATAAGCTGGATCCCTCCGGCTTCTTCGTTGCGTATGCCGAATTCAGCGGTGGTATATTTGTCGACTGTTCTATCCATGATATTGATCTCGCCTTGTGGTTCTTTGGCGAAGATAGCGTCGTCAAGAGCATTTCTGCCGTGGGAATCACAGCGGTCCAGCCTGAATTGCGGAAGCACAACGACCGAGATAATGCCTTAGGAACGATTGAATTTTATGTGAGTTCTTTGGCTTTTTGTTTCCAGCTTTGATCATATGCACTATATTACCCTTTTTACATAGAACAAGACAGCTGACTTCGAAGTATAGGGTGGAAAAATTGCACAGTTCTACTGTTCGCGCATGATGGCCGCGGGTCAGGAAGACACCACAGAAATTTTTGGAACTGAAGGCAAAGTTGCAATCAACACCCAACCTCAGTTGAATCTGGTTAATCTCTACGAATCCACTGGAATAAGACGTGAAATCCCCGCAGACTATTACGGCCGGTTCCGAGAAGCCTTTATCACGGAGGCGAATGAGTTTACAGCCTGCTGCTTGGATAACACGCAACCGCCAATGAAGCTAGAAGGTGCAGTGAGTGCGGTAAAGATTGGTTATGCTCTTCAGGAGAGTTTGATTACCGGAGAGAAGATAGAATTTGATGAAATTGGCCGTAGAATTGAAGCTTCGAAGCTGTAAGGTTAGAGCGTATTTTAGTCAGACTTGAGATCCTTCGGTTACCTGAACTGCAATACCTGCGGTATCTACAACTACTTTTGTTACACCCTGGACTATATTATGATATCATTGCAAGGAGAAATACTATGTCATATATATACAAGGAATTCATATTACCACATGTCGCTGCGTTCAAGTTGAACATGCTTACCCAATCTAGCCAACGACGAATCTGTTGTGATTCACCGAAAGAAACATTGCCTAGCAATTTTATGCTATCAGGATAGCCCTGTGACTACTCTGCATCACGAAATACTTAGAAGAGAGGCAGACGTTCACGTGTCTTCGGTGGCCCTAGTTGCCTGAGATTTCGGAGACTCATCACTGTCCTCAACTTCTGGAAGCTGCCTGTCTTGTCTATCGCGTACTTCGGAATCTCTGAAGGACTCTCGCCTGTGTCACTGTGTAGTTGTTCAGGCTCCGTGCCCTACAATACTCCCCTGTGAAATGTTCCAGACCATTACCATTTGACAAACCCTCCTAAACATGTAGCAATGGGAGGAAATATTGTCTTTTGCATGGTTCGTCTCAACTAAGCCTGGCTTTATCAAGTTTCTGAATAAGAAGGCAGTCCCTCCATTTGCTCGAACTCTTGCATCGTGATATCATACCCGAGGTGCCGCTTAAGTAACTCGTGAGTAACAAATCGCTCCGGACAGTTCCCCTGCGCATCTACAAATGAGACATGATGATTAACGTCGCTTATACGCTGCAATTCGTTGGCATGCCGATGATGATGAGGACATCCATCAACCCCAATCAGAAAGATAGTCACATGTGCCCAGCTTAGTCCTAACAAGTCCAATTCAAATTCGTCCATGTCGATAGCTTCGCCATCTAGGAGTAGCAGCAGCCTAAGCATAGGAGTTTCTGGGCCGGCTTGCCATCCGTATATAGGGTGGTGAATGGCTGAGTTGGAATGTTTTCGAAAATGGAGTTCTTTCACTTTCTGCCACCCTGTCATGACACGTGTACCACCTCCGAAGGACACATTGCGCCACATAGCATCATAATTCTTCTGATTTATGCTGCCAATATGTTCGGCATGATTGGCAAATGTTACCAAGTCGTAACCATCCTGTTGGTAACGGTCATGATTCGCCAAGGCATCTATGAAGCGGCGAATAATAGCTTTTGCGACATCTACCCCAAGCATTGTTAGCATGTTCCGCATTGTCAACATCTGTATAGTAGTCTCACCTTTGTTCTTTGGTTGATAAGATCTCACGAATTGGGTGATAAGATATTGGTCGTAAATTGGGCGAACTGGATCAAAGCCCATGGATCCAGAAACATCTAAGAGAATCATTGTGTCATCTGTCGGGACTTCGGGCCGATCGTATGGTCTGAATGGAGCTGGCATTACTTGTTTGGAATACTCTGAAGAAGTTTGTTGGACTCGACAAGTATCGTCGGCGGAAAAATATAGTGGCGGTGGTTCTACCGCTAGAGACATCCTGGCTATAGCCATATTCATTGTAGAAATGAAGTCGGGCTTCATCACTGCGCCAGTACTTCCTTCCCGATGATTCAAAACCCAGTACAGTCTCTCTTCTGCCAGGTCCTCAAAGCCTCGCCACCTTGGCGTAATGCCTCGCCATCCCGATGCCGCTTCAATGCTAAATTTCAAAGGATTGGAAGCCAGATTTGCCCAATCCACGGGAATAGGCTCGAAATATCCGGCTTTAAGCAGATGCAAATATTGAATGGGGCAGCGAGCTCGAAGATCAGCAATCTTGTTGATCATGCCTACTTTCTGTTGGTAATTGGTGACAATTTGTCGCCACTCATGATCAGGCCATCGTCCACGCTCTTCTCGAAGAATTTCTTCTCGTAAAACCCTTGCCCTGTCAATTGCCTTTTCCTCGGACGACTTAACGCCCATTGCCTTTCTCAGACTGAACAATTTCGACGTAGGATTTGTCTTTGTGCCCGAAGCAGGAAGCACAACACTTTGTCGTTTTCCATTGGGGACCCCTCCGTTTTCCATTTGAGATGTACTCGCTGCATCATCGCTAGATATGTTATCCCTAAAAGTAACTTTTTCCATTGAAAGGGACAAATCAAATTCATTCCATATGCTTTCTTTTGGTTCGAGTGCGTCGACTTTGGCTTGTGCCTCATCGTTAAGGGATGCATTAAGTCTGATAGTCTGATGAATGAACTGAGCATGATATCTCGGTATAGGCCTTAGTGATTGGAAGAGACTTTGGCGAGGGCCATACGGAGACATTACTTTGAAGCTATATGGATTCGTAAGAGTCAGGAGAGTATTGGCACAGTCGCTGTAAAATGTTTCGCCTGTTCGGTTAAAGTAAGTAGTCGGTCAAGTATTAGAAGTTCTTCGCAAGCAAGAGGACTAACCTGGATACATCACTGCCTTTGCCCACGCCTTTTGCACGCCAAATCGACGCCACTTTTTCGCTTGGTATTGGTGAACGGGACAAGCACAGGGATAATCCACGTCGTGCTCAGGCTCGATTTCGCTATTGTAAATATGAACCTGGTATTGAACTTGTTGCAGCAGTTGCAGCATTTGTTGCTTTGAAGTGATTGGTCAGTACGACATCACAGGTGTACGTATGGCTTTGAAGAATTCCATACCTCATCTCTTGCACGCCACTGATTCACTTCCGTGAGACTGTTTGTATGCTTATAAGCAGCGACAGGCCGTTGCAAATTGCTCGCCACTGTCCGGTCGGACGCAGTGGTATACGGTGGTGGAGCAAAGTCCGGGGCATTGTTATCGTGGCCAGCAGTTGTCATTGGAAGCTGGCCGTTCATATTGAACTTTTTCTCTGCTATTAGGTCGACTTCCCTCTTCTCTTCAACAGCCTGCTGGGTCTTTATGTTCGCGCGGTGCTTGATGAAAGAGGAGATAAAGTCAAGAGACTTTGTGGAGTCCCCGAGAAGATTTTGCAAGTGCTGAGCCGCTTCAGCATCGTCAAGTGTGCTGGCATGTGCTAGAATTTGCTCGTGCTCGCTATCATCCAGAGGCAGAAGCTCGCGAAGCTGGGGAAGAGCCCACTGGTGGGACATGTTTAGCAGCTGGCAGGATCCTCAAAAATTACCTAGGTGTGACCCAACGGGAAATCGAAGAGCGAAATCTACACAATGTAGCAGATATAATAAATCAACCATACTGATGTCGTGGAAGACCCGTAGGCATCAGCGGGGAGATAGCAATAAATACTCAATTGACAGCGGATTATGACCGCTATTCCGAATACAGCATGTAATCCACTACCAACACGGTATTTCTCCGGGGTGCACCTAATAGGCCAGAATAGGCATCGGATACGTGTCCTAGTTGACCCCTATTCTGATTATAAATATGGGCTCAAATGATCCTGGACATTCTCTTTAGTTAGATATGCAGCAGATTATATAGTATTCCCAATACTAGCTTATACCGCGTTCCGAATCCGTTGTTATCAATCTAATATGTGCATAACTGGATAAAATGCCTCATCAATACCCGCCGGATACCGCACAGATATGATAGCGCTGCATCCTATGTATTGCACTAGTCTAATAAAGGTATATCGCATAACAAACAGCGTAATTACCTGTTATTGTGCTAGATTCACCAGCGTCAGCCAATTAAATGTGCCGCACGTTATCGCAGCCATGTCCGTGATGTCACTGTGGCTGCGCTAGCCAATCACGAGACCTTCCACATGCAGCCTAGCGGGGGACGTGGCGCTAGCCATATTAAGTCAAGCGCACACAGCAAGATCAACATTCATTCAAGGGAGTTTGATATTTCTTCCAACTTCATAGCCAGATTCAATTCCGCCCTTCATTCTATCCAGACACTGCGTCAGGATACTCAAGTATAGAGGTATCGTCATGGTCTGTGGAAGATTTCGTCCTGACAAGCGGTTCAGCGGCAAGAAATAAACTACTGTAGTTACTTGTAGTGGACGTCGGATGGCATAGAAGGTCGCTGCTAATAATCACATTCTGCGGACTCGCAAACAATTTGCTTTGTTGTCTATGTAAACGAATGAAAATTGCAGGAGACACCTTGGGTAGGTAGTTAATATCGAGTTTAAAACCCAAAACGTGCTTGATAAGATCCTGCAACACCCAACCTTCAGAAAGCTGCTTTCTAAATATATAAACATCCCGTCGGTACCGGATAAACCCGCAGAACGCAAAGGCATATGCCTGCAAAAGCCCAGAAGTGTACATATTTGGCATAGAATCATGTCTGTCACGGTTAATTGGGCTATAAATAGGGAATGGAAATACTCCGGCGGGGCCGTGTATTAGTTGTGCTATGCCTACAAGTGATCAAGAGCCGAATACTAAGCCAAGACGGTTGCATGTGGCCATCATAATGCTACCTTATTGTGGATGTTGCCCACCGCTCAAGGTAGAGTGATTCTCTTTGCAAATCGATCATCCGCCAGAGAGTTGACTGTTGAGTGCTGTTTGGGGATAGTGAACCTCTCCACCGGAACGTGGTATGGGCTTCCCCATGCGGTTATGAGCATCAAATTCGAATATAAAACAGTAAAAGGTTACGTAGAGTGAGAATGTCTAAGAAGTCAATCCGAGACCTCATCACTTATTTTTTTTTGTCCAGTATTTTGCATTTCTACCTACCCCGTTTCGTCAAAATGAGGTCCTCCTTCATAGCCCAGCTGTTCATAGCAGCTACTACATTAGCGAGCCCAGCACAAAAGAGAGATACAGTGACTGCTCAAGTCAACTTTTCCAATAATACAGGCAGCCCGCAGCATTTGGCATCGGGTTTGTTGTACGGAATCCCAAACACCCTGAACCAAATCCCGGTATGCTATATGTAACATGCTCACTACGCATATGAATCCGCTGACCTTTGAGAAGTCTGAATTCTACAACGACATTGGATACAACTATGAACGAGCGGGTGGTGCTCAGATACCCTCTCCCGGCCTAGGTTGGATCTGGGGAGTAGCGGAATATGAGGTAAAGTTTAGTTCTTGATTCGATTTACTACAATCAATTCATGAAACACGAATCCTACAGAATCGATTCGCCTCTGTTCTATCAAACTATCAAACCGCTCGAGAATATGGCGCAAATTTCATATTACTGATCCACGACCTCTGGGGGGCGGACGGCACACAAAACTCTTCTGCACCGTACCCAGGAGATGATGGGGACTGGTCCAGTTGGGATGAGTACTTGTCTTATTTGTTCACGGATCTCAAAGACAATGATATGACAACCAGTTTGATTGTCGATCTGTGGAACGAGCCTGATGGAGCCGGATTCTGGGGTCGCAGTCAGTCGCAGTACCTGGAAATGTGGGGGAGAACTTACTATAAATTTAGGTTGGTCTTCTCTCTTAGCGCAGGAAATGTTCCTTATGGATACTGGCTGACACTAGTTTAGAGATGAGTTCAGCACTGATGTCCTACTTTCCGGTCCGGCATCTGCTGGAGAGCCCCTCGCTAGCAATACTTGGTGGGAAGCATGGGCATCGTTCGTAGCAGCCAACGACAGCATCCCTGATCAATATGCCTGGCATATGGAGAGTGGCACTGGAGACCTTCTTTCCTCGCACGCAGGTCTCTTGTACTGGCAATCTACATACGGTTTACCTTCGAAACCGATCAACATCAACGAATATGCTGTCTTCGACGAACAAGTTCCTGCGGGTTCAGCATGGTGGATTTCTCAGCTTGAGAGAATTGACGCCCACGGTCTGCGTGGGAACTGGCTAAGTGGCTACGAACTGCACGATTTCATGGCGTCTTTGTTATCTAAGCCCGGTGCTGACACCAGCAGCTACTCAGCCACTGCAACGGGTTATTTTCCAAATGGCGATTACCAAACATACAAGTACTATTACCAGAACATGACTGGTTACCGAGTTGGCACCCTGCCCTCGTCCGACCTCAAGCTAGATGCCTACGCCACTGTTGGGGACGATGGGTATGCGCGTGTTCTCGTTGGTGTACGCATCACCGAGGGGACATGGGAGCTGCAGTTGAACGATCTTTCATCTCTAGATTTGCCGACGAGTGGCACGTTGGATATCAAAACCTGGGGCTTTCCAGTAAACGCCGATGACACCCATTATGGTGAAGTAGATGGGCCAACCAATCTCGGGGTGGTTGCTCATACATATTCAGACAATACTGTGACATTTCCTGTCTATCAGACGGATACGACCACGGCATATGCGTTTGAGTTTGCTATTTGATTTTTGAGCCTCCCAGCCATTAATCAACATTTGCCGATGGACTACAACGGTTATGGTAGTAACTATTACTATATGTATTGATTGACCAGTTCAGAATGCATTGACACATTACTGTCTCAAAAATAAAATTTTTTCAGCTATTTAGCACCATATCATTAAGGATATCGAGAACCGTTTGAAACCATTAAGCTTCTCTAAGTGTAAGACATAATGATGATAAGTATGATTACAGGAAGACTTTGAAAGGCAACTCTCATCATCTTTAGAAAGACTGTCTAGTCCGTATTTTCTGCTCTTCCGCATGCTTCAAATTACCACATTAGTGTAATTAACTTCCAACCAAGTAGTCCCTGTCGCCTACAAAGCGTGGGCAATATTAGTTCCTGCTCCCGCTAAGGGAGTGATATATGCTGAGGGCCGGAAAACAGAATTTGAAAACTATGTATCGAAAAAATGAGAAGAGCCAACTATCACTCCATGCTATGCAATGCAGGATCTCAATGGCCGCAAAGCACGGTGGACATCAACATTCCTTACCCTTCCAATCCCTTTTCGGAAGTTACGAGTTATGTAGCCCTAGCCCAATTTTATTCTAAGTACACCCGCAAGGTTTAGATATGATAGTATCTTCCAAATCTCAGTCTGACATAGTTTTGGACTAATCTAGCATATCCGATGAATACAATTAGGTTCGCCGTGTGTTATTGAATTTGTGCCCTTCCTTCTCAATAACAGGAGAACTAGATTCAGGCGCTAGATATCCAAGCTCGTTTGCGCTCATCCCGTCTAGCAAGAAATGCAATCACTCCAACGCTAACAATCTGGGCTATCGTAGTTACCAGGTTCGAGATGAAGCCTGCGGAAAAGCGAGGTGCACTGGTTGCTGGGTACTGAAATATTTGCGTCCACGCCGCCATAGCCTGTCCGATTGCATTCATGCTGGCTGTTACAACGGCACGTTCTTCCGCGTCGTTGGCCATGACGATGGTTGCCCAGCTCATGGTCAGTGGGCTGATTGCTGTTTTTTTTCTGTTATTATCAAGAAATACTGGAATTATTTAAAAATCAATGAAAAAGAAAAAGATTAACTTACCTCCCTCGAATCCAGTGATGATGAAAGCCGCCAACCGACCAGACTCCCCAACATTATATATGACAAGCAAAACAAGCCCAATCAAAACCGGAATACTGATAACGATAGAAGGAATCCACCAATTCCGCATTCTATCTGCGACAACGCTGGAGACCACAGCGGCAATAACAGAGATTGCCGTGGCTATTGTGGGCAAAGTGTTGACACGAGAAACAGAGTAGATATCGGGATATGCTTTGAGATAGAGACTGAAAGGGGTTGAGTAAGGGGTGAAATTCTGATCCATCAAAGTCCAATGGAAGACAAAGATATACCAGTGCCAACGTCCCAGCACGCGCTTGAAGATGTCGCGCGAGACCGTTAGCTGGCTGGGCGCAATCAGTCCTTTAAGGCGACTGTTGGCCAGCGCGTGCTCTGTAGGAGTCAAGAACCGTGGTCTTTTCCGGTGAGGTACGTCGGGGAAGACAATATAGCCCCTAGTTAGAAAGTAAGTGCTTTGTAAGCTAGTGCTGCTTAAGCAAAAGCTGACACGGAACTTTCTTACAAGATAGATATTGGCACCGTGATAATGGTGCAAATAATGAATAGCCATCTGGTTCGCGAATGGATTAGCTAGGAGTCGATGGTAACTTGGTAGGTGACAGAGCCTACCGCCACCCAGCCAATCCATCAGTGTTGTTCAAATTCGTATATGCAGCAGCTTGCAGATATCCCGCAAACATGGTTCCCAGAGGCGAGGCAATAAAGAAGAGGGCAACCCGACGCGTAATTTCACCTGGCTTGTACCACGACCCGATGACATAGATGACCCCAGTAAAAGAACAAGTTTCGCAAAGGCCAACGAAGAACCGCATAGCGTAAATGGTGCTCAAGTTCTGGGCCCAGGCGCAGCCAAACGTGAATAGACCCCAAAGGACTTCCATTGTCGGAAGTGCAATATTGATGCGAGTCCGGGTCAGCAGGTAGCACGCTGGGATCATAGAGGTACAATAAGATGTCCAAAAGACCGCGGTTATATAGTTAATATCATCTCCAGTCAAGTGCAAGTCTTGTTCCATTCCGCTAGATAGCACAGACGCTATTAGACCGGTACATAAGCTCTATGGGGATTGGAAATACCACGACCTACGAGACGTATGCATTTGTGATGGCCTGCTGGTCCAAGTACTTTGTGAAGAACGAGAGACACCCAAAGACAAGAATCAGCAAATCCAGTTTCAGCACCAGCTTTTTCTCCAGATGCGGCATGTCCTTTGGATACCATTTGGCCAAAGTCAGGAATTTCAGCCATAGACCGTCACGGTCTTGTTCGGGGCCATTGAAGGACAGGGGTGAATCTGTGACTTCTTGGACGACATTTTGGGTGGTTTCTTTGGCGTTCTCTATCTCCATGGCGGAAACTGCTGGAACAGATATCCAATTTTCAATTTTGTTTCCAACAGCGCACATCCAGACGCAATGGTTGCGTTTTGTAGTCAACCGCCAAGATGGAGTGATTTTGGGAGACGATGATGTGCTGCCTAGTGGTTCGGCGGGCTATCTTGGCTTGGAAACACGCGTAGATTATGATAAACATGGTAATTTCCTCGGACTTGCATTTTTGTTTTTTTTCCTTTAGCACTCTCATCGCGTATCCTGGAAATACTGCCACAGTGATGTACCGTATATACTTCTGTGTAAATTTGTACAACGCATCAAGTTATGATAACTACAGCACTGCCCTAAACGAGCCTAACAGGTGCTTCCAAGAAGATTTTCTTCAGACGTTCGTCCAACCAATGCATATCCTCCACACTACCAGGTGGCCCCCCGGCCCAGTGTCCCCAGATAGAGGGATAAACATCCAAGGCGCCCACTCCCTCGCTCATGCATGCTAGTTCATATTCAGAGTCCTCCGGTCTGTGCACGAATTAGTCCGGGAGTCGCCAATGTGGCCCTGCTCGTTGACTTACGGGAAGTACAAATCAGTCTTTGACGGCAATATCAAGGTTTTGGCCTTGATGGCAGCCATCGCCTTCTCGAAATCACCATTATACGGCTCTTGTTTGCTCACGTCTCCGGACTGCCAGGTGTGGATCATGACGAGCAAGTTCTCGGGGTCTTTGCTTAATGCCCAAGATTCCCAGAATGTAACCATAAAATCCTCCAAATCTCGGGCGCCGTAGAATCTTTTGTGATATTCCTCGCGGTAAAAAGCTTGCGAAAACCCCCATCCAGCGTAACCGCGTCCGAAAGCCCTTAAGCCCACTGTCCTTGCCTTCTCCGACCATATCCTATCCTGGCTGGTTGCCGAGTCAGCAACGCGGCCCTGGGCACTGCCAGCAGAGGACTCGCCCTTTGCTGCCAGCAACGCAGACTTGACGCCTTCGAGGAAGACCTGATTGTGCAGAGAAGTCCTGGCAGAGCCACAGAACGGTACAGCTATATCCATAAAGTCTGGAAACTGCGTTGCCCACTGAAATGTTTGGGCTGCCCCCATGGACCAACCGAGAACGGCGCGCAGATGCGTGATTCCTAGTCCCTGGACGAGCAACTGGTGCTGTGCCTTTACGTTGTCGTAGAAAGTGATGTTTGGAAATGTCTTGATGCCCGAATTCGAGGGACTAATCGACTCGCCATTGCCAAACAAGGCCGGGATGATGATGAAGTATGCCTTGGGGTCAAGAGTCATTTGGTCACCCACAAGCCACTCATTATCGGAGATGGCGCCTGAGAACCACGATGGGTACAGGACGGCTGGAAGAGAAGAGTCGCCGAATGTCTTGTATGCGATCCATGCCTCCGGCAGTGTTTCCCCGCTTTGAAGGGCGAAGTCGCCGAGGGCATACCTTTTTGTTTCAGCCATTGCCTCAATTACTCACCACTAAGTGGGACGGTGTATTTTGTATGTCAAAAAAGGAATATGCTGGTAACAAGAAAATCTCTTTGCTTAGGCTTGGAGCTGTGTGAGGGAGAGAAAACGCCGTGAGATAAGGCCACATAGTCGTATGTACAGGCAAGTCGTTATCAGGCGTGATAAGACAATGCGTATTTATTCGTCGTGCCTGTTCACCTGTTTACTCCGGAATAATGTACTAGATTTGCTTGTCAATAGAACATAAATCAAATTTCCCAGCTATACCGTACAGACAGATTTGTGGACATACAAGGTGTTGGTTAATACCCAATACGGAATACTTACCTGGGTCGGGATTGTCAATTGCACGCGATGTGCGTCAAAATTGCGGAACAACCGAAAAAACCGTATGCCTCTTCGCTTTTTCCCAGGTTCTGGACGCAGGTCTCTGCACTCTCAGCAGCACATACCCCCGCGCCATTGACGCATGCACGTCAGCAGGCTAAGAATGGCGTGATGTTTGAAAAAAGAAAAGCCAATTGCGATGCTATCGTATATTTTATGTAGTGATGTTGTATATAGTTGGCGGATCGCGCATGTTCTAAATCAGAGCATATCTGCTCAGCTTACGCCGTATACATAGCCGACTCAAAATGGCTGAAACGCCCTCGAGTCATGGTGCTTCTAAGAAGCACATCATCTTAAACGCATTCGACATGTCGACTGTCGGGCACTTGTCGCCCGGTCAGTGGAAGGTGAGCAAACCCTGGAAATGTATCACGGTGGCCTTCAACCTGATCGGATCAAAGGATCCCGAGGATCAATCGGCAACTAAGCGGACACTCGAGTATTGGGTAAACCTGGCAAAGGTGCTCGAGCGAGGCGATATCAACGCGCTCTTCCTGGCGGACACATATGGCGGTTACGATACCTACGAGGACTCCCTTGACAATTGCATTCGTCGGGCGGCACAATGGCCCATGACGGATCCCTCTATTGTATGTTTCTTTTTTGGACTGAGGTATTCATTTCTATACGCTAATTGCTCCTGTTTTCCTTCTTGTAGCCCATTTCCGCCATGGCTGCCGTAACAAAGAACCTCGCATTCGCCATCACTGCATCGACCTCCTTTGAGCCCCCGTTCCTGCTAGCAAAGCGCTTTTCAACGTTGGATCATCTTACAGGCGGGCGTTTCGGGTGGAACATCGTGACTGGCTGGAAGAAAGGAGCATTTAAAGCCATTGGGCTGGACGAGCCTCCTGATCACGATCGACGGTACTTGCAGGCTGACGAGTATCTGCGCGTCTTATACAAGTATGACCATGTGCTTTTTTTTCTCTAACCCCTTTCGACTGTGCGTTACTGATGGCCGACTTACCAGACTGTGGGAGGGCTCTTGGGCCGACGATGCCATTGTAAAAGATGCAGCGAACGATGTGTACGCTGACCCCGACAGAATTCGCACGATAAAGCATGAGGGTGAATTCTACCATCTGGAAAGTCGACACATTGTCGACCCCAGTCCGCAGCGAACCCCATTTCTATTCCAGGCGGGCACGTCGCCGTAAGCTTCTCTATCTTTCTTTTCGTTCAAATGCATAAATTATGAACATACTGACAAGCACAGTGCTGGTTCACAATTCGGTGCGACCCATGCGGAGGCTATCTTCGTATCAGCACATAGCCCCTCAGTGCTCAAGCCTCGTATCGCCAAAATACGCGAGCTAGCTAAAGAAGCAGGGCGGGATCCGCAGTCCATCAAGATATTTGCGACCATCACGCCTATCATCGGGCGCACCGAGGAAGAGGCCAAGACGAAGCTCGAGCAGGCTAAAAAGTATGCCTCTGTCATTGGGGGCCTAGTTCTGTTTTCGGGATGGACCGGTATTGATATCTCCAGAATCCCGCTAGATGAAGAGATTGATCCAGTAAAACACTCTCTTGAGAAGCACAAGGTGCATTCGATTTCCGAGACATTGACTGCGAGAACCCCGGAGCTGCCATCCATTACGCCACGGGTCATTGCAGAGACTGCTGCCATCGGCGGTCTAGGGCCTGTTGTGGTGGGCACTCCAGCCCAGGTCGCTGACGGATTTGAGAAATGGGTTAATGAGGCAGGTATTGATGGTTTCAATGTCGCATATGTCAAGACCCCGGGCACTTTTGAGGACGTAGTAGATTTGCTGATACCTGAATTGCGCCGGCGGGGGTTGTATCCGGAAAAGAAGACCGATGCCACGCAACTAACAGCCAGAGAGAAAATATATGGACAAGGACAGAGCAAGCTGCGTGATGATCATGTTGGGTCGAAGTACAAGTATAATGTGTACCAAGAAGAGTCTCCTTACCGAGCATCGTCTTGATTCATAGTCTTGAAATTTTATAGAACAGCCAGAGATCCTAGACAAATTGCAATAATTGTGAAAACTGTACAACATCCATACCATACTTTTTCGTTCCACGGCGTTGTTATGGTGCAAATAATAATAATAATTCGTTCATTCATTTTTGCTCTATAACTAGCAATAACAAAGCTGGCTTACATCAGGTATAGCAACAATCCTTATCAATGCATGGGTATTTAATATACACAGGACAATTCATTCCAGCTCAATACGTCTCTTCTTCTGCGTGCAGTCGGCTCGCACGACGCCCACTATGCCGCAGTCGATCGGCTTCCAGTGTCTGAGCAAACTTGCTTCGCTGGCGGATTTCAGGTCCTTTCCAGTAACAAACGTAAATTGGGATCATGACCAAGGCAGCCAAACAGCCTAGAATAGTACTAGCCCATTGAAGATGGAATTTACCTCCAATATTCTCGTACATTGGGGTAGCATACATGGTCGCTATTCCTGCCAGGAAATCTCGAGCAAAACCGTTACCTCCAGTGGCCGAGGCTGAGTATGGACCATATGCAGCTACCATGTAATCAATCGTAGCCATATAGATACTGAAGTTGGCAATTGCAATGAGGCAGGCGAAGATGCAAGGCGCGATCCAGGGGGTGTATGACGGTCCCATCGAGGTCCAGGCAAATCCCAGAAGCCCAATTGGTTCCAATGGGGCCAAGAAGAGCAACAAGAGAAGCCGACGCTCCGGTAGTCGGGCTCCATTTCCGTGCTCCTTGCGGATCTTCATTTGTCGCCATACATCCGGCAAGAAGATGATGTAGGCAATGACATAGCCGATGAGGATAGCGATGAATGTCAATCCGACTTGGAGTGTATCGAACCCCCATTGCCCAAACACTAACGAGAACGACTCGGTGAAGACGAAGATCAGAGCATCCGAGAATCCAGACAAAAGAGAGAGGAACAAGACAATGGGTTCACGCAGGAACATCTCAAAGGGTCGGCGCCACACTCGCAGCACATCCTTTGCATCAAGGCGTGGCACTTTCAATTCATTCGGACCCCAGACATTCTCGCCATTCTTTCTGCGGCGACGGGCTTCGCGATCAATGAGGACGGTAGCACGTGTTTCGGGGACTAGGAAGAAGTGCAACGCCTGGGTGAATCCTCCAACGATGAGCTGGATCCAGAAGACCCAACGCCACTCCAAGTACTGACCGATAATGCCACCAAAGACAGGACCGATAGTTGATCCACCTACAGATGACAGGACAACAAAAGCAACTGCGAAGCCCTGATCATCGGTCTCCCACATGTCTGCTGTCATTCCAAGGGTGACCGAGCCACCGGCTGAGCTGAGTCCTCCGAGGAAACGGCAGACGACAATAGTGGCGAAATTGGGCGCTAGAGCGCATGGAATCTGCCAGATATTGACCAAAAACAGACTGAGCTGCATGATAGGCCATCTGCCAAACTCTTCACTCCAGGGGGCCCATAGTTCACAGCCAAAGGCATAGGCAACAAGGAAGATCATTTGTCCCACTCGGGCAGCTTGGTCACTGATGCTGAACTCCTCCGTGATGCCTGTTACGGCGTCGGAGTAGACTCCGGTGTTGAAATTCATCGACATCTGGACAACAAAGATGACGGAGAGAATGGTCCATTTCTTGTACCAAGGGAATGTGAACCCCAGTTTATCGTAGCAATCGTCCTCGGTCAGCTCAGGTTTGTCCGCGACAGGCGAGATCTCCTTATGAACGGGTTCCACGATGTTTTCTTCCTGAGCAACTTCGCCTCGGTATATTTGTCCGCCGTCGAACTTTTTCTCCATGTCGTCCTTGCTAGGCAGCTTGGTGCTGCTGGAAGCCTGGGAATCCGTAGACGACATCGTGAGACGTGGCTCCTGGCCAGAGAGGAGTATGCTGTGTTGTGTATGGCTGTAACCAGCAGTCAGGGGTATATAGAACGATGATACCGACAATTGGGTACGGTAAGGGTGGGTCTATGGGGAAATGGGTCTGGGAAGATGTCTTGCAGCGAGACCAGTCTCGGCAGGAAAAGAAGTATTGATATAGAAAGAGGAAATTCTTGGTTTGGAGCAGATGAGCAGAAGCCGAATGCTGGGATATCCGGTTCCTTATATGCTTTTCGAAGCCCGATTTTTCCGCTCCTAGCAGACAGACTGCATACGTGATACGGGCACACACTATACACACGCGATAAGCCGTGGGCCGGGGAGGGATCCATTTCCCCCTACACACCCCCATCGCTCCCCCGGTATCGACTACGTACGATGATGTTATGGCTGAACGAGGGTAAACTTGGAACAGGCTGGAAAATTGAAATTACGTGTTCGAAGCCGAGCTACTCGGGCCGATAGGCTGCTCAGGCTGACGGGCCCGCAAAAAGGGTTGCACTAGCCATGTGCCTGTCCTGACTTACTAAACGTGTCGTCGGGCCGTTTCGGCTGGATACGGAAATTCTGAGGCTTTCGGCATACGGCATGACGTCGACGCAGGCTGGCCAGTTGATGGGATTGGCGGACCACTGTCTACCGAGCACAAGAAGTTTTTGGCTGTGCACAATTCCCATCAGCCAATGCCATATTCAATATTTATATTTATCACTGCAACCAGAGGCAGCACATCCGGTGGGCCTCTCTAATTGCCTTTTGCGAGTCATCATCAACTGTTTTTGACTGACGATGCCCGGCAGAGGTTTTATCCGAGCAATCCTAAGACGAATACTCATCCTCTGCTTGTAGTATAGCAATGTAGAAGCCTCAGGAATATATGAGCAACATTGAATACCCTTCTCCTACTAATTGAACGACACATGTCTTGCTATGGGTTATCAGGGTTCAAGGCATTCCGTGACGTAGTTGACAATTTGATTGATAACTAAAAGTTAGTTCGTAATCACGACACTTAGGTTACTAACTAACTAGTTAGTTTTTCGATTTATTAAGCCCAATGGTTATGGCATCACTGGCTTTTTCTAGCGTGCAGCATGTCTTTTGAATGCCTCATCCTACGGATCAATAGTAGATAGTTAGTGCATGTTGGAGATGGGTCCTCATCTCTCACTGAACTCAAGACGTCCGGCTTATGTAGTAATCCTGGCATTATTCTTTCCACTATACAGGCTACAAAGCCATACCCAAAGACTGACTAGTATATATGACTTTGCTTAGATGTGACAGTATAATACTGGACAGGGGTCTTCAACCCCTTGTCAACACACTGTAATGTGGAGGCCTTCGGTGTCCGGAACATTTTTACGACCTGCTCAAAAGGGTAATAGCTGAGCAAGTCGAGATGAGGGCCCACCTGCGAAATATCGCGATTGATACGACAACTACCTCGTCCTTTCTAGCATGTCACTTTGTCCGTTGCGGTTGGGTTCATGCTTTTCCGATTTTTCACGAGGTCTCAACCTGTTTTGAAATTGCGAGCAGGCACGCTCACCACTTTAGATTCAGTGTGTGAACTGAAGTTCTTGACGAGGATTGTACCATGCCTATGCTATGCCCAAATACAGACAGAAGATAATTCATTCCACCATTGGTTAGGTAACATTTTGATGTCTTTCTTGACTTTCGGAATTGGTACGCCGCATAATACAAGATACAAATAGGAGCCAAGGCCGAAGTAACTGTAGTCAAGGATTATCTAGTCTTCTCCTATGTAGTAGGTAGCACATACTACCTAAGCCGGAATCTTTATGACCAATCGTATTCAACAGTTCAGGATAGTCACTGGTTTGTTACATTACAATAGATCTGTATGGCTGCAGTGCAATTACACGTAGTAAGACAATTTGATCATCGATACCTAGGGTGTAATTGAACTAGCACTGAAAAAATCTACGATTCACTCATTGTAATCTATAAATTCCCGGAATTGGCATTGAAGGAACATTTATAACAACTATATATCATTAACCTGGATCCCTAAACCAGTCTTCCTTCCAAAGTACACCGCATAGTGTCTGCTCTTGAATACTAATCCAGAAATCCATTATATTCCATACTTCGAGAGAAAACGCAAAATCAGCGAACTAATCTTCTCCGTCTCCGTCTCCACTGCAAAGTGTCCTGCATCTAATAAATGGATCATGCTTAGACGCCTTTGCTCCCGGGGAGTAAATAGAGAGTCGTTCTTGCCCCAAACCGCCAGTAGAGAGGTACCTGGGATTTGCGAAAGTATTCGTGGAATCGTGGGTAGCCTTCGACATTATTCTGGTAGTCCCAAAACAGGTCGAGCTGGATTTGATCGTTTCCGGGCGCTGGAGAAGGGCATAATCGGGTGTGTATGTCTCCGGGGCAATTCTTTTATCATGTGCTGTGCCCTGTCCATATTGGTCTTTTAATCAATAACTTATTTACGCCAAATGAGCCCGTCTAGACGTATATTCCTATTCACTAGCTTTCAGTACTCAAAGACGATATACTAATCTACAGTTTGCTCCGCCCAATCTGTGGGGGTCTGGTTCGTAGCATTGCTGTCACCCTCTAGTCTGGATTCACATGGGTTGTAGACTCCAATGTTAGACCTATGAAGCATTCGTGGGGCTCAACATATAATGCGTATATATATTCATATATATAAGGGTTGAGTCATCTGTACCTAACTAACAACAAGAATAATATCACTCTCATTCACAACCTACTTCAATAGTAGCTAACTAAACGCTGCATAAACGAAAATTTTGCGTAGGATAGATCAGCGCAAAAGAGAGCATTGTGTACAGGACGAATTTTTGCAAAGAAAATTTCTCGCATAAGAGGAACTTTGGCATAAAAGAAACATAACTGACCTAGAGCATGTACCTCATCTAATTGGCCTCTTTGTCTGCCTTTGTCACTGCACTTGTCCCCAGCCACACCAGCCTCATGACAAACTTGCTTATTTCTCGTATATGGGACTTTTCCATTTTTGTCAAGGCTTGCGCGGGCATGTTACAGATTATGTTGCCAAATGATATAAGAAGTTCCAAGTCGATCCGCGATTGTGTATTAAGGGGATGAATCACAGTGTTGAGGAAGAGTGACAACGTAGCGGCGGTCGAATAGAACGTGATAAACCTTCAGCACAGTTAGAGGGGTGCCTCTCCAGGCAAGCAGAAAAATCGGCGTTTACGCTTACCTAAATGCATCTTCGGCAATCAAGCCAACGAGAGTTTTTAAACACCATAGTGTTGAGCGACTAGCCACCAGAGACAGGTCGAAGCTCGAATGAACCACGCTATGTAGATCTGGCACCTCGGTACTGCTTTTCGCTGTGCATTTCCTGACTGTTGTATGAATGACTATCATCAGGTGATGATAGTCTAATTGCAAGGTCATACGTCGGACCGTATATTGGATGGCTTCATTGGATATGTTTTGTAACGAGTTCTTCGAGACGAAGAGTGCAGGACGGAACTCGATAGGGATCGATCGTCGCCAGTGCTCGATCTCATCGTCCAACTGTCGGATATTCAGGAGAAGCTGATTGTCATTATCATGCATCGTTCGAGCAGATAGAAGTTGTCTGTAGACCTTCTCTTTCAAATGGCTGAGATGAGGATCTCTAGGAAGATAGGGGTTGGTATGTTGAGGACTGCCTTCGTTACTTGCCGAGGAGCAGGCCATACTTGACAAATAGGTATGATGGTCGTAGTAGTTATTATGCAGAGTCAAGTCACAAGAGAACTCGGCGAGAAGAGGAGGGTTGCCCGTGAAAAGTGAGATATCCTTATCGATTATGTAGCATAGCCAAAATAGCATTCGAATGTGGTGGACTTCTCGTTCTGAGCGATCACTGTCGAGCCCGGAGACTGTCGATGTATGGCACAGATGCCCGCGCAGAGCGCAGACAATGCGACACGCAATCGATTGGAAGAAGGTCGCGCCTTGCCAGTCGGAGTAACATGCGCGCTGTATCAGCTATTTGGAAACATTAGCGTGCATCTCAAGTGGTCACGATATCACGAACTGACCAACATGACTGCCGCTTGTAGTGTTGACAAGCTGACATCGTCGGAGATACGAAGTAAGAGACAATGTGCCCTGGCCGCGCACAAATCCGCATCTACGGAGGCTATTATCTGCCTCGAAAGGCCTAGGCGAGGCGCAACGGCCAACATGCCCAAAACACACGCCCTGGCTGAAATCTGTATAGATGAGAACAGTGTCCCTTCCAAAGGCTCGTATGCGGTCTCCATGGTTGTCTGAAACAAAATCTCGTCCAGCACTGGGAAGGCCAATCTGAATGAGGAATTGAAGAAGGCGGCCACAATTTCCCGCGTCACATGTTGATCAGGTAGTTCGTATACCGTCTGTGAGAAAGATTGCTGGAGGATCGATGCTTCAGAATCTCTCATGATAGGAATGCTGAAATCAGCCCAAGAGACCGCCTGCCCGGTTCTTTGGGAGACCCACTCGCGGCCTCCTTCTGAGGAGATCGGTATGCCATTGAAGTACCAGTTGGGTCCCCATTGACGTGCAGATCTAGTAGTTCTAGTAGAATCATCTCTGGAAAGCTGATCATAAGAGCGACTTGGAGTCTGTGTCAAGGCAGCTGGGGAGGGCAAGCTCGTGGAAGGAAAGGGGCCTTCCCTGGCACTCACTAAGGTTGAAACTTGGCTTACGGTGAAGCTAGAACGGACTGGCGTCGGCGATGTCTCTGGGTTATCCAACGGCTGACCTGGCGTCTGTGGAGTGGAACCAACCCGTGACAAGGCGCCCTCAAGCTCCTGAATACGTTGGAACAACGTCTGTACATCGCTAGAATGCGGAAAGACGGAAGCTTTAGAATCGCGTACTTAAAAGTTCGTGTGTGGGATATCAGGTAGAGTTCAGACCTGTTACGCCGTTTCTTCCGTGGGTTCTCCCTCCGGAACGTGCATTCATAGCCTCGCTGATTGCACCTTTTACACGGGCCATCCGGGGTTGGAAGAGAGCACTGGACCTGAAAAGGAATCAGCATCCGCACAACTCATAATCCAAACTCAAGGAGATATATGCACCTTTTTTCTGTAACAAACGTCGCATGCCCTCTTCTGGTGCAAAGAACTCGCTGGGGTCATCGGAGCCGACTGATCAGCCAAACGGTGTTTCAAGTGTTTTTTCACTTGAGGAAATTGGTGAAGGTCCTCGGAGTTTTCGGAGGCCGCAGAAGGATCATGTGACATCACGGTGGAGAGTTGTCGGTATTTGATTGGCCCTTTGGAGCCCCACAAAATAAGCTTCGTTCCCGCAATGACCCACCCTCAATCTGCCAATAGAATTTGAGTCCATTTTTCTTGGATCGTCAGTTTCCAGCGGCGTTCGGAACCTGAAGACGCCGGATAGTGAGATTAACTCTTCAGCCAATTCTCTGCCATGATGCCAGACTTGGATTCTGATAGTCAGGTCCCTGGACCGCCTGACTCCGTAAGGGAGCGTTCTGTATACCTAATACAACGCTTTCTAGAAGCTGTGTGAACAATGGCCGCCCGTCATATCGAGCAACGCACGCCTGATGAGCACACACCTCTCATCGCCGGCCGTGAAAACATCGAAGCTGGAGTTTCAACTTTCTCTGGGGATGAGTATCATCATCCAGAAAGCCATCTCTCGACCAGAAATGTCCATCGTCTCTACATATCCCATTTCTTGTCGACATGGAACTCTCGCGTCTTCGAGTTCGGGGCTGTCCTGTACTTGGCTACAGTTTATCCCAGGACGCTACTTCCGATGTCCGTATACGCACTTGCCCGTGGCCTGGTAGCGGTTGTCTTTGCATCGGCTGTGGGCTACTACATCGATGTCGGGAACCGTCTACAGGTCGTTCGTGTTTCGATTGGCAGGTGTCCCACTGGAAGAAACAGGCAGTCGTGTGATCGACATCGCTAACAGGCTGATAGTGTTTCAACGACTTGTTGTGGCAGCATCGTGTGTTATATTCTACGTACTGGCGATTGGAATGCCCATGACACGAGTAGTGAACCTAATTCTGCTGGCGACCCTTACAGTCCTGGCTTGTGTTGAGAAGCTATCCTCTATCTTGAACATGGTATCCGTTGAGAAAGATTGGGTATGTTTACACACGAAGCCAGCAATTCCGTTACTGACAGAAACTTGCAGGTTGTTGTCGTTGCAGGGACCGATCATGCAGGCCTAAGAAGTATGCTCTGGAAACCCGATTCACGAATGGATCAGATCACGTCTAATCTAATACAGGATTGAATGCCCAAATGCGAGGGATTGACCTAGTCTGCAAGCTACTCGGTCCGCTGTTCATCGCTCTCATTGATGGCATATCAACGGAAACCGCCATCAATGTCAATTTGGGGATGAACGTCTGTTCGGTCGTTGTGGAGTACTACTCCATCGCCAAGGTAGGTCTTCAAGTCCAACCAGTTGCCTCCAGATTTGACTGGTCTTTGCTCACAGTCCATTCCAGGTATATGATGAAGTTCCAGAGTTACAGCATACAAAGAAAATGTCTCATAGATCCCGGCCAGAACTTACACAGCAGAATATCTTCGCACTTGTCCACAGAACTGTTTTTCGTTGTGCACAGCAAGCTCTGAAGAATTACAGTTACTATTTTCGGCATCCATACTTTCTCCCATCCTTTTCTGGGGCCTTATTGTACTTGACGGTCTTATCATTTGCAGGTCAGATGGTCACTTGGCTTTTGTCGACAGGTTATGACGCGGCACAAGTAGCCGTGGTAAGGACTTTGGCTGTCGGATTCGAGGTATTAGCTACATGGGTTGCTCCCTGGCTCATGGGGAAGATAGGACCCACGCGTGCTGGCCTCTGGCTCGTGAGTTGGCAGGTTACATGCTTGGCCAGTGGCCTCGCTATCTTTTGGCACTTTGATAGCCAGCCTTTTCTCTCGGCGTCTGGTCTCGTCGGTGGTGTGATTCTCAGCAGACTTGGCTTGCGAGGTTTTGATCTATGTGCGCAGATCTTGGTTCAAGAGGTGAGTTATTTGAGATCCTCTTGATGTCCAAATGCAGAGAGGTGGGTAGACAGACTCTGACTAGATTTATACTCTACAGGGCATTGAAGCCGAGGCGCGGGGATCCTTCTCATCAACTGAAGCCGCGTGGCAGAACCTATTTGAGATCTGCTCCTTCGTTTCCACCGTTATCTTCTCACGCCCAGATCAGTTCAAATGGCCAGTTTTAATTAGCGTAATTTCTGTCGCCCTTGCTGTTCTCCTTTACGCAATGTTCGTGCGGATTCAAAGAGGGCATCTAGTGCATTTTCCCAGTTGTTTTGGCCCCGAACGCCTGCACCGCTCCGGAGAACGAGCTCTCGAGAGGATCTCTTCCTTCTCGGATATCTGACCTTTCAAATTTTGACATGCATCTCAGACGTTAGTACGACGAAAGGAAATCTTTGTTGAAACAAGGCTCAAGTACATAGTGTGTGATAGCCATTGTACAGTCGTGGCCAAATTTGTATGTACGTCACACAGAACTCCATGATCATGTTGGAAACTGGGTTATAGGCGCAGTTTAAATACTATATTTCGAGGAATACTCTAGCGTTTGGTAACTCAGACTACATTGTAAATGCGCTCGTCTCTTCTGCGGGCGGATATCTTTGCCTTAAGTGTGGAGTAGAAATATTCTGCGCAACTAACTCGACAATGCCAGTTCGAATCTACGCAAATTCGAGCCTCCAGATGTCCCCAAGCCGGTTGTTCGACTCTCCCAGCCCGCCATGAACAATAACGACATTTGCGGCCGCGACATCAGCGTCAAACCAACCTCTTGCAACTGGAACTTCACCACCCTGTAGATCTACCTGTTCCCACTTCTTATCCGCAATGTCAAAGGCCCATACATCACCCAACATCTTTCCCGCACCCTGATGGCCCAATGAACTAGGATCTCGCTCTCCGAACAGTGTAACAAGGTAATATCGGCCGCTGGTGGAAAGTGGTAGTAACGCGCTGACACTCCGCGGCGCCGGGCCATCCCTCCCATCGGGAACATAAACGTGCGTGTCCCAAGAACGAGTCTCTGGAGTGTAGATGTCCAGAGTTCCACCATGCTCGGTTTTTCCGTCGAAGCCATTCATACGATACAATTTCCCATCGACGAATGCAATCGATGTGCCACCACGAGGTGGATCGGACGCCGGTGCAAGCTCAGTCCACTCCTTGCCAGGGACATTAAAGGCCCAGAGGTCTGAAAGTCGTCCTGATTCAGGGCATCCTGCATGGATATAAAGTGTATCTTTGCCGTCACTAGCCATACAATGATAGCTGCGAGCCGCCGGCACTGCAGCTGACTTCGTTCTAGAAGGTTGAATCAGACACCAAGTTTGCGTTGACGGGTCATATTCCCAGATTGCGCCTTGCTCTTCGATCGGAGCCATTGCCACGCCCCCACGGCCGGAGAATAGGTAGATTTTGCCATTGAGAGTTGCGGATGCTGATCCGACTCTAGCGGAGGGGCACAAAGATGCTTTAGGATGGGTATTTATCGAAGCAGTTGCTATAAAGTTCAGTGGTTAACATTGTTTGAGACCAGAGAGTTAGTTCCCTGTCATGGGCTTTGCAGCTTACTATCATCCAAGGACACAGCGTGCACGTCATTATCCCGAGGCTCACGAGGCCGTAGCTCTCCTCCGAAGATGTATGCTCGATCACCCACGACTGAGACAACTTGGGACGACCGTTGAAGGATATCGGCCTCTAGGAGCTTGTGGCACTTTGCAGTGATCGCCATGGGAGCTAAAAGCGAAACAGTGTGTTGCGAGGGTATGCACCGATAGTTGGAAGATGGAAACAAAATAGCATATTTATAGGCCTCAAATAATTCCGTGGTGGCCCAAAATTGGCCGCGGAATGGTGGGTGCGGACGTCATATCCTCGTGAACTTTTTTGCGTGAAGTCGTGAGGTTCCGAATCGCCGTTGCATCAGCTTTAATCTCGAAGCAACCAATCACTTTAACTATACAGTGCCGCCAGACGGCCTCCGAAACCTCCGGAGAAACAGGAGCTAATTCTTGGGGACTTGTCAACCGTCCAAAATTCTGATCGTTAACACATCGTACGACGTACGAACAGAGCCTCATTTCTCTTCATCCTCCAGTACATTGTATACGCGATCCACGTCGTTTTCGGATCACCAGTCTCCCTCGCGCTCGGAATAGCCAAGAACCTTTCTCCCTTGCCAATCTATTCGCACTTGGACTTGTAGCTGGAAGCCGTTCTCAAGAGTGGCTGGTTTATTTGGGAAATACGTTAATAAGCCGCTGCCGACGTCATGTAGTTTGATATGGGAATAATGTATTTCATTGCTTCCTATGGAGTATTCAGGCAGCATTGATTGTTTTTTTTCTTTTTTTTTTTTTTTTCCTTACAAAATTCCACACCAGTCGTGACCATTTTGTCGACTTGTTACTATGTATCTTGGTTTCTGTTAAGGAAAAGTTGGTCGTAATGCTTAGGCGAAACCCTTGGTGGTTGAGTGGTGCTACGGTGCAGAAAAAGGCTAGAGATCTCACCAACCAAGCCTAAAGAAAAAGAAAATACTAGATACAGGAAACAGACTGACACAATCTGATACTCAAACAATCTCGCCTCCAGCACCAGATTTCGTAACTTCCATGCAGCGGTGTTAGGGACTTAGGAGTTAGGCTCGCAACGGAGTATGCCGTTTTTTACCGGAAAGTTACCGGTATTCCCGAATACGCACATTAATCAGCAGCGCCTATGGAAACACAGAGGAGCCGCTCCGATTGGTTATATCCTTTACAAATCCTTTTCTTCTTACTTCTTTTCCAGATAAGGCAGGCAAGCTAACCACTTACAGCATATTGCATACTAGCTCATACGTGTTACAAACACGCTGTTATCTCAACAAGAGCAGATAGATATAAATACTTGCGACCGCTGAGATAGTTCTGAGTTACGGCCAACCCAATTTTTCTATTCTCTAACGAATAAAAAAATAAATAAAATTAATTATGCCACGAGTACTCGTTACAGGCGGCAGCGGCTTCCTAGCAAGCGCTGTCATTGACACGCTGCTGGCTCGTGGTTATTCAGTCGTTACAACTGTTCGATCGCATGAAAGGGCCAACCAGCTGCGCGCAGACCGACCAGGTGTCTCGCCCGCTCAGCTTGACTATGCCATTGTGGATGACATTGCGCGACTAGGCGCTTTTGACGCCGCTGTCCAACAAAGCCCTCCCCTCGACGCCGTTATCCACACGGCCAGTCCGTTCCACTACCGCATCGACGACCTCAAGAGGGACATGCTCGATCCGGCGGTGAACGGCACAGTGGGCGTGCTGCAGTCGATTCACAAGTACGCACCGACCGTCAAGCATGTTGCAATTACATCCAGCTTTGCCTCCATGTACAACAATCCGAATAAACCGACCGGCTCGACATACAATGAAGACGACTGGAACCCGGTTACCTGGGATACTGCGCTGAGCCCGGAACACTCAGCCGGCCAGGCTGGCTATCGTACCTCCAAGGCCCTGGCTGAGAAGTCCGCTTGGGAGTTTGTCAAGGAGAACAAGCCGTCGTTTTCGTTGACTGCGTTGAATCCTCCGCTCATCTTTGGCCCCGTCAAGCCCAACACTAGCTCTCTACAAAACATGAACACCTCGAATGCTCGCTTCGTGGAGTTCATTACTGGGGCTGTAAAGGAAAAGTGTCCGCCTACGGGAAGCCTGTTCTGGGTCGACGTGCGCGATGTGGCTTTGGCACATGTGTTGGCCATTGAGAAGCCCGAGGCCGCCGGGAAACGCTACTTTGTGGCTGCCGGCCCCTTCTCCAATGTCGAACTGGTTGCTTTTATTGGCGAGTCTTTCCCCAAGTACAAAGATCTGTTGCCTAGCGGAGAGGCATTGGTTCCAGGCCAGTATCCGAAGGGAGGGCCGCCGTACAAGGTGGATAATTCACGGTCGGTTGCCGAACTGGGATTGACGTATCGTACGTTGAAGGAGAGCGTCGAGGATACAGTGAATAGCATTGCGGCTTTGTTCAACAAGGCTTGATGTATATATCTGGTCAAGTATTCCGTGATGTGTAGATCCCCATATATATATATATATATATATCTACCTCTATATGACGTGAAATTGATTTAATGAGAGGAAACCGTGCACAATTTACAAAGTGGGAAAAATTTAGAGTGCTACTTCAGTATTTTATTGATCAGAACCATAGGTTAAACTAATTGCGTAAACTAATTGCAAGGGTCCCTTGAGGAAATTGCTGCGCAGCCGAATCAGAATCGCCGTGACGTGCCTGAGGCATTCGATGGCGACAACAGTGTGGCCCAATCAGGAAATCCCAGGGTGCTTGTGCTCGCTGGCATTTATATCAATACAAATAATTGTATCTGAAGCAACCCCAGACCTTAATATTTTTTTTTATCACGAGCAGACAATTTTATCGACCTCCTTAGGAAAACACCATAATCATGGCGGAAGACAGCAGCACATCCAAAAAACAAATCATCCTCAATGCGTTCGTTATGAACACTCCCGGGCATCAGTCGCCAGGACTTTGGCGTCATCCCCGCAATAAGACGGCTCAATACAAAAAGCTTTCTTTCTGGACGGATCTCGCGCAATTGCTAGACAAGGCCGGCTTTCATGCAATGTTCATCGCCGACACGCTAGGTCCGTACGACGTCTACAAGGGGCCTGCGAATGTCGTGCCAGCACTGGCGTCTGGTGCACAATTCCCAGTAAATGATCCTCTGTATTTGGTCCCGGCAATGGCCTCGATCACTAAAAATCTGATCTTCGGCGTGACCGCCAGTCTTACATATGAAAAGCCGTATGCACTCGCACGAAGATTTTCTACAGTCGACCACCTCAGCGAAGGCCGAGTGGCGTGGAACATTGTCACTTCGTACCTTGACAGTGCCGCTAGGAACCATGGTCTGAAAGAGCAGATTCCCCACGACGAGCGCTATGCAATTGCGCATGAGTACATGGAAGTCGTGTACAAGCTCTGGGAAGGCAGCTTTCGTGACGACGCCGTTATCGAGGACAGGGAAGCTCATACCTATATAGCGAGCGACGCCGTGCGACAGATTAACCACAAAGGGAAATACTTTGAGGTTCCTGGGCCTCACTTTTGCGAACCGTCCCCGCAACGCACTCCTTTCCTGTTCCAGGCAGGCGTCTCTGAGGCAGGAAACGGGTTTGGCGGGAAGCACGGAGAAGCCATCTTTATCGGCGGTCAGACGCCTGATGCAGTTCGCGCTACAGTTGACAATATCCGAGGCATTGCAAAGAAGGAAGGCCGCGATCCGAAAAATATCAAGATCATACTGGCCATCTGTGTCATCGTGGCTGCAACTGATGAAGAAGCCAAGGCGAAACGCGAAGAGTACCTGAGCTACGCAGATTTTGAAGGTGCTTATGCATTGTTTGGTGGATGGACGGGGGTTGACCTGTCCAAGTATTCCGACGAGGAGAACTTTCTAGTAACAGACTCGCCTCGCGTCCAATCTCTGATCCGCCGCTGGGCAGCCTCGGTGCCGGGGACAGAGAACCAGCCCTGGACCAAGCAGACCATTGCCGAGTATCTGAGCGTCGGCGGCCTGCAGGCAAAGTTGATCGGAAGTCCAACCACCGTGGCTGACCAACTCGAGCAATGGGTCGAATCGACCGACGTGGACGGCTTCAACGTGATTCATATAACAAACCCAGGCTGCTTCGAAGACATTGCCGAGCTTCTCATCCCCGAGCTGCAGCGGCGTGGACGGTTTAGAAGCCATATCGAACAGGAAGGGGCCACTGCGCGCGAGGTCTTCATCGGATCGAAGAGGCTGCCTGAAGACCATCCAGGAAGCAAATACAAGTGGCGTGCAGGGGAAGAGAGGCCAGCTTATCAACAAGAGCTGTCATCGTAGCTTGCTTAGTAGACCGGGCAAATAGTTCCATATTCATTTGTTCAAATACAAAACATCAAAACATCATACATAAATTTGAACTTTCGCTGAGCGTGCTGCAGTGCCACGATGGCGCGATAGTAAGCCAGCGTGGTCTCACCCAAGCAAAATAAACTAACTGTTTGGTGGGGTCGTTCGCATTTTCTCTTCGTCCCTCCGCTGCAAATTTCTGACCATAAAGTAAACCGTATACCAACAAAAACACAATGCCGATATCAACGAATTTCAAGCTGCCCAGCTCGGTGAACGCCTTGGATCTGCCCACCGAGACAAACGCGGCAGTCTTCATTGCTTTCCTGGCTTCTACCGACCCGACAACAGGCAGACCGTGGTGTCCCGACGTGGTGGCCGCATTGCCGCATCTTCGAGCTGCGTTTTCCGACAGTACAGGGCCGGAGGTGGCTTTTGTCGAAGTTGGACTACGGCCGGAGTATGTGGTTTACCCAATATCTTCTGTTTGACCAAGAGCCTCTTTGCTAACTGTACGCAAAAGGTGGAGAGATCCCTCTAATATCTACCGAACCAAGTGGAATGTGAACAGCGTCCCGACTTTGGCGCGCTACGAACGAATCTCTGGCAAGCCACAGGAGGTTGCTCGCTTAGTTGAAGGGGAAATTCTTGACTTGAAGCGGCTCGACAAGTTTATTCGTGGGTCGATTTGAAGGACGACCGCAGTATGTATTGCATTACTTGCGAGGAACAGGTTCATAATATCTGTCCTATATTTATTTCAACAGCTAGAAATCTGATAATCAAGACCCTTCCTTCGCGGCAATGATCTCCGTGTACATTTTCTCCCACACCTTCACTCGAAAATATATGTCGGCATGTGTCCCCTCCGGCACGACGATGATCTTCCAATCTGCTTTCTGAAGATGTTCCACCATTCGATGCACACTTTCTGGCCCAAAGAACACATCGCCATTGGTAGTGAACCACGTCGGATCAATCGGGCAATCCTTGTAGAGCCGCATCAGCGTGTCATTCGTGATGCCTTCAAATCTCTCGTAGCCAATCCGGTAGTCAATATCAAGTCTTTCGCGCGCAGCTTTCTGATCCCGGAATTGCGTCCGAATATGCTGAGCTACAAGCCTTTGACGTGCTTTCGGCGCAACAAGTGCATTTTCCGCATCTCCTTCAGGTTCTTCCTTTCCGAAAATGCCGACAAAAGCGCTTGCAATCCAGGTGTCGCCAAGCGAAGAGTCCAATTTGGTCACCATTCTGAACAGACTATTCGGCATCGTGCACATCCACTCCATAAGCTTAGAGCCAGTATACGGAGCAGGTATATGTGTACAAACAAAGAACAAGTTTGTTAGTCTTTTAGCACCTGCATGTCTTGCCAAATCGAGCAGCTGGTAGACCCCGGCGGAGTGCGCAGCAATGGCGAATCGTTGAATGTGCAGAAAATCCAAAAGCTCGAGCGTAATCTCGCTGAGCTCCGAGATGAGCTGTTGGCCGCTGCGTGCGACATCGTCTCCCTGCGTCCATCGGTCGACGCAAAGAACCGATAAATCAGGGTGAGATTCCACGAAGGGCTGGAAAACATTCACTGCAAGAGAAGCATCGGCAGCACCGTAGCAGAATAGAAGCGTATGAGCCGCACCTTCATTAAGATGCAAATAAGAGACGTTCCGGCCAGGGTGTGAAGGCGAATTGAAAATGACAGGCTGATGAAGGGACATGTTGTTGGTTACAGACGGAGATCGCAGAATGAATCAATATAATCGGAGAGTAGAATCAATCGTGACTTTAGGTGGAAGTTCCAGGGGTTTTCACTGAGCTAAAATAAATAATGTTGCATATCTGCCTCGGGGACCCGATATAGCGCCCTATCACCTTTGCTGCCTATTTTCTACCACTCTAGATCCTCTAGTGTGTGCATATACTTTCAAGGTTTTGGGTCTAGAGGGATTCCTGGCAAATAATGTTTGTTCGTTTTTGTTGGTTTGGACGCTCGGCTCGGCTCTCAGATGAAAAACATCTCCCGAGCTTCCGACTAGATATATAAAGCTAAGTATAAAACCTCAATATTTATCATATCATAATGTAGAGACAAGGAAGAGCTTTTGATAACAATGTGAGAATAGACCTCCAATCTTTCGCCAGTGATTACTGTACTCATTGCCTCGCATAGTAGGACAACTCAAGCCGATCTGGCCTTTCGGACCAAAACCGCGTATTCGTTGCCCGGTGCTTGACGAGCTTCGAAACCGAATCTCTGGTACAACGATGCCCCGACATCAGAAGCATCTACATACACCGCGACTCCCTCCTGGTCGGCCAGATCACAACCCCATTTCACCAGCATCGATCCGGCTCCTTTGCCCTGGTAAGCCGGGTGAGTGACGACCGTGTCCAGAACTAGCATGCTGTCAGTCGAAACGCATTCCGTTTTCTCATCTATCATAGGAGATTATACATACAGTAATGAGGCTCCGTGCCCATCAGCCGTCTTCTGGTCCCGTCGGACTGCTCCATGAATAGATCGCACGCTGTGTGATCCATATCTGCATGCCATGCGGGATACCGTGGACCACGCTCTTCAAGGCTGGCTCGGTCCCAGCGCGCATAGGCAACCATGGCACCTCCAGAAGTCTCCACGACTTTGATGAAGTGCGAGTGCTGCTGCCTGTTCAAATAGTCATGTCGGTAGACGTCGATCCACCATTGCCGAGCTCCAACGGTGTCCGGCATCATCTTCTGCGATTCCTCACCCTGGAACGCGGCATAATTCATAGCGATGGCATCGGGAATATCATCCAAGGTAAATTTTTCGACTTTCATAACCGGAGTGGTGTCGAGGGAGCCCATTGTGATAAATAACCTGTGTATGCAGACCTTGAAAAGGGAGTAGTGGTTTCCAGTGGATCGTGGTCAGGGGTCAGGATTGATGAGAAGAAACGTGCTTCAACGACGTAGAATCAGGGTCTTTTGTCTTCTTTAACGGGTGGCGTATGAAAGCCTGCCCGTATCAGAAAGCAAGGGGGACAAAAATGAAAACAAGAAGAGGTAAAAAGGACCATCGTATTTCCACACTAGGATCTTGATTCGGTGCTTTAAACAAGTCAGTCTACTATATGCCAACTAATAATTATTGTGATGGCTTGTATGATGGCTTATATGCACACTTATTTATAGACTGCATTACACGCTATGCCATGCATTGCCTTTAGTTACGGTTTAGGGTTTATGAAGAATCCTAAGTCTGGTAGAGTGTTATATTAGAGGGTGAGTTTGGCACAGTATCGTGGATATTCGACACAGTGAGCCACCGTCGTCTCTCCCTCGTGGAATGATGTCCTGAGGTACTCAGCGCCATAGCCCAAGATGATGACTTGACGAAGTTTGACCTGATATCGCGCTGCTGATGTACTACTAGAGCTATCTCATTTAGGGATCGGATGACGATAAAGGTAAAATAGATCAATACACCGAGGAAGAATATTTTCATTGCATGAGACGGGAGCCTCCTAGCCACATATGTAATAACGACACAGTATCTTAACTTCATACATGTATCCCATGGAACTGATATATCTCGTAATATAACTACCATCCTGACTCTCCTTTAAACTAGGTCATACCCTGCATCTACCGGAACAAAGGCACCCGTGATATAAGAGGACGCGTCAAGAGCTAACCATAGGGCCGCCTGGGCAATCTCATCTGGCTGTGCAAATCGACCAAGGACACCAATGCGAGATGCCATATCAGCCTCAGTGAGTCCCAGCTTCTGGAGCCCCGTGGCCGTCAATTCCGTCATTGTGCCCCCGGGACTCAGGGCATTGACCCGGATCTTATGTGCTCCGTTCTCCATGGCCGCAGACCGAGTCAAACCTAAGACTCCATGCTTGGCTGCCGTATACGCGGGCATCATGGGCCCCGGCTTGCGGATTGTGGCTGAGGCCATGTTGATGATTGAGCCGCCGGAGCCTTGCGCGATCATAGCCTGGAGCTCCCACTTCAGACACAGGGCGACACCCGTGAAATTGACCGAGATGAGTCGGTTCCAGTAGTCCTCGTCTAGCTCAGAGATAGGCTTTGTATCGCACTGCATCGCGGCATTGTTGACGGCGATATCAAGTCTACCGAATCGCGTGACAGCCGCCTGAACCATGGCTTGCACGCTCTGGGATTTGGAGACATCCGTAGCCACAAACAGAGCCTGACCCCCAGCGGCCTGAATCTCAGCCGCTGCTTGCTTGCCCGCCGCCTCGTTGATCTCAGCGACGACGACGCTGGCTCCCGCGGCAGCAAACAGCACGGCGATGGCTTTGCCAATACCGCCGCCAGCACCGGTAACGATGGCGGTCTTCCCAGCCAAGGGGGTACTGGTTAGTAATTGCGGTGAGACGGTCATAATGAATGGGACTGGGAATGGATCTTTGCTTAGCCGAAAGCAGAGTTGGTTAAATGGGCCGGCAACTCTTGTTTTTGAAGAAAAGATTCCACCGCCATTTCCTCTAATGCTGTTCCACGCACTCTTTGCTTATTGCAGCTGTTACACAGCATTCTTGGTGGGTATATTAGATGTTCATACATGCATAGAATGTGCCAACAAACACCGCAAGGGTTGCGATCTTCCCAGAGACGCGGCAGCAAGGGACGATGACATTCCCGCAGCTCAGTTTGGGACAGAAAAAAGCATGTTCCACTTTTGGTGTTCAGAATAGAAGACTGTCTGATGCGAGAACGTCTCCAACCATCAAGTCTGTATCTACACGACGCCCTACAAAATTTCTGGCGGTTGCAATTTGCCTTCTCGGCCTCCCAAAATTATGGCCCCCTACAATGTCATCATTTTCGATCTGGGAGATGTCCTGTTTACATGGTCTCAGCACACCGACACGAAGGTCTCCCCCAAGGTCATGCGAAAGATTATCACGATGCCAGCTTGGTTTGAATACGAAAAGGGCCTGCTCACACGGGATGCATGTTATGGCCAAGTAGGCAACGAGTTGGGCCTCCCAGCCTCGGAAATCGCCAATGCTTTCGAGCAAGCCCGGGACTCACTGCGCGAAGATCGAAAAATGACTGCATTCATTAGCCAGCTAAAAGCCAGAAAACCGAATTTACTGGTCTATGCCATGTCAAACATCTCTAGAGAAGATTACGACTTTTTGCGCACGGTCGAGGCTGACTGGTCCGTGTTCGATCGTGTGTTTCCCTCGGGCTACGCAGGCATGCGTAAGCCAGATGTTGAATTCTTCAAGCATGTTCTGAGTGAAATCTCGGCCAAGGCGGAGGAGGTAATTATGGTTGATGACAAGTTGGAGAACATCCAGGCGGCACGTTCATTGGGAATTCATGGCATTCAATTCACAGACCCGGCACAGGCTCGAGACCAGATACGGAGGCTTCTGGGCGTGAACTTCTATCTCTCTCTATATGAAAAAAAATTTCAATTTCTGCTTGTGTTGCTTTCTTCTTTACTTTTTGTTTTCCTGCATTACCGAGTTGCATAGAGATGTGTCACAGGATGTCAAATGCGATTGGATTGGAAAATTGTGCATATATAGATACAACAAGATTTAGGCATCTTTGCCCTAGCTTTCCAATGACGATCTTTGATACATCCCTAGAATGTCATGCGAGGATGCTAGAAAATGACGAAAGTACGTAGTACTTCAAGTCGATCCCTGCCCAGATTGTCTGCATATTTTATATGTACATATTTTGCATCTACATTTTTCTCCGGTTTAGCCCAGAAAAGGGTGAGAGTACATGCAGGAGAGCGACTGCGCGCATTTCTGCTTATTCTACTCATCGATGCTACTGATTAGTCATGCAGATATGTAATCTTTGCCCTATAGCTGACTGACCATGCTCGTTTGTCTTGGTTCCTGACTTGAAAAATTTATGACGAATCCAAACACCTTCCACTTCTTTTTGATATTCATACCCATTCATTGACACCAATAAACAATCGCGGTACACCTGTCGTTTAAAACTTTCGTTATGCAAGCTCTCTTGACCACGCTGGTCTGTGGCCTCGTAGTCCTGACTACTCTCTGGATCAAGACCAGGTTGAAAAACATCCCCCCCGGTCCGCCTCGTCTGCCTATTCTAGGCAATCTACACCAGTTTCCATCGGGTTCGGTGATCTCGACTTTTGACAAATGGCACAAGAAATACGGACCAATCGTGGGTTTGTCCCTGGGTAGCCAGACCTTGATCCTCCTAGGAAACATGGAGGTGGCGAAAGAGCTCTTTGGCAAGCGCGGCCGAATCTATAGCTCACGGCCGCGCATGGTGATGGGCAATGAGAACCTGACACAGAACAAACACACGGCCCTGCTCCCCTACGGACCCAAGTGGAAGATCCATAACCGCATCCACAACTCCATCCTGGCGGCGGGAAAAACGCAGCATTATACCGAGCTCATTGAGGGAGAAAGCATTCGGGTGCTGCACCATCTGATGCATACTAGCGAGTACAATCGATGCTACACGCGCTTCACATCGAGCATCATCTTTAGCCTCGTGTACGGCAAGCAGCTGCAGGGTGACGAGCCAGAGTTCCATGAAATGCTGCAGATTGCAGAGAACTTTGTGGCAGCCATCGCTGGCGGCACCTGGTTGGTCGACATATTCCCCTTCATCAACCGGTTGCCGAGCTTCCTCAACCCGTGGAAGCGTATGGGGAATCGCTTCCATGACCGAGCCATGCGCCTGTTTGAGTCCAATGCAACCCACGCTATGGGCACGAAGGCCTGGAACTTCACCAAACACGTCCATGCTGCCGAAGACACCAGCGGACTCACCGATCGGGAGGTCCTGTACATGATCGGTGTGCTGTTCGAAGCTGGCAACGATTCAACCTCCACCGTGCTGCGATTTTGTACTATGGCCGCCATTCTGTTCCCAGACGCGGTGAAACTGGCACAGGCAGAGCTCGACGCCGTTGTGGGCCCTTCGCGTCTCCCAAGCGTCGACGATCTGCCCCAGATGCCATACGTCAGTGCATTCATTAATGAGGTGTTGCGCTGGCGTCCCATTACGCCTGGTGGTGTGGTACATGCCAGCTCAGAGGATGACATCTTCATGGGCTACAAGATCCCACGAGGTTCCGTGCTCATGTTTAACCATTGGTCTGCCCACCTGGACGAGAAGACATACGATGACCCCTTGTCCTTCCGCCCAGAGCGCTGGCTGGAGAACGATAATCTGCCTCTCCATGCCTTCGGATACGGTCGCCGCGTCTGTCCCGGTCAGTATGTTGCCCGTAAGACCTTGGACGTCATGATCCCACGACTGCTCTGGGCGTTCGACTTCGAAGCTGGGTACGAGAACGGGGTGCGCGCTAAGATTGACCCTTACAATCTGCAGGAACTGGGAGCACTGCTGCGACCGGTGCCTTTCCCTGCTATCTTTAAGCCACGCGATGAGGCGCGTCGGGCTCTGATTGACAAGTCGTTTGCCAACCGTGATGCCAATCTCGATGGCATTCTCAACCGAATTGAGACCGCCATCTCTCGAGGTTCTGAGGTTAAATGAAAGCCATGTTAGCAGAAGCTTACCTGCTATAGCTGATGTACTTCACCTATTCTCATTCTAATAATTGTCACCATTATCTTTATGATTGTTGTTGTGTGTCAACCCGAGGCTTATTAGGGCTAGGGCTTTGCCCCAAGTTACCGGTGACGCTTCTTTTTGTTAAGGAACTTGGAAATTTCTAATGATTTTTACACTATCTACAAAGGTTAAAGACTAGTAAAAGTTGAGATCTAGTCCAAATCAAAGGTTTTTTTTTTTTTTTTTCCCTTTTTCTTAATTGTCAGCTTGAATGATTGTAGACGGCGTGTAGACATAAACAAGGGGCTTGCAGAGACATCTCCCATGTAGAGCTGTGCTCCCTCGTTTTGTGCCAGGTTAAAAGTTTTTCTTTATTGCTTCGAATTCTTTTGTAAGGCTGAAACGGCAATTTGATCTTCTATGTGACATTTTCCACCGCCTTCTGTACCCACGTAGTCATCAATAAGGTGAAAGGACTACAAAAGCTTGGAATGTAACAGAGTACAGAATGCCATTGTATTGAAAGCTTGGCGAATCTGGATAATATTCTACGTGGGATATCTGTATCCTGTTCTAGAGACTAACTCCAAAACTTGTTTGCGCAGTTGAATTCTTGGTTTACAACATCGATGCATGCAGTTCGGCTCACCGTTTATTTACGTACGATAGATCGCGCAGATCAGAGCCCAATTTCCTCCTTGCCCATCCCTCGCATGAACGGCTCCTTACACGACAGTTCTGAACATAGCAAGGGCAAGTGCTACGCATCATTCCCAACGTCGGTGAAGAGGGAATTGTTAGGCGCAGCTGAAAATGAGACGGAAGAACGGGCTTCAACAGAATGAGGATGAATGACGTCCATGATCTATCCCCCTTTATTTCCTCCAACGACATCAGATTATTCTTTGATTTCAGTTGCCTTGACTCAGCTGGTAACTGTGAGACCATCTCTTCAACTCCTCTACTTGCTTCAAAACATATAGCTATCATCACACACCATGGCCATAATTACACTACCTAAAGCGGATAACCTCAGTATTTCGGATCGTCAACAGCTCGCAGAGTGGAATGCTGCCGTCTCAGAAACCCAGGGACTATGTGCTGGGGACCTTTTTGCGCGTGTTTGCCAGGAGAAGCCAAACGCAACGGCCGTGGAGGCATGGGATGGCAAGCTAACTTTCCATGAACTGGATGTGAAATCCTCCATGCTTGCCCGGCTCTTGCTAAAGCAAGGTGTCGGACCCGAGGTATTTGTAGCAATCTGCTCAGACAAGTCATATTGGACTACCATCGCCGTCTACGCAGTGACCAAGGCCGGTGGTGCCTTTGCGCTCTTGGATCCCTCCCACCCGCTCACTCGCTTGCAGGAGATCACGAGCGATCTCCGAGCGCATCTGGTGCTTTGCTCCCCAGGTCGAGCAGAGCTCGCCAGCCAGCTGGCTGACGGTCTGTCCATGGTCATTCTCGACAACCGCCTGGAGGAAGAACTCGTGCAACTGGATGCCGGAGAACCGGTGCCATCCGTTAGCGTGAAGCCTCACCATCCTCTCTACGTCGTATTCACCTCGGGGTCGACCGGAAAGCCCAAAGGCACCGTTCTTACCCATGAAGCTATGACATCTGCTTTACTGGCCTACAAGGACGCTCTGCAGCTCGGCCCACATGCACGGGTGCTCCAATTCGCCTCGTACTCGTTTGATGTGGGCGTCTACGACCAATACTGGTCTATCTTGCCAGGCGGTTGTCTCTGCGTACCCTCGGATGACGACCGCCAGAATCGTCTGGAGGAAACCTTCAACAAGTGGCAGGCGAATTGGGTACAACTTACTCCATCGGTTTCACGGATCATAGATCCCCGCAATGTACCTTCGTTGAAGTACCTGGTCCTCGGAGGCGAGAGTCTCACACGCCGTGACCTTGATACTTGGAACCCCCATGTGCATGTGGTCGGCCTGTATGGTCCTGCCGAGTGCTCTATGGCTGTCACTGTGCAGACTTCTTTCACACCTTCTACACCCCTAGCCACTCTCGGCCATGCGTACGGGACAAGGTGCTGGGTGGTTGACGCACACGACCATACAAAACTGGTACCTGTAGGTGCCACCGGCGAACTAATCCTGGATGGGCAGATAGTCAGCCAGCGGTACCTCAACAACCCGCAGCAGAATGCCCGAGCCTTCATTCAAAACCCACCTTGGCTACCCTCAAACCGACCGTCCGACCGACTACTATATAAGACGGGCGACCTGGTACGGTATCAGTCTGATGGAACACTATACTTCCTAGGCCGGAAAGACACCCAGGTCAAGCTGCGTGGTCAACGCATCGAGCTCAGTGAGGTTGAACATCATGTCCGGCAGCATTTGACCGGCCGCCCTGAGGTCGTCGCAGAGGTCGTTGTGTCCCCCAACCGATCACCCTCGTTGAGCGTCTTCATCTTATCACCAACTTCTGACGATAAAGACGAGCTGTTCGGTCGCGCGGATGAGGCATTCAGAGCGCAGGTGCGAGAGCTACAATCCCAGGTTCGACAGAGTGTGCCGCGATATATGATCCCAGATGTGTATCTGCGTCTCAATCGTCTCCCCATGACCAAGACAGGAAAGACAGATCGCAGGCATCTACGCGACCAGGCAGCACAGCTCAATGCCGACCAATTGTCGCTCTACAGTGGTATGTCTAGTGCGGCCAGCAAGGCGATGCCGATTGGAGCAGCGGAGGAAATTATGCAAGGTCTCTGGGCCGACATCCTCGGGGTCTCGCAACTCAGTATTGGCCGCAACGATGGGTGGGTGTCGCTGGGAGGGGACTCCCTGCTGGCCATGAAACTCGTAGGCAAGGCACAGCATACACCGGGGCTGGCCAACTTCACCGTGCCGGACGTTTTCAACTCTCCTACTCTGGCAGACCTCGCAAGACTGACAACCATGGATTCAGCTTCCCGCCAGCTGCTCCCGCCCGTTGAGCCTTTCGGTCAGCTATCGTCAGCCGAAAGAACGGCTATTGTTCAAAAGGCGCAGGATCAATGTCAGCTGGCTCCCGGAGAAGCTATAGAAGATATCTATCCTTGCACAGTACTACAGGAACGTATAATCCGGCCGTCAGAGCAGCACCTGGGGAACTATACCCTGCGGATGGAGTTCTCGATGCCCGCTGACGTGGACGAGGATAGGCTGGCACGGGCCTGGAAGCACATGGTAGCCTGCCATCCCATTCTGCGCACGCGAATTATCGAGATTCAGCCTGAGCGGTGGTACCAAGCGGTAGTCCGTGAAGAGATTCCCCTCGACCGGCCGACAAGTCTGGAAAGCTACAACACCCAGAACGCAGATACCTGGGGCATCGGACGTCGTTTGGCATGTGCGGCCTTAAGCCAGGACAAGGGAACTTTGGTAGTGGTGCTGCATCACGCACTGTACGACCTGTATACCCTCACACAGCTCTTTCTTCACATGGATCAGGAGTACCGTGCAGAAGCACCATCCTCACCCAGCATCATTCCCTACAGTGCATTTGTGCGATGGACCCGGGAGATCGAGCCGCGCACCCGGAAGTTCTGGGCCAACATGTTTGAGGGCTTTCATGGTAGCATCTTCCCTCCGCTACCAACCCCGTCCCATCAATCTCTCGAGAACGCGGAACTACATCAGCACGTTCCCCTTGTAGCGGATGAGTTTACCGCATCCAACAAGCTGGCTCTCGCCCTGGCGATCGTAACTTCGTGGCATATTGGCGTGCCCGACGTCGCCTACGGCTTCACCATGGCTCGTCGCGGAGCACCTGTGCCGGACATCGCGGCTATGGTGGCGCCGGCGGCGACCATCTTGCCTGTCAGAGTGCAGTTAAACGAGGAGCTGAGCGTGCGAGCAAGTTTGCAACGCATGAGGCAACAATCTTTGGAAATGATGTCCGTTGAAGGCATCGAGGCCCGCGACATTGCTACCCTCAACCCTGGCGCTGCTGCCGCGGGTCAATTCCAGACACTGTTGCTCATTCAACCGGACATCTCTCAGGAGTTCCCTGGCCTGTTTACCCGTTGGCAGATGATTACCGATCGCATGCGAGCACAATGGGCGCTCATGCTGGCATGCTGGTTGTCGTCTGATTCTGTGACGCTGACGGCCAAATTCGATCGAGAGGTCATCAATCACGCGCAAGTACAAGGCTTTTTGGACGAGATGAAGGCTGTTATGGCTTTGTTGCACGACAGTCCGCAAATGTTGCTAAAGGACATTCATGACCACGTTCATAACGAGGCTAAAGTGCCAGTTCACGTTGTCGCCAAGCCAGTTGACTTGGTTGAAGTTTGAGAGGACACGCTGTTTGACATTGAGATTTTAGGTCTATTTCGGTGCTAGAGGTTCGATAACGACAAGAGACATATTTTGCTTATCATACATATAGGCACGCACGTTCTTTATATTGACTACGCCAGAGTTAGAATTTGACGATTTGTTTATTCCTAGACAATTGATTTCAAGCATTCCTTTCAACGAGACTTCCCAAACTTAGTCTAATGCTGGACCAGGTGCTACATGTTCGTATAAAAACATAATGCGTTATGACGCAGAGTAATAGGGCTTCTTCATTTTCTTCACGTTTTACATGCATGCTAAGATCATTGTGTTGAATATTGTGAACGTAGCTACTAGCTATAATACTTGGTAATGACTGTTCTTTAACATAATGACATCACTCTGGGTTCATTCCTTCATATTTTATACCATCATACCCTATCCTACGTGCTCAAGGGCTAGTGTCTCAACCTCCGACTTCATGGTTCTGAAAGCAGCTTTACTGAACCACGTTATGCTCAAGGCTGGGTGACCTGGAGGTTTTTGATTTCATAGTTTGTTTCTGGAAGTCCCTAGTTAGTATCCGCTAGGAAATTAAAGAACAGATTAAAGGAGCATACTTGATTTCGGCCCTGGACTGCCACTGCTTCCCTCCATCTGCAAATCAATAATCAACCACAATGGCTGTCCCACTAGGCCATGTGCATATTGATGAGCTGTTTGCTGTCCATCCATGTAGAATTTAATGCTCACATCACTTCCATTCTCATCTTCGAGCACAGCACGAATTGTGTGGAAGGATCCAGGATTATTGTACGGAATTTGAGTCACCTGCACAGCACTCGACGTGTTGAACGTGTTGAAGTTGATCATTCCGTTTCCTTTCCATTCGGCGATGTCAACCTCGGGGGGCCACGAGTTGGCGCCAGTTAGCCAGAAAGCAGGCCAGGTACCTTTGGCAACAGGGGCGATAAAATCGGCAGAGAAAGTCAGGCCACTACCTTGGGCGACAGTGAATTGTTGCTTTGCGTACACGGTACCAGAATCATAACTATACGGGGAGCTACCCGTATAGGTTGACCAAAGAGTCAAAGTTCCCGGTGACAAAATCTGAGAATGGCCACTCCACATAATGGCGGCTCCGTTATGAGTTTGTCCCCATGGATAATGGTATTCGAAGAACGTGGTGAGAGCAGAGGTGGAGTCGAAGCAGGACGTTGGAATGAGCGTTTGGCTTCGTTTCTCGAGGGCTGAGTCCGGATGGGGATGTGCCAGTGCCAAAGAAGGCAGCAGGGCGAGAAAGAAGGCGCCTGGGAAATGCATCGCCGAAAGTCCTATCTTTAGGGCGAAGAAAGGGCAAGAGGCTGTTGTTTTTTCGTGTATTCTTCTGAATAGCATCGCTCCTGCAACCGGCTGGTCACAAGCATTATATAGGCAATGTGCGTTTGAACGAAACCCAGGGGGAACGATCAACCTCCCCCTCAGTATTTGGCCACTCCGCTGCAAATGATTCAGATGAAGGGGGTTATGGTCTGTGAGTTATTATTACATAGCGTTGCATCAGTGTCGAGACGGGTAATTACAAACAACCCGAAATGCCGAAATGGGTAATTCGTGAGCTCACTCCGTATTGCATATAACCGACAATCACAATAATTCTGACTGTTAGTCTAGATTAGTTAGCCCTCAGGAGATAGTTCATAGTTGCCTAATTGAACACGGATGGCAAGTTCTTCAGTATTCTCTTGCTGTTTCTGAAGAGGGAGCCTTTTCTACGGTACTTGTCGAATGTTGCCAAGTCGGAAAGCATGCTCTGGGTATACACACACTGTAACTGCCAGGAAAAGGATATAAGCCGTCTCGCCAAGCAGGGCGAGAACGCCCCGCTAAGTGATTGAGCTCATTCCCCATATCCCAGGCATGTAGAAGAAGGCCATTTCCTGTGATAGAGGGCATGACATGCCAGGATAAAGATCACACGTAAGGCTTCGAGGTAGTGCCGTAAAGGGGAGAAGACAGAACGGAACACGCACAGCCTCGTTTGTCCACTATTATTAATTTAAATAAATGGCCGTTTTTATTGCACCAGGCTCGATTGCTACTCACCTTCACATGTAAAGCCACGCATGATTTGAGCACTAAGAGCATCTCGACAACCATCTAAAACTGTGTACAACAACAACAACAGTAGCCGCAGGATACCACTATTTACATTCGTTTTGCACGTACAGCTTCCCATGTAGCTATCGAACGCTGCGAAGGTAGCTAGGATAGCCACTGAGTTTGCAGTGCTCCTTGAGAAGTTAGTAAATCCTCAGCCGCACGCCTCCCTGTTATCTAGCTCATTTAGTTGATGGCCCACTTGCTGGGGATTCGTGTCGAGCTTTGATTTGAACAAATCCCGTTTCTGAATTCTCTTCTGACTTTCAAGATCCTTGCTCCCTCAGCTATTTGAGTTGTGTGCTATTCTGTTGCATCTGGCGCTGCAATTATTTTAAAAACAAGGAATAATGAAGCTTTCCTTGCTAAGACTGGTTAGGTGATGCAAGCATTGGTTGAGAAGTAGACTGAACGATCTTCAAATAAATCCAGATTACAAGTTGTAGTCCATCGTCAACATTGCATTGATCGAGAGGCAGTACTACTTACCTGGATAGCCACACTTCGCGCCCTTGCATCTATAGAACATGTATATGCAAACGAAGTGGCTACTTTATAAACTGTATTTTATGTAGATTTCTCACGTTGCAAGTCATTAACTGAACCAGAGTTATAATCCTTGCAAAACGCCTTGAAGTATGATGATCAAGATCCCTTTACATAAAGATTAGTGTAGGCAACGACCAGCTTTCCCTGAACTACATATTTTTAATTTTGATTTTATTTTTTTTTTTCTTTTTCTTTTAGCTTATAAGGAAAGTATCCATTTTTGATTCACGATGCGTGGCTATGTTTAGTTCAAGTAGGTAAACTAAGTTTTTGGTAAAGCATGCAGGAGTTTCCACCCAGTATTGTTCCCCGACTAGGCTGAAAGGGACATCTCTTCATGAAAGCGAAGTTCTGTGGAGACATTAGATAGCAGGGACACTAACCCAGAAGCGAGTGTCGTCGGTCTTGTACTTGCTGTCGCTATCAATCTGCGACTGGATCCATTGCACAGCGGACTTGTAATCTGCAAAGAAGTCAGTAATGCCATGGTATATTGACAATACCCGAGAGACCAGCAACGTACTTTCGATATCCTGAGTGTAAGGATTGGCAAGGCCCGAAGCACCGTCGCGGTGGCCGGCGAACCACTTGTCATAGCCGTAGTATTCCTGACAGTCCCAGCGAGAGGCAACATCGGCGTACACATTGGAGCTTTTGAGGTCAGTATCAGAACGCTAATGTCACGTCTATCAGAGAGTTGCTCACTTCAGCAAGGCTCCATCATTCCACTGCGACGCGGATTGGCCTGCGAAGCCATACCGCTTGGCACACACACGGAGCATGCCCCAGTTCTGCTTGAACAAGCCGAAGTTGGCCGCATCGTAGGTCTTCCCATCTCCGTAGGGGTAGTCGGAGGTATCCATGTCCTCTCTAATGGCTTGCGATTAATGCTCATACACTCATCTATAAATCGGATAGGTACCTACATCTCAAGCATAGCAATAGCAAGATCAAGCGTATTGCCACCAGCATTGAGGATGGCCGTCTTGTGCGCTCCAAGGCCAGAAACAGTATAATGGCCACGGTCATCGCGTTTCTCGAACAAGGCATCGGATTCTGGGGCAGCCAGTGCTGCAGTTGCGAGCATGGCGAAAAACGAAATGGAGAATTTCATTTTGAGTGATGATGTGATTGAGCTCAAAGAACAATGGTATTTGATGATGCACAGGTCCAAACGGCACCAGATCTCTATCTAGACTTTATATTCCGTTGCTTCGCAGCTGAGAAATACTTCCCAACATCGTTTACTTTTTGGGAACGGACGGCTTTCTTACTTTCCTTCCGTGGCCGAATTGGATAGTGCAATAAATGTCTTGTCTGATCCAGTTTGGCATGTTTCAAACTGAAACTAATATCCAACTATTTGGCGCTAATTTCATCTTCCACATGACACTCTTATTCCTAACGAAGCGAAAAGCACTAGATATTTGCCAGCACACGCTCCATTTCAGAAAGAGGACAGGAGACTTACGGATCTATACGCACGGATGATTATCCCTGAGAGGTACTATGACGCCGATTTGGTAAAACGAGGATACGCTCCTGCATAATGCTGGTCTTGGTGATGCAGATTCCGGTATTCGGACATAGTGATCCGATGCTTGGAGAAGCTGAGCGGCTTAGCCTGAGATAAAACGCACCATAATATTATTTTATGCACATAGGAGAGGCTGGCGTCGGATTAATCAATATTGGCAGTGGGCTATGGTCTCATATTGTAACGCTGACCATCATCCGCCGTTATATCATAACTACCTAGTACGAAATCCCGCGACCCGCTGAGTTTGAAGGACATAATCTTTCATTAAAGCGGGAAGTTTCCACTTGGTTCAATCTACCTTCTCTCAGCTATTGTAGCTATGAATCTCAGGGTTAGAGGCATAAGATGATGGTGCTCCTCCTTGAAGAAAGAACACGTCATGAAATCACAAACAGCAAGAGAGAAAGAATTAACTGACATAATGTCCAAATTTCAAAGTCTGTCATTATCAAAGCTCTTAGATACCTAGTCCGAGTTGACATACGACTAAGACTTTGCATCTCATATTCAGATGTGGATTTACGTTGACCCAAGAGAATAAATATATCGTGAGTTGCAAAACAAAACACACATAATTAGTGATGGAAACGGCAAGAGAACAACACAAATAACACGAATGCATGTCTACTTCAATGGTTTCAAGGATACATTTAGAGGAGGCACATGCCACGAGACAAACGAGTCATGGTTAGAGATCCAGCCTCCCTTCTTTCCTACCTCTTCGTCCAGCGCCAGGTCGAACCGCCACAGCAAGCGGGCCAGAATTAGTTTCATACTATCGTAAGCAAACTTCTTGCCGATGCAGTTTCGGGGGCCTACGGAGAACGGCTGGAAGCTGTCCTTGTTGTCACCGTCAAATTGTTTATCCCCCAACCATCGTTCAGGTCGGAATTCATCTGGGTAAAGGAAGTTGGCCTTGGATTGGTACGCGGCCCAATGATTAATGTTCACAACCGTCTGAAAGACCATGTCAGCTGGGAAAAGAAAATATACACTGCAAGGAAAGAAAAGAGATCAAGGAACATACCCCTTCGGGAACAAATTGGCCATCAATTATCGCACCCTCTTTGGGAGTCTGACGAGGAAAGCCGTTGGTAATCGGAGGACGAAGGCGTAGAGTCTCCTGCAGCACAGCCTGCAGGTATTCGAGTTGGTTGACCGAAATAATGGTGATGTCCCGCTCGTTCTTAAAATGCTGAGTCAATTCGGCACGCAATTTGCGCATGGCATCCTTGTGGGTGATCAAGAAGTATGAGGCATACGTCAGGCCGATCGAGGTCGTCTCGCTCCCGGCCAATATAATGATACTGGCCTGGTTTTCGAGCTCAGTATTGGAGATACTACCCATCTCCACGGCCTTCTGCATGTAGTGAATGAAGTCCGATCGATCCACAGTAGTGGACATTCGGGAACGCACTTTCTCCAGGGCCATGCGTGTGTGTTTCTCCTTCTCCTCTACCAGCGAGGCTGGGAGCATCATCGCTAGTAGTGTGTTCAGCGGCCGGAATCGATGAACAACTTGCAGCAGAGTAGCCACGTAGAAGTAATCGAGCACCATCTTCACCCACTCGTGGAATTGCGAGGTCTTGAGGCACCCAAACGTGTCACCAAACGCCAGATCACCAATCAGATCAAAGGTTGCGTAGTTGTGCCACGCTCGCAGATCAGATGGTAATCCCTTTTGCGCACGATGCTGCAGCTGGTCCATCATTAGGTCAACATTGCCCTGTATGATCGCCTCCTGCTCTAGTAGCGCCTTCTGCGAAAATGCGGGAGATAGGGACCGTCGTAGGCGCCCGTGGTTGGTGTCATCAGCCATGGTTATGGTTCCCGGGTCGACCAGCATGTCGTTGAAGAAGATCCGGTCTCGGGGCAAAGGCGCCTTGCCGCCGCGTCGAGCGTAGATGTCATTCCAGGCCGCAGCCGACGTGTACGAGAGCTCCGATGGTCTCAGGCGCACGATGGGACCGTAATTTTCGTGCGCGGCCTGAACAAAAAGATGCAATCTGCCACGCAGCTGGGCGATTGTCAAGGGCAAGGATGAGGCGGCGTATAGCCTAGGTCCAGGATACCTAGCCAGCGGATGCAGGTAAATATTGTATAAGATCTTGGTAAACCATGCTAACCCCTACATAAAGAGATACACACATGAGCCGACCACTTTTCTCCCGCATTCTCATATTCCAATACTTACTATTACCAAGAGTGATCTTATCGCCACCTCTCGCAAGAAGCTGGTGTCATCAAGAGTAAAAGACGGATGTATGAACCGCTTGAAATCCATTGCGGAGGAATTCACGCCGGCGAGAGCAAGTCTTCTCAAGGGCAGCGCTGGCCAAGGCGGATGCCAGCTTGTCGTCGGATGGGGACTGCCAGGGCATACTTTATAACTAGTAGAACAGGCGGTGGAATTCTCTCGTGCCAACTGGAGGATCTCTCTGTAAGGAGGCCCGAGGACATACTTCCACGGCGAAATAATAGCGGGCCGCAAGTGGGCCGGGCCGGCTGGTCGTAGTGGGTCAGAGATGTATGACGGAGGGGGCTTGGGTATATAAGAATGTGTTAGATTCCAAAAGCTTAGAGGGGGCTTGGTAGTGTCCTGTATAAAGTGCTGTAATCGTGATCATACCTAGTACCGTTATTGTAGGCTGGCCGCTGCGGTGGTGAGGAATCCCATTGTCGCATCGCACTTTCGGATGTATGTATGTATTTATGTATGTATAACGAATGTCTATCAATAGCCCCTGGGAAAAGCGCCTGGAGATCACCGGCAAAGCATTCCGGACCATTCAAATTACTGGAGTCACAGTCGTGGTGCGCTTCCCCAGATTCGATTGGATTCAGCTTGCCAGGAACAAGCCACATTTTGAAGCTCTGCTTGACAGACTGAAGATCAAAGCAACCCTGACTGGGCCCGTGGACTGAATCTGGACTTCATGCTGGAGGCATGCATCTACACCGATAGATTCAATGACTGAGTACACAACGGAATGTCCTGCAATCCCCACCTGCACGCTTTACTATTAGCCATTCATGTCAGGAATTACGACAGTGGGAACAACCCTGCTAGCTCTTGCATCTTTCTCTCTCGTTTCATTCTCTCTTCCCTCTCGTTCCGGTATACACAGGCAAAAATTTCCTGGCTAAAGTGCTCCGTAACCCACCTTTCACTATCGACCATCACTTTCCTGTCTCCGTAGGATAACAGGACTTGGCAATTCCTCCCTTGCTGGACACGAAGGCTTTACGTATGTCTGAAAGTTGGATGTTCTCATTGACATTTCAAGATCGACAATACGTGCAGCAGAGTAAGGAAGCCGAATAGGTACAGTAGCAGCTATCATTCCCGAGACCTCCCCTTACGTGTGGTATTTTCCAAACACCATATTTGAAGATATATTTACAACTTCTCACGGACAGATCACCAAGAGACTGTATTCGACCGTGTATCCAAATACGATATACATGAACACCAGGTGACCCCTGTTCTCTTTATCCCGTTGATGTCATATTCTCAATTGGCGCACATAATATCACAAACATCATGGCCATCCAAAAATGCCAATCGACATATACAGCCATCGTCCTAGAGCTATTCAATGTGGTTGTAAAAACGTCATTGAATGAGCTTACTGTCGTCCCTCACTTGACTTATCAGTCATTGATATGCTGCTCCTCCACTCTGCAATTCCAGCGCAATGAAATATCCTACGCGGAATACCAGCGACGACTGGAGGCGGAGTGGGATCTGGCGCCCAATGTCATCGACACAATGTTTGCGCAGGTTCGAGGAACCATGACCGTCAACACAGAGCTACTCGAACAGCTCCGTGGTCTAAAGACCATGATGGGTGGCCGGTTGCAGATATACGCCGTCTCAAATGCGTCGGAGAAAGACCATGCTTACATGAGGTCACTGCCAGTAGACTGGACTATCTTCGACCACATCTTCACGTCGACTGAGATGCGGATGCGAAAGCCCGAGCTGCGATGCTTCCGGCACGTACTCCAATCCATCTCGAAGTCGCCGCATGAACTCATATTCATTGATACTGAGCCAGAAAACGTCCTGACCGCCCAGTCACTCGGTATGAAGGGTATCAAGCCAAAATCTGCCGCAGAGATTGAACCGATTCTGCACAATTTGTTACTGGATCCGTTGCCGCGAGCACGATCCTTTCTACAACAAAATGCAAAGCGGCTACACTCGATTTGTGAAAATGGCGCCATCATGAAAGAGAACTTTGCTCAGCTGTTGATTTTGGAGGCAACAGGAGACAAGTCCGTTCCTATAAAGGCCTTTTCTTGTCTTGCGTGTATTGTATTATTGCCTGGATAACTGACATTTGAATCTGAAGGAGCCTCATCGAACTGGAACATAAGCACCCTTCTTCTTCCACCTGGAACTTTTTCATAGGTCAGTGGATCTTCGAGCCCAGGCGCCATTTTTCCCAGTTATTGTTTCGTTGACAAAATTGCTTGCCAGGGACACCGCTATTTACGAAATCCGACTTCCCTGATGATCTCGACACGACCTCCATGGCTACCACAGTGCTGGGGCTGGAGGAGAAACAGGCTCATCGACTGCTGGACCGGATGCTGCAATACATAAACCAGGATGGCCTTATCTCGGTAAGTCGCCGCGTGTCGTACCATTTAGAAAGTCAAGAAAACTGACGAGATAAAAGACCTTCTTCACCGACCGCAAGAACCGTGTGGACCCTGTCGTGTGTGTGAATGTCCTGGCACTCTTCTACACATACGACCGTGGCTATGAGCTGGCCCCGACTCTAGAATGGATCCGCCAGGTAGTGATCAAGCGGGCGTACCTGCACGGGACGCCCTTTTATCCTAACCCAGAGCAGTTTCTTTTCTTTTTGGGTCGGCTCCTTCGGCATGTGTCGCATCTTGGTGGTATCTTTGATGAGCTGCGACAGCTTCTTCGCGAACGTCTGAAGGAGCGGTTGGGTCTGCCGGCCGATCCTATCGCACTCGTCATGCGCTTGATTACCTGTAATGAGATGGGTATCCGAGATGCTCGCGGAATGAAACGTCTCCTTGACATGCAATGCGTGGACGGTGGATGGGAGCCTGGGGCGATGTATACATATGCGTCCAAGAATATCTCTATTGGGAATCGCGGGGTGTCCACGGCGTTTGCCATCAGCGCCATTGAGGGATATCGAGAGCGTTTCCAGATGTAATTTCCCCAGCGCCCTGATTACTGGGGCCAGCAGCTCGATTTAGAATTGTTGAATATGACTCCTACTTTCCGCCTTGCCGAGACAATTTTTTGGTCACCAGCTGGTGATTATTCATTGTAGACTGTTTTTGTTTGTTTGTTTTTCTTCCTGCTATCGTTCGTTACAACCAAGTACACTAGTCTCCCCATGCTCGTTCTGGTTCTCTTTCCTTTCGCATGACTACACCATGCTCTCGTTTAGTAGCGCAAATAAACACCAGGAATACAGCTGGAAAAACGCAATGTTTGCATGTGTCAATTCTTATTGGTGCACCCAAGCCGTAGCTTTGACCTCGAATCATTTGTGTAAGAACATACAGCCTTGTGAACCGAGAGCTAGTTATTTACACGCACTATAAAGACTCGAGGCAAGCATTCCAGGCAGCCCTAAGCCATCTCAAATGTCTCAAACTCTAAGCTATGCCCCCTTAAATGCCAACTTAACTCTAACCTTAAATGCCTCAGTAAGCACTTTAAATCCTACGCTTAGCCTCCGTAAAGCATACGGACAATGTTGATAACATGTGCGTGTGTGAAATGGTTCTGCCTCCTGCAGCGTTGGAGAGAGATCCTAGCACTTTTCCTGCACCAATCCTGTGCCCTCTCATGGGACCCGTCGGCTTGATCATAGACAGCGCAAGCTAAGGGTCTTGGAACACATTGCTTTTTCCGTCAAAACCAATCCAGAGCCAGCATCTACAATACGATCGGTCAGCTAAGATCTCGATTACAAATCCATCTGAATTGCGGGACTGAGCGAAGGTGTGGCAAAACTACTGCATCCGTTACATCTACACTTACTGCAATGGATGTTCTGGCCTTCCCATACGTCAAGGTCGTATAAGATCGTTTGGGCAATCTCCCCGCTGTCCCAGTCCGTCTGGTGATTGATGACATATCCTTGAGTAACGAACTAGTTAAGGGAGGGTGGCCCTTACATATCTCCCTGGTATATATATAGCAGCACCTTGCACAATTTGCTACACCGCTGTACAAATCACCTGTAACTCTCCACTTCAGAAACCTGTACATTCCTAGCCAGCAACCTTTGTTATTACTATCTGCGACAATCATGTCTGAGATTCGTAACGTCGTTATCCTTGGGGTGCGAGATACCCCCACTGCTCCAGCTCCCTGGCATGCCGGGTACCTAACAGGCTAACACATCAATCAAATGAGCTAGGCGACTGGGTTGGTGGGCAAAGAAATTGTCAAGGCTCTTGTCGACGATGGGTCCTTCCAAGTCACAATTGTCAAACGTATCGGCGGCAGTTCTTCTCACCCATTCCCCGAGTCGAGTCGCCTGCGCGAGATTGGCGATATCGACTACACTTCTGTCAGCTCACTGAAGAAGGCATTCGCTGGCCAGCATGCCGTCATTGAGGCTCTCAATCCCAGCGGCGTTGTGCACCAGGACAAGATCGTTCAGGCGGCAGTTGAAACCGAGTCGGTACGGCACATAATCACACCTGATTTCAGCGGCGACTATCTCAATGAGCATATCCATGAGATTCGCATCTATGATAGCAAGGTGGAGGCGCATCATGTTACCAAGCGCCTGATCCAGCAGCGAAAGTCCCTGCACTGGACCGCCATCCTCACTGGAAGTTTCTTCGACTGGGGTATGTTACCAGATAGGAGATCAAACTTGAGAACTGGAGCATTGCTGGTTGTATACTAACTCAATCTCTACTAGCAATCGACAATGGCATTTTCTGGGTCGACGCAAAGGCAAGACAAGTGACGATTTTCGGTTCGGGTAACCAGAGCAATGCTTTGGCAGCCCTTGACGTTGTCGGACGAGCCACGATACGTGTTTTAAAGGACCCCGATTCCTACCTAGATCGACAGGCATACTTTGCGGATTATTTGATCAGCTGCAATGAGCTCCTGAAGTTGCTCAATGAGCTAGAAGACCAAACCTGGACGGCCAAACACGTCAGCTTGGATGATTTTTACGAGCAAGGTAAGAAGCTTTGGGACGAAGACACCGCCAAGGGAGTTGAGGATCGACGTAGTACCACCGCATATATCATGCTGGGTACCTATGGATGCTTCCATGAAGAAAACCGATATTCCACGGATTACAGTGGTCGTGTTGAATCGGGATTTGGATGGACTCGCGATCAGTTCGCCCGTGAACTTCTCAAAGCGGTCAAAAGCGCGAGAAAAGAGTAGATAATGATAGCTACTGGGATTATTTCCTCTCTTTGTGTATGTAGTCTTAGCTATTCCTACCACTTTCGACGCGGTGTGTCTCATCCCTGACATGTACTGCAATGACATAATACAAAACCTCAGTACTTCTACGGCTTTTGTAAATCCCCGTCAATCCCTCATAAGAGTCTGTTGCATCCTTGGTGGTTCCATGGACAGAACCCAGTCCGGAGAAAAAAGTACCGACTACGTAACGTAGCATCAAACACCAGCCTCTGTAGCTCGACTTGCTATTACATCAGACCGCATGCTACTATTACTGTACAGTATACTTATTCACCTTATGTCACTTTGTACAGCGTGGATATGTCTCAGGCAGAAGTGACACAAAAGACCATTCGGACCGTGGGAAGAGTGTGGGAAGAAAAGCGGAGAAGTAGGGTTACAATTGAAAAAGCTATATAGGCGAAAAATTATTGATCAATTTCCCTTCGTCATCATTCATGTGACTTGAAAAAATAGCAACACCCTTTACTTTCCTGTAGCCTGACAATTTACACGAGTAGGGTTTCTTTCTCCAAGGAATGTAACATTCGTCTTGATCTACAACTAAACTGGTTCACTCTAACCACCGACGTTAAGACACAGACATGGCTGTCCAGGCCTTCGACCACGGATGAATAGAAGAAGTCTCAAAAAACAGTCTGCCGGTGAGGAGGATTATGGTGGAGGTCATTCCCAATGCGATTTCAAAGCGCAGCTGTCATCAACTAGTGTTCTATTGAATATGCAGGCATGGACTTTGCTACAGCGCCGCGTGGAAGCTGGCTTATACCTGTGCGTTCCAGTTTCATAACATGTCATAGCTGTGAATATCTAGATCTGTTACAACACAGCAATATCTTTCCAGGGCACTACTCTATCTCATGATGTAGACTTGACATTTTCACACACCACTAAGACATGCCCAAGTCTGAAACTTACCGCATTCAACACTTTCATACTGATCCAGACTTTTGGATTTGAATCAAAATGACGGTCTGGGTGTGACGAACATGGCAAGACAAAGAATAAGGCAGCTGCTCAATAGAAAATTTCCTTGTATATCAGGGTTCTGTTTCTGTATTCTCTACTTCCTAGTGCAACTGTATCCACTATGTGTCACTTTATGAGATAATGCATGTCTAGAACTCAGTCAAGGGATCATTGACCTGAAAGTAATGATAATTCAGAGCTGAATGCAGTCAAGAGAAGATGTCTACATTGCCACAAGAATAGCTCCACCAAGGGAGATATAAAGCTCTGGATAATCCAATCCCTAGTAGCATGAAAACTAAGAGCAACAAACTCAACTATTTATTCTATTCGAGCCTAGATTATCTTCGAACGCTACCTTCCGTAACCATGTCTGTCACACACTGTCTCTTCTTGAAGTTCAAGCCAGATAGCGAGGTGTCCAGAGAGGTAAAGGCAAAGGTATGAAGGTCATTACCTAAGGGAATGAGAAATAACGCTAACTACAAATCCGTGCTAGACCTACCTCGATTTGCTGGGATTGAAGGAGAACTGTCGTCATCCGGACACTGGCAAGCCCTACATGTTGTCCATCAAAGGGGGAATGGACAATTCTGTCGAGGAGGGAGGAAGCGTGAGCTTGTCTTTCATGCGGTATATATCTTTCTCTTTCTGACCTGTGTATAACTTTGCAGAAAGGTATGACCCATGGATTTGTCATGGAGTTTGCCAGCGTAGAGGATCGGAACTATTACATCCATGAGGACCCCCATCACCTGCGTCTTGAGGATCAGATAAGAGCCATCATGGAGGACGGGGTAGCAGTCGACTTTACCCCAACTATCTTCTACGACTGGGCTTCGAAGGATGACAATGGAACGAAGATCAATGGAAGCAAGGCCAATGGAAAAAAGTGATTGGTTGGGTACTATCAAGAGCTCTGTCTACGTATCACATGTATCGACTGATGATATAATTCAGCTTTTTGTAAATCGCTAGATTTTGCACAATTTCTCTCTCATTAATGGTAATAGACAAGATCAATAATATATTACCCTCCCTACAACTGTATTAATACAATGGCGAAGTGAAATTGGACAGGCACAGATATACTGGAAATATCTGGTGTTGAATAATATGCCTAGACAATTTATAACCTAGCGGCAGAACTGGAATGTGCAAATATCTAACACCTGTGGAAGTAGATTTTCACGCGTTATCTTCATATCTTAATGCTCGTGAAGACAATCTCTGCGTGCAGTTTAACAAGCAGTTCTTATATTGCGAGAAAAAGATAAAGCGAGGGAAGGTTTATCTGTGGTTCACCTTCCTAAAATGGAAGTTTCGCTGAAAAGGCAAACACTTTGGGTTAGGGCTAGCCTGGTTTTGATGCCTGATATTTGCCTTGTGGCCTTGCGTAGGGTTTGCTAATCTTACAGCGACTTTCTTCAATTATGAGCCAGTTTTCTTTTCGGTTATTTCTTTTCTTCTTTTTATTGCTTCACTTTCGTGCGGATATATTTAATGAGGCTTCTTTGGCGCCGCCTCCTTTCTCGATACCTGTACTTAGGTACTCTATTAAGACTGTACTAGACCATATTACTGTGCAGGTAAAAAATTGATGTGCGAAGGCATAGACTCTATTCTAGCCATAGGGTATTAAGTTACTAGGACATATTATAAATTTAGGAGATCAGTTGTCTGTTGGTCTCTGCCTCATTTGGACTCATGTCTCTAGACTATTAACATGAAAAGGCGCAGAACTAGTGGCAGTGTGCCACGCGCTCTTTTGGAAACACGATAGGCAGTTGCCTATCTACAAGTTCGTCACCTTCAAAGTCCCGGAAATCAAACGCACTGCATCCACTATGATAATGTCTAGCCCCGCAGCTTGTTGTATCTGGTGTTCGAGGCATTGTTAGTTGAGATAATTTTGAATCTATCGGTATGCATACGACATCAAATATTGAACGGGAAATCATTAATACTGACCTTTGCGCACTCGGGCTCATTGTTCAGCGCACCCCAACTGCCTGTCACCAAGCCCTTCATTTTGGCTACTCTCACTAGATTTGGAGCATGCACAAATGGATCAGCAGCCATGATAATCCCATCGAGTCCCCAATAGGTGGCGAAATGAATCGCTTCCTGGACGCTGGATGCTCTAATATCGCCCACAGGGTTGTTCCCAGACTCATTCAAGAAGAATATGGGAAACATGTTCTGTTTCAGAGAGAGAAGAATGCATACCTCAGGGCTGAAGGAGGAAAGCATTATAGGGCGGCGTTGGCAAGAGGGATGGGAGAGGATTGAAGTCAGGATGGTATCAACAAATGTATTCACCTCGATAGCGAAGGTGTCAGATTTCCAGTCCTCGGCTGCTTCGAAGAGCATCGGGTATTCTATGAGTTATCAGCAATGCTAATTCATCCACGAAGACCAATAATTAAAGGAATTCCGCTTACTAATTTCTACATTCAATGCAATCGAGTCTGGAGTTCGAGACAGAAGATCGTCCAAGGTTAGAAAGGGTCCGTGTATGTAATTTCCTCTTGTATTGCCTTTGAAACCGATTTTCTTGTACTCGAATGTATGGGTCATTCGTTCAGTGAGATCCTTGTGAGCATTCTCACAGCCGTCGTTGTATGACAGAGACCGTGATCTCTGTTTAATGTATAATTGGGTGTCCTTTCTTTGTACTGCTTTTAACTGGGTATTGCTAATATGCATAAACTGGATGGCAAACAGTGAGATTTGTGCATATTTAGATAGCTTTTCATTAGAACAGACCTGGTCCAGGCTCAAATTATGCATCCACGCATCTGTCCCTGTTTCGCTGACAAGAAAATCGTGGTATATGACGGGAACGAGGTCTTTCGTCAATTGGACGTCTATCATGGAGAAGGGGAACAGTTAGTTACTAAACAGCTGTACAGAGACATTAAAGCCACTGTCTCACCAAGCTGTTCCACTGTTGGTTAGCCATTGTTTTCAAACGCAGGAGAAAAAAGCCTTACTTCTACCATATCTGCACCAGTGTCAGCGGCAGTGAGAAATGACTAAAGTGGCACGCGAGGATTCACAAGTCAGTAAGGGTAGTATTGACTGATATCTGAGGGGAATTGTTACTTGTAACGTATTCTCCCCAATTGACAAATGTTTTGGTGACAGAATGTTTTGACCGAGACCTGGTCTAAAGTTAGCAAACAGTACTTCCAAGGTTGTAGTTCTATAGATAGGATAGCCGAAGGTTCATCCACATGCCTCTGTGTCCGACAATTTTGGTTCCTCCACCGTCTCGCCAGAGTACGTCTCTCGCTGGGACGGAGAAATTGCTTTGATTCGCGAATGGTTTAGCAACAAGAAAGCTAAATGAGACAGAACCGATACTCTCCAGATCTTCTTTGGAAAGAATTGGTATATGGTGGTCTCGAATCAAACTCTCCCTTCCAGGCCCTAGACTTTGTTTCAGAGCATCGAGAAGTGCAATTCCACTGCCGATATGCTCATGTACCGTGACCTTATCTGCGTTGGCTCGTTTACAATACAACTTGACCAGTAATTTGGCATTTCGAAGGTCATTTGCATAAAATCGCCATGGCTGGTTGGTTAAATCTTCCAGAAGCGGCAAGTCAACCCTGTGACTTGGGCTTTTACTTCCTATCAGTGAAACCTCGATGGAAAGACCAACCTCGAAGTCTGTACATTCTGTGTTTTGGGAAAGATGGGAATCCAGATCAACCTGGAAACTTGGAGTTTTGCCTTCGAGCTCAAAGGAAACCAGGTTTACAAGTACCAGGTTTTCACTGTGCAATGGTTGAATCATTCTCATCGCCTCCGCCGGTTGAAATGGGGATCCTGGCCCTAAATCACATAATCCACTCCGGCATTCAATCCGAGGATTAGCCTTCAACATTCGTGTTACTGTGATCTCGCCATTGAATGCAGCATGGTCAATTGCACTCCAGCCAAAATGATCTCGATATTCTACACTTGCACCAGCTTCTATGAGAAGTTCCACAACCTCAGTATACCCGTGCAATGAAGCTATAATCAAGGGGGTCCAGCCATAGGAGTCTTCAGCAATGTCTACCTTTGCTCCATGACTCAATAAAAGTTGCATGGACTTCACGTCACCAAAGCGTGCAGCAATGTAGAGCGCAGTCTCTCCGTGCCTCCCTCGGTGGTCCAAATCCGGATCGGCGTCAAGCAGAGTATTCAAAAGTTTTCGATTTGAACTAACAGCATTTGCCAGAAGTAACCCAGATGTTGCTTTCCAGATATGGATTAGCGACATACTGTCGTCCTTCTGATTGAACTCTAGAAGTAGTCTGGAAACCTCGTCACTGCCGTTCATGATTGCGAGACTGAGCGGTGAGATTTCTAGATAGTCCTGTAAAAGAATGGAGTCGCGAGCTGATAGACCGCCGAGGTATAATGCGTCTTTCATACGACTGAGAAGAAGTTGACATGCCTGAGGAAGCCTATACTGAGCTGTGTAATGAATAGGCAATCGATTGCATATTGGATCAGGTGTAAGAAGAGCAGCTTGTATATCCTTAGCGTCGAGACACAGTAGAACATAACTCAGGAGAGATAATAGATCATCATCCTCCGTCTGTGTGGGGACTGTAGACCGTGCAATGTATCTTGAATTCTGATCGACTGAGTCTGCAGCAAGTCGTCGATGGCGATGGCCCATAACAACCAAGATTCGAAGGATGGTGAAAGAGAGACAGGTCTGGGTAGAAGCTTTGTTTTGGCGAGTGGACCTGAGCAGCATCAGGAGTCTGCTGAAGCATGCTTTGGACACATAAATAATCGATAATTGCAATAAGACAGCAACAAGGATTTGATTCTGCCGTCTATCTGTTATGTTGACATTGATCGTTTCCCGGAAGAAAAAGTCCAATGCAGCGACATCATCGTCTCGAATTGCCCTATATGCAATATCCAAGTCTCCGAGCGAAGAGTGATGATGTCGGACTAAATCATTCAGCAGTAATGAGGATCGTGTCGTAAAAGAATTTCTTGATAGCACTTGACGGATGGCTTGGATAGAGCCTTTGATGAGTTTCAGCCTGTAGAGGGACTCGTTTTGAGTAGAAAATTCTTCTGTTTCTAGCTTCGACTGGATATCACCAATGTGTTTTCTCGAGGAAGTAAGATTATTTCGGAAGTCTGGTCTAGTCCCCAAAAGATCGTTGAATTTTCGTAAAAGCCTCTGGAATCCTCGGGAATTCACAGTCCCATACCGCAACAATGTTTTCAGACTCGTGCAGCACTGAGTCAGTAACGATAGGATAAAATGGAGCTCCTGACGACCTGCATGTTCCCATTCTGACTCTTGATCAAGCAAGTCTGAGCTCTGGTAGAACCTGGAGACTTGATCTCCGATGTCTACAAATACTTTCGAGTAGAAAGCTTGCACGTTCTGAATTTCCCGATCAATATTGTCAAGTACGCCTAGTTCGCAATGGTCAGTGCCATATCGGACAAGATATTCATATGGGTGCACAGGTGAACGGGAGAAAAGAAATAAAAATAAAAAAAAAATTAGCAACTGTGAACTGCAAACATACCAGCACATTCTGGAGCCTCGCCTGGCCGAGTTGATGTCGTTCGGAGCAGTTTTATCTGTCTTTTCAGGCCATTGTAGTCAAGATAACGACAGTCCCACAATGGGTGTCTATTTTTGTGCAAATTCCTGCCAAATTTCATAATTGTAGATGCCAGGAAATATCGAAAGAAACCGAGACCGTGTCCTGTCCATACAACGAAAAGCCAGATTAGTAGCACATAGTAAGAAACTGAGTATCTCTGATCCAGCCACGGTGTTGGTTATCAATCACAATCAGGCGCGAGATAAGCAGAGTCGCCCGCCATTCTCAAGGAGAATCTGCCAAATTTTCCAAGAGATAACAAACACCACTGCTCACCGCCATTGTGTTATACGGTACATAATTTCACATGTCGGACTGATACCTTTTGTATGGTCCGTCTTGAGATGTTCTCGCGAATTTATATACATACGTAATGCAGCAGATATGAGCAACCAACATGAGCAGCTGATCATGAGAAAGCAAAAGACCGGGAAGGAGAAAGAAAAACATGAAAAAAATGCATGATTATGCCGCTATTTCTTTATATTTGCGCGTAGGTTGTCAGAGTCTAAAACAGTACACTGTGTCACCTACGTGTAGATTCACCATCTATTCTCCGAGATACAATCCGTTCTATAAAGTCACGAATGCATGCTGTGAATAATCGCGCCATATATAAAGAGTAGCACTAGTGACAGTTTTATTTCTAACTGACCGAATGATGGACACATTGTATCTATCGTCGAAAGCGTGGCCGACACGGCGTCGCTGGCTCCATTGCTATTTTACGCTCGATATACAAAGGCCTTTCTGGCCTATCACAGCAGTAGCAACACTAGTCGCGATCATCATGGTAAAACTGCCATGTCAACTATGTTTATTTTCTAATACTCAGAAATGCCAAACATCGTATCGAATTCTTCATGCCCAAGCTACAGTAACCGAGCAAGCGACATCACGAGCAAAACAAATGCAATCAAAGCTCAACTACCAACTTGCTCCCGCTGACACCCTGATTGAGTTTATCAAGCGCTCTATCGACGTCTTCCAACCCTTTACCGACAATTTTCAAGTGAGGACTAGGAACGTACTCCCCAGTAGCAAGCTTCTCCTTGAGCCACTCATTGAAAACCCACCGGAAATAACCACGGGCTTCGACTGGATCTGCTGGCGTCTGGACAAAAGTGACGACGACGCCGTCTACCTGCCTGGCGTCTGGTGGAACAATTGGGGCGGAAGCGATTCTTGCGACATTGTCACCTCTCACTTGTTCGAGGATGGTGGTGATAGTTTCGAGGTCTCCTCGACCCAGGAAGCACTGGTATAGTGATAGCTTGTCCTCCTTGATGCTGTCCACGATTGCCGACACCACGTTCGGAGATTGGTAATCGAATACCCGATCCGCACCAAGCCCTCTTATATATTCGTGGTGACGAGGACTGCACGTAGCATAGACATGGAAGCCCATGGATTTGGCAGTCTGCACAGCAGCGCTTCCGACACTGGTAGATGCGCCCCAAACTAGCATTGCTCGTTTGTCCTGCGGTGCGTACTTGGTATCCCGGGGCATGTCAATAGTCCACCATGCCGACATGGCTACTGAGACGGACATGGGCAAGATAGACGCCTCACAAAAACTCAATGAATCAGGCAGGGGTGTCACTTTCTCTGCAGCAACCAACGTGAATTGCTGGAATGAACCGTAGTCCGCGTGGCTTCCGTGGAAATAGGACGAAGCATAGGCGGCGACTCTACTGCCCAGTTTAAATGTACTCGACAGGATATCTGGGCCAACTCCTGCTACAATTCCAGCGACGTCGGACCCTAGTACAGTCGGATAGGTTGCAATGAGAGCACTGTGATCCCTTTGGAAAGCGTCCACTGGATTCAGAGCAATGGCTTTGACTTCAATAAGTATCTGTCCAGGGCCGGGTTGAGGAGTCACTCGGCTAACGAGAGAGTGAGGAGCGCCCTTTTCCGCAATGATTAGAGCCGAATGGTGGCTACCAGGCAGTGTTGAAGCCATTTTGCTGTCGGCGGATCTGGGATTGATAAGCGAGGTCTATCTTGAGGAGTATAGGAGACAAGTTAGTTGTTTCAAGAGTTTGTAATGAGATCTGTTGAATGACAATAAAAGTTTCATTGTATATGATTATTTACACATATATATAGTTGGAACCTCGTATATCTACAGTGGGTGTAGCCCTAATCTTGGTCCGGCATATTCTTAACTCCGCAATCTATTAAGGTTCCAAGGCTTTTGTTGGAGCATTAATGGAGGACTGTAAAACCAAGAACACAATAGTTTTACCTGTTTGACTTTCAACTGCGATTTATCTACCGTAAATGGTCTACCACTGTTGCTTGAAGTTCCGTATCCAAGGCCGTGCGTACACGTATGGATTTTAGTGAACACATTAAAACCTCCAACGATCAGCATCAGCATACAGTCACTTGCGTGGTTTAATAAATTAGTACCACAAAGCTCGCTATCTGGGCATCTAGTTGCTTTTCGTTTGAAAATTTTAACCTGTATCTTCAAAAGGGGCTGGCGTGGCCTTGCCGGAGTTATCATGGCAAATTGCCGGGCATTCCCCTGGGTTCACGCCTAACTCCAGCAGAGGATTCTTCTATACCGGTGAAAATTAGCAAATTTTAATATTCCAAATTTATTTTGACCTAATACTATAGTTCGCTGGGGTGCTACAGTCAACTTCCTGTATGTTAGATAAATTCCATAAGAGCTTATATTCCCATTCATAGAAAACTTGCAGACACGAAGCTTCAAAACTTACACAACTTCTCTCTTCCCTTTCCTTTAGGAGTCAGGCCACTCTTCCTGTCCATTCGTGGTTGTCTAGCCCAAGATTTTAAGGTAATTTTGTAACCAATTTCCATATCACTTGAGTGGTTTAAAGGTCGCTCTTGGAATCCCATAACAAGGAAAAAGCAAGAAGTGAGATAATACCTCAGTTAAACTATTAATACGGAAAGATGTTGTAAGGTAGGTATGCAAATTTTAGAATTTAGTTCAGTGCCTTCTGAACATTGGGAAATTGTATAAATGGTGAAGGACATTTCAAGAAGGGCCAATTGCCTGGAAACTCGATTCCAAGCAAAGACTCAACACGGGAATGCTTATAGGGAAGTGCCTGGCGATCGAGTAACCATATGGTTAGTCAACTACACTTCGTAGCAGGAAGTCAACAATCTCAGTTCCCTGAGGCGGTTGAGAAAGTATTACACACACACAGACACACACACAATAAGAATAAAAAGGGAAGGGAATAGGTGAAGCTAGTTTGACAGTGTGTCAATAGTCCCCTCTCGCCTATTAAATTTTTTGAAGCGGTTCGTTTATGAATACAAGCAGTGCATCGATTTTCTTTTAACGAAGAAAACCATGATGTACAGGCAGCACATGACAAACAGCCTCAAGAGAAGACTTAATTTAGCTGATATTTTGGTAGAATGGGTAGTTTTACAAGAGTAGAGCCTTGTACGCAGTAGGGATCGAAGCGATCTTGACTTGATTTGAAGATTTAGCCGCTGAAAGGGTCCTAGACAGGAACCTGCATGCTGCAGTGACCTCTAGGATACAGGTGGTCAGTAGACAAAGTTTTATCCAGTATTTGTGTCATATTAGGAATAGGCTTGGACCATAATCATACAAATGAGTGGCTCGCTTGTGTGTTACTTGTAGGTTAATATATGACCTTTGACTACCTAGTGCTCCAGCATAAAAAAAGCTAAGATATTACAGTCATGCTTAGGCAGTCAGTACTATGACATACTAATGTTTATAAGTCCAATGCCCTAAGATAGCATGTCCTCGCAATTCCAGAATGAATATTAACAGCTACCACAAAGTCTTCAGAGAGATATAATTTAGGTAAGTTTCTTTGTGCCATTTTGTGAATTTTATGCACCTCAAAGCGCCAAGGCGACCTAGGCGGCCCCTGCCATTGTTTCTATTCTTAGAAGTTCGCACTGACTAGACTGTACTTTCAGCTCTGTAGTTTAGCCTGAAGGCTTCGAATTGTTTTTAGAAGTGAGTCCATGCGTGGACAATAAGACTGTAAGTTAACACTTGAGTATATAGGGCTAAACAACAATTACAAACTATATGTGGGTAGCCATATATATCCATTGATAAGAATATTTTTAAATTTGAAGAGTATATTACAATTTTGATAACTTTAGCTGCAAGTACGCAAAACTCCAGCCATTGGCTGGGAACATGAGAACGTGGAAGCATATAAAAGCATTCAAAAATACGAAAGGGCTGGCATTAATCTCTTCGGACTTGGTAATTTCAAAAGACCCTGAATTTTAGTGATACAAACAATTTGCTTGATAACCAACCCTTGGAAGAACACCGTGGTTGTTGGTTGTTACCTGCATAAGCGTGAAACTTGTCTATGCAGCAAATTCTATTTTGGGTAATTAGATAGATGGTCAATGCTACAGCAGATTTTCTTGCGCTGTGTCCCGCTTCAGACCAATTGTATTGACGATGAACAAGCGGTCATTAGTGATATGATGTAGCTAACAGCGCCTGAACTGAGAAGCAGTAACCAATGGGATCAAGTTCATGAGCGGAAAGAAAGATGTCACAGATTTTACTAAGGTACGACCCCTGAAACACTTGTACCACGAATCGCACTCACTGCCTTGTCTGGGCGCTCTTTCCTTTGTATAATAGGCATATTACTCCATCTTCATCATGACAAACTTAACGACGACCGCCATCTCTTCAATGCTGCTGTTACGATTACATAAAACGCCTCAATGCATGAGACCTCTTGCCCAAGTTGTTTCGTTGATAATAATAGCGGTGGCTTGGTTGGATGGGTTCTCCAATCACCTGGACGAGGAACTTTAGGGTTAATCGCAACCTGCCTGACCACCGTATTCTTATGCACATGGGTCGTTATACATCCGCGGGTGTACAAGAGCCAGCTATATGGTTTAGGGCATAAATGTGCCCTGTGCCTCAAGACGATACTTGCCCCGGAGTTTATAGCAGTCGAGGGGTTCCAAGAATGGGCCCAATGCGTAAGAATGAAAAGACAATGTGCCGAACTCACCAATGGACAATTCGAACTTATCCATGCCTTCTATGTCAGTGTGCTCGCTTTACGATACCGGACACCGCGGGGCGATAGGGTTATCTGGCCAAATCAATACATTTGGCTGCTACAACAACATATCATTACATGGGAAGATCACGGGAGATGGGGCCTTTCTGTTGAGGATATACGAGACAAAAGTAAAGCAGACAGTGTTGCGAAACTTATGGCCCTGGTACAGGTGACCTGGTTTGTCGCACAGTGTATAATACGTGCCGCTTATACTCTCCCTATATCTCAGCTTGAATCTATGACCCTTGGATATATCCCTCTCTTCATTGTCACATATTTTTTCTGGTGGGACAAACCAAAAGATATCCGATCTCCATCGATTGTTGAAATGCCAATTATGAGCCCAGAGCAGAAGCATATCTTCGAGTCTATGGCCATCAGTGATAAATTTGACAATGAAGGAATGGAAAAACAAGTGACATTCTGAAATACCTGGTATCTCACTCCACGGGTATTTGAAAAGGAAGAGAAGGATAGATTAATGCAGGCAATCCAGGCCAATGCTGCTGAAAAGGCGTTACAGCGGACAGCGGAGGAAAGTGGGAACAATCACAAAGTAGATTTAGTACCTGGAGCTCTACAAGATTCTACGATCAGTGAGGACAAGCTTCGAGAATTAGAAAATGGGGTGCGCAAGGAGATAGTCTTGGTTCACTGGGATCCTCATTTGTATAGATCAAAAATCTGGCCATTAACCTGTCTCTTTGGTATCTCATTTGGGGCCCTTCACCTCGCATGCTGGAATACGATGTTCCCAACAACCGTTGAGATGTGGCTGTGGCGGGTCTCAGCATTTGTTTCTATTGGTTCGATGGTAATATTTATGCACTTTGAGAAGGTCGTTCTCCGCTGGGATGGTATACCAACTGTTATCAGTCTCACGTCCGTGGGATTGTATTTCATCAGCCGCATCTTGATGATGGGGGAGGTGTTTACGACTTTGGGAGCCGAAGAACCGGCCATTTATAGCACTGTTGAAATATCAAACTATTGGATACACCTATTGTGAGAACACACGGTATTGCATGTCGATCTTTGGTAAAGGGGTGTGAATTGTCCTATGTCTCTCATGCGAAAATCTTTATAGAACACTGTCACATACTTTAGTCTGAGTTTTAAGTTTGATGCCCAAGTATTCATGAAAGGACCACCTGCTTCAAATATCTTATAGTATAGAGATAACGAAATTTATGTCACCGGCTTACTCGGTCAACACCATGAGTTTGACGAAAATTGGGAAAAGAGATTGTACGACCGAGGAAAAGAAATAAGCCATCACAAATACATCGATGTGGAACACGAAATGAAATTCTTATATACACCCAGACCCGTCAACGTTTATATCGAGACGTCCCACCAGGTGGGAGGTATATCTTCTCTACGTCAGCATGTAAAGGATGGATCTGCCGCTTCGAAAAAACGCATAACGGCCATAGTGACAATTGGATAACCCATAATAACATCATGTAAGCCAGTTTTCAATACTTCTTCCCGGATCACACCATTATCCGTTCTCCATTCCATGATTGAGCCGGCAGCACCCAGATCAACCTGCGAGTCCAACTTCCTTACTTCGAGTTCTTCGTAGCTTATACCCGTGGGTATCGAAGCGTTCACTGCGTGCCAGAAGACAACTTCCGTGTGGTGCCATGGAATGTCATAATCGTCCTGGGCGTGTATGATCGCGAGGCGGTATTTCTCACCATTAACTTCATTGGAGCGAATATACCGTGCGATGCGGTCTTTACTTGGCCACTGGTCCTGTATAAGGCGACGGAGGTAGTTGAAAAGCAAAGGGAAACTTGCAAGCGGAGAGAGTATTGGAATTACTCCTGCCACGCGATAAGTTGAAACCAACGTTGCACAATCGACGAACGGTGCAATAAGAACTGTGCCTGCAAAAACCACTGGTGGAGACTGCATTGCAAGCTTCTCGGAGACAGCGATGCTCACTGCAGTACCCATAGACTGGCCAAAGATTAGGATTCGAGAGGGAGGGATACCTGCGATCTTCATAGCCCAGTCAACAACAGCGTGAGCGTCTAGTATAAGACCATCCTCAGATGGTGAGCCGGTGCTTTTTCCGAATCCACGGTAATCAAATGTCAGGACATGAATTTTGCCTGGCTGACCGGCGGATAATGCACGGTAATTTGGGACTCTGTATCCTGAACCGACAGTACCCCCAGCACCATGCATGTGAAGAATCAAACGAGCGTCAGGATCGTCGCGTAACAGTTGAAATGCGATTCTAGACGTGAAATCCGAAACAAAACCAACCGGCTCTGCAATAAGAGACTGCTCATGCTTGCGATATAATTCGATTGGGAGGATATGCCAGGCGTATAAACGCTCCCCGTCGGGAGTCTTGATTGAGAAGGGAGTAACTTGATTCTTTAAGAAGCCGAAATTTTCCGGAACGTCAAGGTCCTTAAACCATGTCATCTGTATGGCGTGGAGGTATACTGCATGGGATTGAAGCGTGGATATGGTGAGCAGTGCTAGCAGTGTTGCATACAGCCCGATAGCAGCTGCTATCGAGATAGAAGCATATTGAAAGAAGCTGCCGATAATCCTCCCAACAGCCATCTTGGAGGTGTATTGTGGCGAGATTGAAGTTAAACAAATGTCAAACCTCGGCGGGCGTGCGGTGAGGTGTAGGCTGAGTGGAGTGCTTAAGCGCTGTGATGAATGTGCATCTCGGCCAGTCATGATCATTATTATTAACGCTAATTATGCGATTTAGTGCAACATTGAAGTCACTAAGAGAGACCATCAGAGCTGGGAAAGGAACCAACCTTGCCAAAGAATGTTACTTCGATTCACTCCACCATGATTTTTCCTTGGAGCACTCTCTCAGAGGCAATACAGTAAGTGCTGTTCGAATATTCCACGTAGTATTTTTGCCCTTGGGTGTTTTGCCTGTGACGTGGATGACTACACAGATGTATATACAGCCCTTACCAGGGCGTTGACACCATATATAGCTAGCGTAAAACTGGAAGGCGTCGTCTGCAGGCGTTACTGAGCTCCTTTGCGTGACTACGCACCTCGATACTTAAGTAGGACCCTTGAGGTCTTGACATTGGTGGACCGCCGTTCTAGGCGAGCATTGCACGGAATTGCTATTTTAGGGGCTAAACTGCCCCGTGCCCTAATTTTTGCACTTATATTTAAGAACAAATGGCCGCGGACCCACCGGTGAACGGAGGCAATTCCGCCGGATTTTCCTCCGCATTTCTTCCAGCCTCAACCTACCTGCCTGCCCACAATTCCCTAAGCCTAAGGATTCTTGGTTACTGACACTACAACTATGGAGAGACCTAGACTGGCCCCCGGCCACACTAGTACGTATGGCCAGGCTTGCATGCAATGCTACAAGGCAAAATGCCGCTGTGTGCCTAGTGCAAGAAGAGGCGATGCTTGCGAACGGTCAGTATAGCTCAGGCATATTCTTGCACAGGCTCACTGACAGCCTCGCAGATGTCGTCGTCTCAGAAAACAATGCCAGCCATCGGACTCACTTCGCAGACGCAATGCTCAGAAAGCCGAAGAATCCGACATCCGAATCGCCCGGCTGGAGGGCAGGATAGAAACGCTGTTATCTGCAATGCAATCTATGGCCAGCTCTAACGGACCCTCACCTGAGATTCAACGGCTCCTTGATGGGGAGAGCATTGCATTATCCACGTCTAGCTCGAAACCCACTCCAGCAAACTCCACTGCCCTCAACCCTAGCATCAGCGGAGGCCCTTCTCCGGCGGCGCTGGCGTACACAAATCCGTTCCCACCGTCGCACTGTTCTCCATTGCCCTATGGTATATCGCAAAGTCAAGCAGAGACCTCTCTGCTTTTTTTCCGATCTCATATGCTGCCGTGCTTCCCATTTATCAACCTTGCTCCAGGTTTAACAGCCTGGCAACTGCACCAAGACCGGCCATTCCTCTTCCAGGCCATTCTCACCGTTACTTCATTCTCGACACAAGTAAGGCTAGCTCGAGCCGAGGAGCTGAAGCACGTCTTGTACACATCTGCATTTGTCAATACCCAGTCGAATACCGACCTGCTCCTTGGTTTGCTCACGTATCTAGCATGGAGTACCGACGCATTTCTTGGCCGAGCAGATCTTGTGTCCCGACTTATGATGCTCGCCATTTCATTGGTATATGATCTACGGTTGTTCAAACCATCTCAAACAGAAATTAAGATCATCGTGGCAATTACTCAAGGCCAGAATTACGACAATGGCGAGAATGCCAGCGAGGAAACAGTCGAGGATCTGGTGGAAAAGCAACGAGCTGTCCTAGCGTGTTTTGTTCTGAGCTCCAAGTACGCCTAGCAGCTTAATCATCCCAACCTAAAGCAACCCTACTGACATATGTGCTGCTAGCATTTCATTTCACCTGGGTCGCCTAGATGCTCTACGGTGGACACCTCAAATGGACGAGGCACTTCGCGTCATTGGAACGAACAAGCTATGCCTGACGGATAAGCTCTTTGCATCCCAGGTACGATTGCAGCTGCTAAAGCAGAGAGCGGCTTACATTCGCGAAGAATACGAGAGAGATCGCGCTCGTACATCAACAGCATTCATGGCCACTTCCACTCCAGGCTTGTTATATCTTAAGACGCTGCGAGGACAGTTGCACGAACTTGTATCTTCGTTTCCATCAGAGTCCCGTCACAGAGGCGAGTCATCTCTCAGAAAGACACCCTAGTAGATCCCGCTATGTGAACACTGACGGCCATGAGTTACAGGGATTCTCGTTTTATACGCGAAAGACATTGAATTATACATAAACCAGCTAGCTTATGCCATAAGCTGGGAATCGCCACTTTTCAATATGTCAGGGCCGAGGAGTGATAGTGGGATTTTACCTGGATATGAACGCCTCGAGTATTTGTGGCAGTCCGTCGAAAACATTAAGTCGTGGCTTGATAATTTCTACAACATTCCGCCTTCGGAACTCGCTGGTTTTCCTTTTCATTTCTGGTCACAAATGATACGGTGTATCACCTTTCTAAAATACCTGTCCGTGCTCGAAGATCCGTCGTGGGATCGCCAGGCGGTGCGCAAAACGGTCGACCTAATATCTACGATGGAGTGTATGACCGGGAAACTTGATTCGAGTGGCGAAGGCCCTGGCCTTGATGGCGAGGATAATGTGTTCAAGCTTTTATCGAAACTTTTAAACCGTTGTCGGGTTTGGGCCGATACACGATGGAACAACACCCCGCCGGAAACTGGGTCACAGCAGAGTGCCTATTCTGACGCGCACAGTCAGGACAGCTATATACCAGATCTGGATCAGATGGCCTGGATCCAGTCAATGAACTTAGAAAGTGATCAGTGGTTTGAGGATGTGTTGGGCTGGCCTACAGCCTCAATTTAGACAGTCGATTCAGGACAAAACAAATCACCAATCAATTGCCAGTCATTCAATATGTAGTGGAGGTACTGAGGCCCTTGGGGTTCATCCACTAAGTTTCCGATTAGTTCACATACGTAGTTAGTTCTCTCAATGTGATATACCGGCCAGTTCTAACATAATAGTCGTACCCCTGGCCAACAATAAGAGCCTAAGCCTGACAGGAGCAACTAACTAAACTTGGTCGTCAAATTGTAGGCTCAACGCCAATGTATAATAAGGAGAATATCAATGCTATCTGCGCACAATGTACTTCCAACGTTGGTTGCACAAGTAACAAACAGGTACCTAGGTAAACTATACGAATGAAGAATATTGTCAATAACTACAACATTTCATCATCAGTATGAAAATCCGTTACTTTGGCTGTAGAAATTCTATCGACAGATAAACATCAGTCCAAAGTTTCCTCAAATAAGTAATTATTTATCTGATACATGGATACGTCCCTAGGAGAGCGTAAATCAAGTTTACAAACTCAAAAATGTCTCAATCAAATTTCCCGGCTGATCAAAAAAGTCAAACATCACAATGCCCACCCTTTTCCCTTTTTGTTGCTCTAAAAACGGTACAAGCAAATCATTCACTCCCCCCTTGGGCGTATAATTCGTCCCATTACCAAGCGCCTGAGTCACCGGCCACACATACGGCACCGTATCCGTATTCTCACTCGAAGCCCAGGTCCAAAACAGACTGTCTCTGTGAGCGGCGGACACAGCTCTTTCAATATTTGCGACGGTAGCGTTGTATTTCCATTGAATATTCTCAGCAGCAGTTGAGCCGTATGGTGTCAGGGGCTCGTAGTAATCCTCAATATAAGCGGTTAGATTCTTTGCAGTGTTGTATACCAGTGCTATATCGGGGCTGTTATCAGTCCATAGACTTGGGCTGAAGTGTAATCCGGGAAGATTGTCGGTGTACGAAGCGGGCAGTTGATCCAGGTCGAAGCGGCGCAAGAGTGTGATTTTACCGCGTGCTTGGCCCAGTGTTCCGAGCTCGTCTTTGGTCTGCACAAAGTAGGCACGAGCAGCGGGTGTGGTTAGCGCTGAGTAGAGAGCGAGCTGGACTGCGGCATCGTTGGATGCGTAGAGAGCCGTTGAGCCTTCGTCCTGGAGAGACAGGAACAGGGTTTCGGAAGGATGGTCATCGAGCCACTGGTAGAATCCAAAAAGGATATCGTTGAGTGTAGCCGTTTCCGACAGGAGGGCTTGCGAATGGTAGAATATGATCGTAGTGTTTGTGGGATCGAACGCATATCGCAGATCAAAGGCCCGAATCCCCATATTCAGCATATCGACCAACGAGAGTTCCTGGCATCGGAATGACAGCGGTGTCGGGACAGTGACCTGGTTCAGATCCGTGATACCCAAAAGCGAGTCCTGCGTGGCCTGGGTATAGTTCCACGTTGCGCTGTCGTGGGTTCCGGGAATGTTCATGTGGACGAGCAGAGTGTCGTCTGCGTAGGACTTCATCCATTCCGCGGTGTGATTTGTTACTTTGGCGTAGTCACCGAAGATGGGTGAGGCGTCGTTGAGGACCTTCTCCAGGGCGAATTTGGCTAGGGATGAGGACTGGACAGACGCGGTCAATGCCGCGATGGTGAGGATTTGCTTCCACATTGTGCAACTACATAGACTAAGCGTCAATGGACTCAACTGCCGTGCTCGTGTATTCCGAGCACCTGAACCTCGCAATATTTATATTCAAACTCGGTAATATGAAGCCGCCAGCTTTCCTGTACGTGGGATGTCCAAATCAAAACCTGTGTACGATATACTTTTTATCTGGAGACACTTGACTCGTGACGAGAAGGAAATTAGCTGAACGTTCTCTCAATGTTCTGAAGTAAATAAGAGTCAGCAAACTACAAGGGTTTCCACGTGCATTAGTCGTGACGATCCAATTGGCCGTGAATCAGTCTGTGTAATTCCCACTTCGTATGGCAACTAACATGCTAGTTAGTATGCTAACTAAAGGCTAGCTTATTGCTTTGCGTTTATGCTGGAGGTTATACACCCAGGAATTCCGGCAGCAAGAAAGCTTGAATAAACAATGTTTGCACCTTGGCTTTGATAATTTTCTTGGAACTTCAACGTATATAAGGTTGGACCATTCCGCTTTCAAATTTGAAGATTGACATTTAAGTTGTAAGAGTCCAAAAGGCGATTCCCGGGAAAATCTTACAATGTCTCGTCTTGGGTTTGGAATCGCTTTCGGCCTTGCCGGCCTTGCTAGCCCAGTGCTAGGCTGGACAGCTGAAGAGACCTTCTACCCAGCTACACTCAACGACACGGCCTACATCAGCAATAGCTCAATTGGTACATATGGGGGTATCTACCAGGCTGCTACCACCGGACCAACCGGAGGTTCCCCTTATGGAACTTATGATTATTGCTCCATGCCTCATCCCCGTGTTCAAGAGTATGAGCTTCCCGAAGCCCTAAGCAAGGGCCATGTTCTGGGAAAGCTTGTGTACCTTGAGTATTTGCAGCGTCATCAAAGACGTTCTCCTTACAACATCTTGCCTGGTGGAGAGGTAGAATCATACATACTTTGCATATTCTAAGTCCGCTCACTAATCTTCGATAGAATGAAGCATATGACTGCGACAATGTCAGACCCTATCTCTACGCAGGCGCAGACACTTCTTCCGGCATCCAGCCAATCCCCATGTATGCGCAGACATACCAAGACCCAACGAACCCATTCACACCCGGCGTGAACGGTTCCTGCCAATACCCCCAAATCACCATTGGTGGAGTCCAAGACGGCTTCCAGCACGGCAAAGATCTCTGGTCCGTCTATGGCGAGAAACTTGGTCTGATTCCCAAGCAACCCAATGATCGCACCTGGTTCCGCTCTAGTGAATCGGCGCTTACTCAGGGAAGTGCCGGTGCGGTTTTGCGTGGTGTCTGGCCTTTTTACCAGGGTGCGCTACCTTTGCATCAGATGGTGTCTAGCGTAGACACCGTCAACGAGGGATATTCTTGCTCGGCTATTAGTAGCACCTTGAGTGCGTTGGAGTCGACGTCTGAATGGAACGACCACCTTGCTGTCACCGAGGAACTACGGTCTACTCTCGGATCAATGTTGGGTGCTACCAGTAGCTCCTGGCAAGACACCTTTGACCACTTCTCGGACAACTTTCAGGCCCGTCTGTGCAACGGTTACGAACTCCCCTGCAGTCTGACCAATTCCTCCAACTGCGTGACTATGGAAATGGCCGAGGAAGTCTTCCGTGCCGGCGACTGGGAATGGAACTACTACTGGCGCACAAACCCCGATGTCGTCAAATACATCCAGGTAGTTGAGGGCTTGTTCATTGGCGAAATCGTTGCTCGCCTCCAAGCTGTTCTCGACGGCAAATCATCTCTTGATTATACCCACATATTTATTCATGATGGTGATATCGGCCCTGTTCTGGGTGCGCTTGGTATTGATGCGCTGCGATGGCCAGCTATGGCATCTAACATCGCTTTTGAAGTTTGGTAAGCTCTTCGCTTCGATGTTGACGTCAAAGTTGTACACGTACTGACTAAGAGGTTATAGGGAAACAAATGATCAGTCAAACCGTTACTATGCTCGTGTCTTGTACAGCGGTTGGGCACTCAAGACTATTCACGGTACCCTTGACTGGCTTCCTCTTGCTGATCTCATTGACATCATGAGTCCTTATGTACCTGAGGACATTGTCTCTTTGTGTGGTTAGACGTGTTAATGTCATAAAGTCCATGGCTCAATCAATATGGAATGAATCGGAGCGGCCTGGAGTACCATGAACTTGCAGAGACAAGTAAGCAGCATGTTTGAACTACAATATTTCAATCACGAATGAAGAATACCAGATGATGTGGCGACGATGGATTCGAAACGCTGTTTAAGCAAGTACATAATCAGGAACCGCAGGCACCCCTCTGCACCACCCACAGGGAGGATTTCAACAGCATATTTATGAAAATATTGCCCATAGCACACTCACGTAGAAAAGACGGAGATGCCAACACTAACTATATGCACTAATTCTGTAGTTCCTCTGTGAAGTTGACCAGAAAAGTGATATGTACCAATGGGGAGAATGTCGACATTCAGATAACACCTCAGTTCAGAGCTTTTCCCTCCAAGTCTATTGTTACCAGCGGCTTCTGCAATGACGCTTTGACAACATTGCGAGCTTCGAACATGTCTTCGATCTCTTCCAAGGTTCGACCTTTGGTCTCGGGTAGAGTAAAGTACATCGCGGTATACTCGAGGAAATGGAAAACCACTGGAAATAAAAAAAGATGAGAGACCGGCCCAAAACCATGGGAGTCGGTGATCGAGGATTTTTTCAACTTACAGAAAATTGTGTACATCTTCCACCCGATAGTGCTCATGCCGACTGGTGTTGCGTACTATCTAGGTCAGCCTCGATTAAGCGTAGAAACCCAGCAGGAGAAAGCACTTACCATGTTGATAAAGGACGAGCCCCCGGACAACAGTCCCTGAAAGGCAAGTCCCTTGGCGCGAACTTTTGTAGGAAGAATTTCGGCAGGATACAGCGCCTGGAGCGTGGTCCAACAAAAGGAGTACACGATGCCGTAGAGAAAGATGCAGGCAACGAATCCGTAGCCCATGCTCCTCGTGATGTGGGCTGCATCATAGGAAGCAATCACGTTGATGGGGATGTAGATGAGGCCGGTCAAGAGGGTCCCCCACAGGAACAGAGTACGACGACCACAGCGTTCGACAAAAAAGCTGCCGACGATGCCACTTATGACCCCAAAGACGATATTCAAAGCATTTAGAAGAAGTTGTTGGTGTGAGCTCGTAATGCCGGCATTTTGCAACATCACAGGCATGAAATAACTAATCACAGACCCTCCGATGAACTGTGCGAAGACACAAACCAAGAACATCACCCACAATCGATACCACATGGCCCTACCAATAAAGAGAGGCCTAAAGTCCCACCACCTGTGATGGCGACCGGATTCGATCTCCTGGTTCAACTGTGCTTCGATTTCGACGCATTCAAATGCCACCAAAGAAGAATCCGGGTTGCCAGAACCGTGATACTTGATAAGCATAGCCCGGGCTTCCTCCTTCTTGTTCTTCTCCCATAACCACCGAGGGCTTTCTGGCAGCATGTATGCAGCTGAGAAGATAGTCAACGCAGGCACAATTTGAATTATGACGGGGATGCGCCATGACCAGTTTGTGGACAAAAACCCTGTTCCGTAGGCAATCCACGTGCAAGCTAAATCCCATTGGTTATTAAACAAAGGACATCCAGATAGATATATCCACGTTGGTAGTAGTGGCACTTACCCAACGCTCCTGAATAGTATCCAATGGTGTTATAGAGGCCACCAAGAGCGCCACGCCACTGCGGCAAAGCAACTTCCACCAGGTACGTTGGCCCTGCCGTATTCGATACAGAGACCCCGAAACCAATCAGAAACCGACCGCCCATGAACTGGGAGACATTGTTGGCTGAAGCTTCTAGGGCTGCACCCAAGATGATGAACAAGGAGCCCACGCACATTCCAAAGCGTCGGCCGAGAATATCGGAAGCTGGGGCTGCTGCGAGGGCTCCAGCAAGATTTCCCACCGCGTAAATGGCGAACAAGATGCCAGTACCAGCTCCGTCCATTTTTGTTCCGAAGTGCTCGTGAAATGGCTCCATTGCATTAAGAGATGACATCAAGGTGCCGTCAAACCCATTCATTGAGCAATCTATTATCTATCGTCAGCCGCGGATTTATCTTTCAAAGGCCCCTCCATGTATGTCTGGCTTTCTCACTCAATGTTGTGACAGCAATAATTCCATATAGGCGCAGAGCTGTCCACGACCATGCAGAAAGCCTATCTTGCACAAGGACATCGTCCACGCTGGTAGCCGGTGCGCCTGTGGCATTTTCGATATTGACAGACGTTCCCGTTACCGGCCAGGCTTTCTCATTCTTTGCGTCCACCATATCCGTGACAAGTTTCGCAGGGTTAAGAGAGAGAGAGAGCCTAGCTTCCAGTTACATAGCCAATAGATAATGTTCAATACTCGAATTCGAAAGCCGGGGGGGCTGCAGAGGAGGGCAGGGATTCTTCATTTATAGAGGAACTCAGATGCTCCAAAATTCAACGGTAAGCATAGTCAGAATTCTCTTCCGTGTTCAAAACGGCATTAGGGGCATAGCCATTGGTCATAAAATGCGGGGACACTGAATCCGGGGTGAAAAATGCGGAGAAGGATACGGAGCGAGGCTGGGGATCCCATACTGGCAATTTCTCGGCAAGGTGGTCCGGGTCTAGTTCAAGATAGAACTCTTCCAGAGTGAAAGGAGCTGTGATAACGCCTAATGCTATACCCTTTCAGCGGCGGCGTGGAGACTCCGTGTTAAAGATAGCTAGCTGGATGTTTAACCATGGCGCTAGGCAGGATCTATGCATGTAGATAGTGGCCATTCGTCCGGAGCATTCTTTGCATCTCCACAAGGTACTAAAACTATATTATGCTATTATAAGACGAAAAGACTACTTTACTTTCCTTTCACCCGTAAAACGGATATTCTCAGGGCATGTGCATTCCTAGAAGGGATATCTCCTGTACCTCGTAATGGCCCTTGCTTTTGATAAAATCGTGCTATTTGGCGACTCCATCACCCAGCTTGCGTACGATCCAGCATGCGGGTTCTGCTTTGGAGCTGCAATGCAACATGGTAAGTAATTCTGTTTGATACTCGCGGCTTAGGCAGATAATTCGGTGGAGTTGACCTACTTGATTTGGCAGCGTACTGTCGCAAGTTGGACGTGATCCAACGCGGTTTCGGCGGCTATAACTCCGACCATGCTGTCACCATCATCGACCATCTCATCCAGCAGGAGACGACCATGCAATCCGCAATCAAGCTTATGGCAGGTCTTTCCTTTGGATTTTGGATTTGGTTCCCCATTCTAGGACGTTCTGATCTAATGACATTTGTCGCCAGATTGTTTTCTTCGGCACGAACGACTCTATCGTCCCGGAGTCGAAAAACCACGTTCCCATATCAAGGTACAAAGACAATCTTAGGAGACTCATCGCCAGGGTCGAGCAAAGTGGTGCTAAAGTTGTTCTCGTCGGACCGGGGCCCTTCAACCATCACCAGTTCGTGGCGGCGAATGGCAAGGAGTTCTTCTGCGACCGGACTACCATTCGGGCGCGTGCTTATTGTGACGCGGCCATTGAGGTTGGTAAGGAGAGAAAGGTGCCGACCGTTCCACTATGGTATCTCATAATGGAAGAGTTGGGCTGGAAAGACGGTGATCCAATCTACGGTCTAGAGGAACTTTCTGCGGAAAACCCCTTGAACGAGTATCTGAGCGATGGTGAGTTCCAAAAATGCCATTTCCTCACGCATTGCACGGGCTGACAGATGGACGACCAGGAGTGCACTATCTCGGCAAGGCCTACAAAGTGGAATTCACGAATGTCATCAAGGCCATTAAGGATTTCTATCCGGAACTGGATCCGGACCGCCTTTCTGAGAAATTACCAGCGTGGGACGTGATCACGTCATTGGACATGCTGTATGAAGCGACAGCATAGATCGTGTATTGTAGATACAGATTATAGTATCTAGGCAATCTTGTGACCACTCACTCATTCCGCTTAATATTGTCAGACTCCATCTAGCCCTGTCACGGCGCAAGAATCATCTACCAGAAAGCCTCATTACGGTGGTTCCCATTTTGGTAGAATGGACAGAATTTGTTCGGACAGAGGCGACGTGACGAGTGACGAGTACTTGATGTTGAATTGGGGTCTAGTTGGCTACTATAATGCGTCATTTGTTCTTCTGGCAGTTGTTGTAGTTCCGGTTACGCAGAAACTCGCATGCAAAAGTCATTCGTGCTTGGATTAGGACTTATCCAAAGCACTGTCCGTCCGTGGAGACGAATGTCGGCTAATTCGGTTTTGTATGCTGCATATATATTTATATATGTCATCATATAGGTGACGCAGTATACAAAGTTTGCCATCATTCCGTGGTACGAGTCTATTGCCATGCCCGGGTACACCACCGAATACGATGATGGCCATTACCAAATGCCAGCGTCTCTACGATATGTCTCTTTTATTGTGATTTGGGCTACAATGCCTCTTTTCTACAAATGTTAGTAGATGAACTTGGGAGTTCGTAAGTAGATGACACCGAAGGTTGATGTATTGGATGTAATTATTTATAATTTTCCTCTCATTCCACTGTTGATCTCTCCAAGTCCCAAAGGTCCATCGTAAAGCAGCCGGTTCAGAGCAGTGGTGTTTATCTTTCTGATCAATCAAACTATCCTCAAAAACCTGGACAGGGAGTTGTGTGGCACCTACATGATGCAGCCCAAGCTGATCAACCCTCTCTACCCCAAGCAGCCTCATAGCTGTGGCAACCTCATCCGCAAGTACTGTATAAGATTCAGCGTCAGCAGGCATGAATTACCAAAAAGAGAATCAAGCTCACTCTTTAAAGTCCTCAGAACCCCCGCACTCCCCCCGACAGCCAACCCATAAAGCGCCGCCCTACCAATGCCCACTCCCCTAGCTCCCAACGCAAGCGCCTTCACCACATCTGTGCCCCTCTTCACGCCTCCATCTACGAACACCTCGATTTCCTCGAGTACCTGGGGGCAAAACCTCCTTATCTCCATCAAAACCTGTATTGCTGTAGGTGCTGTATCCAGCGCCCTCCCCCCATGGTTGGAGAGAATAACCCCGCTGACTTCCGGATGCTGCGCTGCAAGATACGCATCTTCATGCGTTTGTATCCCCTTAAGTATTATAGGTAAGTCTGTATGTTTCCTCAGCCAAGGTAGTGTCTTTGTCCAGGTGAGTCCCGCGTCTGTCCCCCAGACCGGAGGGGTTGACGTCTGAGCCATGGCTTCAGCAGCTTTGAATCGCTCGTCTGCTTCGCGTTTACCTGGGAATGGTGCGTCGAGCGTTAGCACTATGAATTTGATTTGCCGGATCTTTTTGATCTGAGCGAGCGTGCGTTCTGTTGCGCGTAGGTCTTTCAGGACATACAACTGCCATGCGAAGACGGCGTTGGGGCCAGCAGCGACGATGTCGGAAACGGAAATCGAGGCATTTTTGCTGATTATTTGAAGAGTGTTGAAAGAGGAACATGCGGATGCGATGCCCGCTTCGCCACTGGGGTGCGCGAGCTTGGCCATTGCCGCTGGGGAAATGAAGATGGGAAGTCCGACGGTGGTGCCTAGAACAGAGGCTTCGAGGGAGCAATTTGTGCAGTCGATGAAGATGCGGGGACGGAGAAGGATCGATTTGAAGATTGTTTCATTGGCGAATTTGGTGCGTTCGTCGTCCGTGCCGGAGGCGTAGTAGGATACTGCTTTCTGGGAAAGCCGTTTGAGGGCTAGATTTTCCATTTCTGAGAGGCTCAAGATCGTGTGGAGAGGCGGTGCTGGGTTTGCTGACCGACTGGAAAGGCTGTCTCCAGTGATAGCAGAAGCAAATTCTGGGTCTAGCGTGCCCAGGGTTTCGTCGGAGCTGAGATATTCATCGAGCAGCTCGGCTGGATGAACATCTGCAAATGCAGGGGTGGCATCGCTGCCAGCGTGTTGAAGGAGGATGGCCTTCCCGCCTGGATGGATATGTAGGAACTTTGTGATCTGGGGCAAGCAAATTAGTATACGTTGCGTGAAGAGTCATTCGCACATTCTCAAACTTCACGTCGTAAACGTTGCCATGGATTGCAATCCAACAGTCGTTTTCGCTGTTGTGGGCTTGCACTGAGGTAGGACGGTCAGCGCACTGCCAGATATATGTACTAGTAGGGCCACAGACGTACAATCGGATAACCGAAACATGATCCTTTTACTTTCCTCCTGCTTGACAGTCTTCTTGACACGATATTCAAATGTCGTGCCACCATTATTATCAGGGAGTTGTTTTGGCGGAGGTGAAATCCCGTGCCGTTTTGGGAACGGGATTAAAAAAATTCCACTTTGACGCTTAGTACGTCGTATAATAGTATATAAGTCCTAGTTTGGCTCGGTCAAATGGAGATATATCAAGACGCCCTGATCCTTTTAGGGACGTCGGGGTTCGCGTCTCGCGATCAGGGGACCGTTTTACTGTGGAAATAGCTATACCTCCCTGTGCAAAAAAGTCCATGGTTGAAGAGCACGAGGGCTTCGATTTGAGTGATAGTATGCAGTTAAATCCACTTCTAGTTCCGTCATTAATATAGTAGAAATAGGAGGCCTGCGTACCTGTCTTCTCCAAATGCTCGGCTGTAGACTTTTGGGTTTTTACGGGGTTATTCTGCCCAGATATACATAAATACTAGGTTTCTTTACATATCTGCTACGGGGAGGAACATGGACGATCTTCTTCTAGTGACTGGAAATCATTGTAGAACAAGTCTTGTCGGATACAATATCACAGGATTCAGGCACGGATCCTTGATGACATTACAATGAATAGAAATAGCCACAGAAAACAAAGGACAGAGCCACCACAGGCAGCTAGCATGAAGACATGTCACGATCGATGACAGCGATACCCTAGAAAATAACCTTTACCAATGCGTAAGATGCCGAGTCTCTGACAGATCCTGCTTCAAGTTTCAAGGATGAACCTGCAGATCAACCACGTCTGGGGTGCATGAAGGCCACCAACTTTTATTCATTAGGCGTTGCACTGCGGGCAATGGTAGGCAATGCTAATCCGACTCAACCCCGCTCTTCGATATACTTCAACGACGACGCATATAACTATAATCTACCGCGCAGGCACGGTTAATTGGAGGCGGCTAATTATTAGGGTTGTGCGATGTGGCTGCAAGACGGAGCGCGATTTCCACCTCTGATGCTCGCGAGAAGCAGGGATAAAATGCAACGCAGCTCCATTTCGACCGCCTTGTTGAATGCACCCCGCATAATGGTAGCTTGGGTCTATGATCATTGGAGGAAATTTAGAAGATTCGGAGAACGCCCTTGCAGCCTCGGTTTCGAAGACTCAGGCATCTTGCCGGGACGCAATGAAGGATTATAAAAGCAGGACGAACTCCTCGGGACCGCAAACCTCACGATTCATTTGAACAGGCATCGGTATAACGCGAAAAGTGATCAGAGATGTTGTCACGACAGAATCTTGCACGCGCCGGCGAGCTTGCCCTGGGCCTTGTTGCAACAAGCAGGCTTGTTGCTGCTGGGCCCTGCGACATCTACTCCTCTGGCGGCACTCCCTGCGTTGCTGCTCACAGTACCACTCGCGCCCTGTACAGCGACTACACCGGGGCACTCTACGAGGTCAAGCGTGGCTCCGACAATGCCACGACCACCATAGTGCCGCTTTCCGCCGGCGGCGTCGCCGATGCAGCTGCGCAGGATTCCTTCTGTGCTAGCACGACCTGCCTCATTACGACAATCTACGACCAGTCAGGCAATGGTAACCACCTCACTCAAGCTCCTCCTGGCGGCTTTGACGGCCCGGATGTCGATGGCTACGACAACCTGGCTAGTGCAATTGGCGCACCGGTCACGTTGAACGGCCAAAAGGCATACGGCGTCTTCATCTCGCCCGGCACTGGCTACCGCAACGATGCCGCTGTCGGCACGGCCACGGGTGATGAGCCAGAGGGCATGTATGCAGTCCTTGATGGAACTCACTACAACGGCGCTTGCTGTTACGACTACGGCAACGCCGAGACCAGCAATACGGATACGGGCAACGGCCACATGGAGGCTATCTACTATGGCGACGAGACCGCCTGGGGCACTGGCTCCGGCAGCGGTCCTTGGATCATGGCTGATCTTGAGAACGGTCTGTTCTCTGGCTTCAGCGCTAGCAACAATGCTGGCGACCCGTCCCTCTCCTACCGATTCGTCACTGCCATCGTCAAGGGGGAACCAGACCAGTGGGCCATCCGCGGCGCAAACGCTGCGTCTGGCTCGTTGTCGACGTACTACAGTGGCGTGCGCCCAAACGAGACGGGCTACAATCCGATGAGCAAAGAGGGCGCCATTATTCTTGGTATTGGTGGTGACAATAGCAACGGCGCCCAAGGAACATTCTATGAAGGCGTGATGACCTCCGGATACCCATCAGACGACACTGAGAACTCGGTGCAGGCGGACATCGTAGCCGCCGGATACGCCGTCACGTCGTTGACCAGTGGTCCAGCACTCACCGTGGGTTCATCTATCTCGCTGCGAGCTACCACTGCTTGCTGCACCACACGCTACATTGCTCATACCGGCTCTACTGTCAACACCCAGGTCGTCTCCTCCTCCAGCGGCTCTGAGCTTCAGCAACAGGCTAGCTGGACGGTTGTAACTGGCCTTGCTAATAGCGGCTGCTTCTCATTCGAGTCGGTCGACACCCCCGGCAGCTATATAAGGCACTACGACTTTGAGCTTTTGCTCGACGCTGACGACGGCACCAAACAGTTCTCCGAAGACGCCACGTTCTGTCCAGAGGCTGGCCTCAACGGCGAGGGCAATTCCATTCGATCCTGGAGCTACCCTACTCGCTATTTTCGTCACTACGATAATGTGCTATATGCCGCTAGCAATGGCGGTGTTCAGACGTTTGACGTCACCGACTTGTTCAACGACGACGTGAGTTGGGTAATTAGCACCGGCTTTGCTTGAGTTCTGGGGAGGGATCAGGCGGTAGAAGTGATAGATTACTTTTACCTTGGAGGGGTTTGATTCTGAAGGCAAAGCCTACCTAGTTAACCCGTGTAGGGAGCCTTAATAGATACTATTATAGGCAGAGAAAATTGGAATATTACGGAGTCTTCACTAGGTGCTTAAGCAGTTGCTCCGTAGATTAACAGAGATATTATATGTCGTGACAGATCGGACTCTCTTTGTATGAATTCATCCGTTGGGCCTGAGCAGGTGGAGTTTCTTCGTTACAGCTTAGGCTACTTCTTATCCACGTAAGAATAACTTTCACACCACTCTATGCATTCAATCTAAAGCTTGCCTTTGCAAATACTTTGAACGTCTAGTGCACCTAAGCACTATGTCTTCTTCCACAGAAGGATCCATACCCCTCCTCTTGGTGTTAACGTCAATTAACTTGTCGTGAAGCCGATTTTCGACGCTCTGAAACTAAGAAAGAAGCGCTATTTGCATCACCTTGCACGAGCAGCATGGTATGGAAGCAAAATGGTCATGCGGCAGGTGTCGTTGGAGAGCCCGGATATCTTCGACTTCATCTTGGAACTCTACCGTGCTAGCGACGGGAAATGAGACACCTTCATGACACAATGCAATGTCACGTAGGAGGAACTCTCATCCTTTCTGGAGTACGCCGCTACGTTTCTCTGTAATCTGGGGGAATTTACGTACGCTCACCAAACAACACACATTACTGCTACCAGGTCTGATCTTATCTAGGGCGAAGGCGATCGAAAGTTTGTCCCCGGTTTAACTGCCGATGCCCTCCAAGAAATTTCAAGTGTCTCCCTATATACGAAGGCTAGTCTTGAGGAATTTATCAACCCGCTGTTGACAGTTCCTCCATTCAACCTCGGATACCAGAGCGAGAAGATGAAATCCGAATATTATCATGTCACTGCATGCATATCTGAAAAAGAGACTATCAAGGTGTCAGAGGTCATGAGCAAATAAATACTCCATTGAACCAGAGAATACTCGTCACTCGGGGGCTGAGAGGAAGTCTGATGTAAAAGAGGATCTTCCCGGACAAAAGTAACTATGATTCGACAGCACCTGTCAAACTGTGATATTCAAGTTTACAGCTGCAATCAAAGGTGCGTTGGGTAGATTGTCCAAGTAAAAATATGAGGCATGCCAATAATTCATATACATAGGTAGGTCCTACAAGATATACCCGTGCCTTTAAGGAACCCTGAATACTTGATCCTAGATTTGTATAAAGAAGAAGAGATAATATGGAAAAAAATGAAAAGTTTTATTGGGAAAGAAAAAAAGGGAGGTTCATCAAAATAATATAAATTATTATTTGTATTTCGGATCGGGTCTATTCCTCTTCCATATCTATAAATGTGCAGGATTAGTATTAACTGCTATTGTGACTGAGGTAGTTGAAACCATACAGGAAGGACATGTAGCACCTTGGCAGCGCGCCCCAGCCATTTACTGCACAATTTCTATACCTAAATTCTGCGCGACGCTGAGAACCTTGTCCTCGTCAGCGACCTGTGGTTGTTCTGGCAGCGCCAGCCCCTCGACAGGATCTCCAGCGCCATGAATCAGAGCTTCAATGCCATCGCCATTCACATAGCTGTAGCACCGAACGTATCGTGGACGGAAATCCAGGGCAAAGCATGTACCTGCTGGTAGAAATACAACCTCGCCGGTATGGGCTTCGGTCGGTTCTTTACTATTAATTCTGACTTCGAGGGTGCCGTCCAGGATGAGCAGCAAGTGGTTCGATGTTGGAAAGATAAAGCTCTTATCGAAGACCGAGCGGCCGAGAAGGGCAGAGCTGGTGATGCTTGGAATTGCAAGGCGACCTCCACTTTGCTTGGTGGTGATGAAGGGGCGCGAGACCATAGGACCTAGCATCCAGCGAGGACCAGTATTGTGGCGAAGATAGTAGGGCCTGGTATCGTCTGGGAGGACTTCGTTCTCCTTGGTCCATTCACTTGGCTCGGCGGGATTCTTTACTTCCTCAAAGTAGGTGTCAAACCTCTCCTCGTAGTCCGGGGGAAGTCTCCCTGTAAGATATTGTAGCCGGTCACGGTCATCAAACTCCGGAAACATCGTCCCATTATAGTCATCCTTGAAACCACGGAAGAAATCCACCCAGTCGGCGGGAGAAATGAGGTTAACGGCGTGCGTAATCGGGCCTAACGGAGTGGGTTTGTGGAGGACTTTCTATGAGGGGGGAGAAACAATAAAACATGAATGAGCCGAGAGTCTGGGGAATATGAAGGAAAAAATATCGGCTGGCTCATACCGGAGGAACTGAAACAAAGTCACCAGGTTCTAGAATCTTGCAGTCATCGCCGCAGTAGACTTTCATCCGTCCTTCGCTGATTAAAAAGATATCGTGGGTGAGTTTGTGATGGTGGACGACAATTTATGCAACCCCAGAGCGAGAAACACCTACCAGCTCCAGCGCTCTGCCCTATCACTGTAACTCTATCCGGATCTCCTCCAAATCCTTCTATGTACTTTTGAATCCATACGAGAGCGGCCTGTTGGTCTCGAAGACCTAGGTTCGCCTTGTAACCTGCATTCTGCATATCTCTGGATATCAAGAAGCCAGTTACCCCGAGCCGGTAGCTGTTTAACCAAGTCAGATCTAATTAACAGCGTTCGCGCATCCTTCAATTTGCTTTTTCTGCGTGGTTTAACCTTGAAGCTTACTTTATATTGATAGCAACAACCTGCTGGTCCAAATGAATTGATCGCTGGACAATCTTTCTTTGACCGTAGGGAGGCTGAGAGCTTGTTCCGAACAGATAGCCGCCACCGTGTATAAATACAAGTCCAGGTAGTAGAACTGCTGCTTTTTTGACGGGCGCCGTGATGTTCAAGCTCGAACCATCCATATCTGACATGGGCGGTATTGCAGGCTTGGGTAGGTGTTGTTGCATGAACTGCATCTCAATATCTGCCGAATCTGGATGGCTTATAACCGGGGGCCTGATAGAAAAAAAAGAAATGATCAGTCTACTACACCCATTGCAGACCAATCCGTGGCAGATACCCGTATTCTGTGGCATCAATGTCTTCTACCGCCGTATATTGCTTCACCTCGGGTTGACTGAATCTGTCTGCAAGAGTCGCATATTGAAGACCTAGATACTGGACCACCACATCATACTGTACGCCTCTAATTTTCCCTATAAGCGGGTGAGAGAGTACGGGCTGTTATGTGTCCATACTGGCTCTGCAAGGCGCTCATCCCTCGCATTGTATATTCATCAGGGCGAGGAATGTCCTGTTTATAACATTACCTATGTTGCCCAGGTATATGTCAACAAGTACTGTAGATATCTGTACCGGGCCGGATCGCGTGTTCCGGATTCCGCTGCAACGGTTGCCGACAAATCCGACTATGTAGGAGGCCTACGGATCGCACGGGTGCAAAATTCACACATGGCGGTGCAAAGATTTGAGTTGTTATTGTAAATAGGGAAGTTCTGCTTAGTGAACGAATATCTGGAATCTTGGCTTGGCTGATCACTCGCTCATTATCCACGATAGCTTCCTGGATGGCAGCAAAACAAGGCCCGTAGGTGTCTCCCTCAGCGTGAAGTTGTTTCTATATTGCCTGTGATTCAAACCTGCTTTTGCGGCCTGTTGAGTTGAGAACATCATCAGGTATTCCACGACACTGACGGAAATTTCGCGTTTCTTCCTTATGACAAAAGCCGTTTCCTAATATCAGCCTAATCTGGCCACTGCAATGTTCCCTCCAGACGTGCTAGTCAGACAAAGTAAAGATGTGAACGTCGTACTTGAGAAATACGCCGGTTAGGTACCTATATAGACCAAGCTGCATCTCTATTTCCCCGGACGTGGTTGCTTCACGGTGAAGTTGTTTGACGGCCTCGATAGCCAAGCATGAATATCACGAAAAACAAAAAGACCATCAATAGCATGGCCGGCTAACCATGGCACCTTATCTCTACTAATTCAATATCCCCAAAGAGGCAATGATGTCCCCGGGATACGCACACCTAAGAGATCATGTTCCGGATGAGCACGAATTTGGTGCTCTTTACCCAGAAGGGTTTCAGGGAGATTTGACAAAGTATTAACCGCACTTTGAGAGGGCACAACGCATTGAAGTACAGCCTATCTAATTCCACACCCAGGTCTGACAACGTCACAATCAGTTCAACGATGGACTGTCCAACATAATGTCCACGAACTAGAGTGGACAGATGGGGTTAAGTTAACCCTAAAAGCAAAAATTGTTGATAGTGGCTAACACAAGGAACGTTAAGAGTCCACAATTCCACCACGCATAATGTCGAAATGAATATCGGCTGCCAGGTGTCTGTTCACCGTGTGGATCAGCATGGGGATTTCTGCGCTTGTTTGGTATCTGCCTTGATACTTTCAATCAGCAGTGGGTACCAGTGCATCCGAGTCTGGGGTTGCGACTTCTGGCTTATCTGGTCTTGCTGCTATTTACCCCGATGGGTCTTGCCAATCAGCTGCGCACATCGGATGAACACTGGCAGGATTGAAAAAACGTACACCTGCATCCCAACCTGAGTTTTGAATTCCGTCAGTTTACCGAACTTGATCATGATCTCTATGTCGTTCGCAGACCGGAGACGGAGCAATACCATATCACCTTCACCCAATTCCCAGACCTAGAAGAATACCGCAGCCGGGATCTTTGGATCAAACACCCAACAAGGCCGGATTTGTGGAAGTGGCAAGCTAGAGCGGACGATATTTTTGTCTTTCTGAACGGAGAGAAAACAAATCCCATTTCGATGGAACAGCATATTATGGCAGCCAACTCAGAAGTGTCCAGTGTCTTGGTCGTTGGCGCTCAGCAGTTTAGCCTGTTTTTGTTAATGGACTTTCCTTTGATCCTCAAAAGCGTTCACAGCTCATCGAATCCATTTGGCCGAGCATTGAGCAAGCAAACTACTGCAACCAGTTCCTCTTAGGGCCACCATCGAATCGATGGAGTGACAAAAGCCTCCAGTTCGTGATTTGTCAAAATGGCATATCTGGATCTATCTGCAAGCGCTCTATGCTTGACGCCATGTCAGTGAGAGCTCTGAATTCGTTCATAGTCCAAGCTCTTAGAGAGCACGACAATGGATCCAGTAACGAAGAAAGCCATCCTAAGACAGCTTCAGTCCGAAAACTAGAATTTGAAACTGATGAAACCATCCTCAACCATATCAGTCGAATAGAAAAGAGTTTTTACCAAAGGCATGGTTCCCTTGAATTAGTGCATATGATTGGACGGCATTAGAAACGATTTTCTTCGTCAACATGGAGTCCCCTCCAAGGCTGGCTACCAGGCAATCATCCAACTCGCGTGTCTTCGACAATTCGGCCTGCAGCAGCCCCCATGGGAGACAGTTACCCTAATGCACTTTCATAAAGGCCGACTCGATTGGATCCAGACAGTCTCCCCTGAGATGATCGATTTTTGTCAAGCTTCACTATGTCACACCATGGACCCGAATACTCCGTACCGAAACCTCCTTTTCAAAGCTACGAGGAGTTATTCCAAAACCTTAATGCGTACTGCTCGTGGAAAGGGGTTCCTTGCCTATCTAGAAGTTTTGTATGAAGCTTCACACGATTTCCTAGCCTGTTCACTGATCCCACCTGGGAAAAGATGCGGGCAACTAGTTCAAGGAAGATAAAAACAGATGCTATTGCGGGCCTTGAAGCTCAGGAAGGCGGTTTTTTAATGCCAGACCCTGAAAGTGTGTTGATCCACTATGAAATAAGTAATCAGAGCGGATAAATATTTGTGCAGAGCACAGCTAGTCACAACAAAGGACTTTGTGACGCTTTGGAGTGGGCAGCACGACGAGTAGAAGCGATTCTGGATGACGTATAGTTTTCTGTTTTACTTTCCAAATGATGTAAATATACCGATACTAAGACGTTATTTTCCCCGTGTATCAATTATCGTTCAGACTACACTGTAGTCTAAAGAAGGCGAATGCAACAAACCTATCTGAGAAGCAAAATTGGCAGCTGAAGTGTCCTAATGACCATCTTCGCTGAAGACATATGACTGTCATATAAGTCTTTCAGAATTGCATAAGCCGCCGCGTAGACGTAGGGCCTTGGAGTTATCTATACAGCAATTCGACAAGCACTGATGAAATCTCTGGCACAAGAATATCTGTATGAGCTTAAACCAATCATACTCGTAAAGTCACATAGTCAATACTCTACGGTATAAGACGCTTTTTATCAAAAGTTTCTCAGTAATGAGTGGATATTTCATTTCTGATCAATAATATACGCAGCAAGCGCAGCTCCGATAATCGTTGGGCATTCACACTCATTGAACTCGAAAGAGACTCCCGGGAATGCTTCAGTCGCCTTCAATATCTCCTCGAGGCACGCAAGACAAGCCTTCGCGAGGTTCGGGTATTTCGTGATAACAGAGCCGGTTATGCCGACAGATATTGATCGGGGCTGGAAAGACCTGCCTGCATCAGATGCGAGGGATTGCACAAACCTGTGCAAGGCGTGTATTGACACTGCGATATAGGCTCCTGCCCGGCGTGAAATCGCTCTGACTATTTGCCGAATGTATTTCAAATCTGACAGAGAGGGATATTGGCCGTCCGGCAGAGGGAATTGGGTCGAGAAAGCCAACTTAGCTTGACATATGCCGACTGATGTATCGTCCTCAAAAAGACCTGCAAGAGGAGAACTCAGAGAAAACTGTTTCTCAAAACCCAAAGGCATTTGGCCGTTGAACAGAGTATTTTCATGTATTGCGTCAATCATGACTAGCCTCACAATCTCTCCGAGATAAAGCCCACCACAAATGTATTCCAATGGTTGATGGCAAGCCGAACGTATTTGAGCTTGTAGGGTTTTGTCCCATTCCGAGTTTTGGACTATGCTCTGTCCAAATAGACTCAATTCGGTATTGACGATGAGGTGATCTTTCGTCTTTTTCCATGTATCGGGATGATTTTTTAGATGCAGCTCACTAAGGACACCAACAGGCAGACGAATAGCCGCATTAAACCCGGTACCTAAGATTATTGATATCTGTGTATTTTTAGCCACATGTTCATGTGCCAGGAAACTAGAAATCGTGTCGTTGACTATGGCACATAGGAAGACATCCAATCCCTTCCCATAAAACATTTATTAGCTTTTAGTTCATTGATTTTCTATCTGACCCTTGCTTTGATCGTTGTAATACGTACCTCTGCCTTCAAAGCATCTTGAAACAGACCGTTAAGTTTGTGGCCAACCAAATCATCCACGCATTGAAACCCTTTGCCCGTTTTCAATACATAGCCATCATCTACGGATATTTGCCTGCAATCGCACAGTTAAGCTTGATGACATTACCAATAGCTCTAAAAAAATAAACTAACCGAAATGGAAATGACCAGGTAAGGCCCATCGGAATAGGACTACCAGTCCGCCAGAATTTCTCAGCATCGACGGTGGATAAAATTAATTGCACTCTTGCTGCAATCCACCGAAGAAAAGCCATGCCACTGAGCGTCCTCACCCCTGCGTCGATATCCCAGCTGTGAAGGCCCATAACACTCGGAGGTGGCTGTTTCCCATGCCGGATTCTATACACATGTACCAAAGCAGCACGCATTGTCGAGCCGCCGATATCAAGAGCTAGGAACACTCTGTTTTCTTGGAATTCAGTAACTTCGCCAATGAACGAGGGTAACATTGTAGAGTCATTTTCAGAACAAGCAGTCTTAAATGACTTCGTGAGTACTCGAGACATGTTGACTAGGTTTTCGATGTTCGTGGTGTGATCGAGGAAGTCCCGCTGGACTCGCTGAAGAATGGAATCCCCGGCAAAGCTCTCATATTCTAATTCCAACCAGCCCCAGCCAGCTGCTTCACGATTCGCTTTTTTGCCCGACATTCCTCTAGGATATTGTTAGATCTAGCACAACACGAGAACGCTCGGCCAGAGCTTTGAACAGTGAGGAAAGTTGCGCCATGGCGCCTTATAAGTAAAATGAGACTGATCAGAGGAAAGACTTATTACGTTGTTTCTAATGCTACCTCGCAAGTATAGTCTCTGGTTGCAGGCCAATGTAACATGCTATTTTTGATGCTGCAAATCAGACTCGAGATGGATTAGAAACCGGTCAGTCAATTACAAGTCACTGTTTCCTCCCTGTTATCGGACGCCCTGACCGTATACTATTGACAAGTAAATGATGTATTCGGGGGCCTAATAATTAATTCCTCGGTACCATCTCCATCAAATGAGATATTTTTTATGGTGGCGCGTTTTGTTAGGAATACATCTTGTGAGTGTCTCTAAATCCGCACATGTGCATAAGCAGTAATTGTGGATTAAGGTATGCATGTTTTACATTCAAAAATATGTCAGGGTATCCATTAAGTAATTACATTCAAGATTTGAAAAGTCGATGTCCAAATTTCCATACCTCATCTATCTCCAGCTTAGTGAACTCCTTGTTCACCGGAACAACTCTCATTATTACTATATCAGCATCAGAATTTGCAGCCAGGGTACCTTTGGTATGCTCAAGGTCTAACAGAGCAGCCGGGTTGGTAGTCACCGTTTGGATGACTTGATGTATCGATGCTCCCGTCCAACGCATAAGATTATTCAAGCAATCGAGGATTGGTGTCGCACTTAAGCCAGGTTAAATATCGAACTAGATTATTTGATCCAGGGCAACAAAAAAGTACATACCTGCCAGCAATTGTATCTAGGCCTTCCAGTTTCAATAGGCTTCCCTTTTTGACAATTTTTTGACCGTTTGTCCAATCGTAGACGCCATCTTCACAGCCCATGAGCATCACCGCGTCTGTGATCAGTATAAGCCCCTTTGGATGTGCCTCCCATGCTAGTCTGACGCTTGCTGGATGGAGATGTATCCCATCAGCAATTAACCCGAAATACGGTCGTCCATCGTCGGGCAGGTCCCCTCTATCACGAAAGGTCCGATCACTGGGTGACGCTATCAGGCCAAAAATGCCCGGCTCTCGATGATGTAGTTGATTCATAGCATTGAATAAATGCGTGACCATTTTTGAACCAGCTTTAATGCCTAGAGCTGCCTCCTCGTAGGTTGCCGCCGTATGGCCGATGCTCGCAATAATGCCACTATCAGCAAGTTCCCGGATCGAGTCCAGGGCGCCCACGCGCTCAGGGGCTAGAGTAACCATCTTCACACAAGACCTCAGGTTACTTTCCCCATAGACCTTCTTAAGTAGATCAGGCGGGCTCGTGTTACCAATGCTGAGAATTGCTTCGGGACTGTGGCAGCCTTTCTGTGTGTGCGCGAAAAAGGGGCCTTCTGTGTGCGCACCTAAAGACTCTGCACCAATTGATGGCTGTCGAGACGCCCCAGTTGCACGAAGTGAAGGTAGTATCTGGCATCACGAACGACGAGTTAGCCCTCATTTGCGTTCTGTTCTTTGATTGAGGCATACAACAGACCCGATGATATGTAGCTTCAAATTGGCTTGTCATTGTTGGCAAATAGCTGGTTGTGCCGGTCTCGATCAGGCGTTGATTCGTGTCATGAAGGCCTTTTTCAAATTTCGATATTGGCATATTGGGGTCTAGCCCCGAAAAATCGAAGCCAAATGCACCATTGATCTGAACATCGATGAATCCCGGGCATATAATCTTCCCTTCGACATCTATTATCTCCACGTCCCCTGGATCCTCGGTGTTGGAAGGGGGGTTTATGATCTTGCCAGTGTCACAATCAACCCACAATTCATCGTTGACGAGCCCGGCATGCCTGAACACACGGCCGTTGATAAACTTCGTAAGCTTCGGCATACCCAGCAAAGGTATTGCTTTGTCTAGTATAATAGTGTGCGATGAATAAAATAAAGACAAGTAAAAAATTAAAGCGAACATTTACTTTAAGCAAAACATCCTTGACTTTATCTTTCATGTCACTCATGCGTAGAGACACTTCAACATAGTGCAGCATAGATGTAACATGCATGGCCGAACAACGTAAGCGCTAGTTGACCTAGACCTACATAGTAGAAGAAATCGATTGGCGCGGTCTTTTCATCCTACAGCAATTAGGTAACTGGTATATCCAACGAAGAGTGACAACAACCAAGCGAGTGCTACAAGCAGCATATCTGACCATATATTTTTGCATGCGGTTACAACCAGAGGAACATCTTGAATACGACAGAAAACACACCGCCTAGCTGGCCATCTAAGCCCTCTCAACAATATCAGTAACGTATAATTATCCAAACAGAGCCTTCGAGTTAAAAAAAAAAAATCCCAGGAAAAATCGACAACATCGAGTGGACCTCGAGGTGCTGATTATGTAATACGTGACAGCGCGATGACACATGCCGGATGCGGTTAGCGTCCTTCGTGCCACTTGCAACGTCTCTTCGGGCATTTTGATTGAAGTCGCTTTTTCGTTGTTGTCCCTGGAGAGAAATATGGACGACAATGAGCTGTCGAGGTGAGTTGTTGCCCGACTTGGTGGTACGAGTTATACTGCTGCGGCTTGCTGAAACATCCTAGGCTGGTGGGCAGTCTCTGCCTTATGGGGATCGATGGAACATCTATGACCACGGAGACTCGCAAACTCATAGAAACATACGCTGTAGGAGCGATCATTCTTACTTCAAAGAACCTAAAATGTAAGTGCACGTGTGAATTGGTTCACGTTCAGATGTGTGCTGATGTTCGAGGACGAACACAGCGGCAGAGCAAGCACAGCAGGTAAGCTCAACGAGCTTGGCTCAAGACTGCCCTGTGCTAACACTGGGGACAAGTTGATTGTTGATCTACAAACTACGGCATTTAATTCAGGCTACGCAAGACCTCTTCTCATCGCTGTCGATCAGGAAGGCGGTAGTATCAACTCACTCAATGCCGACGAAGTTACCCAGTTTCCGTCCGCAATGGGGCTTGCTGCAACCCAGCAGCAAGACCTAGTGGAAAAAGCGGCTCATGCAATAGCCCAGGAACTGAGGTGTCTTGGATTCAACTGGATTCTCGGACCAGTTTTGGACGTTCTCCCCACAACACGGGTACAACCCCTGGGAGTACGGACTTTTGGAGACGATCCATTTGCAGTTGCAACCTACGGCGCGCATATGATTAAAGGATTCAAGAGCGGTGGGATAGCAACAGGAGGCAAACATTTTCCCGGATATGGCGACACTAGCTTTCCGGATGACTCTCCAGAAAACGTCCCCTGTATACTTTATAGTAAAGCCCAACTCCATCAGAATCAGTTCGTTCCTTTCCGCGAAGCTATTCAGCATAATGTTGATTCCATTCTCGTTGGAGGCTGTGCCATGACGGGCCTTGGAGAAGAAACCGTTCCTCATGCCTGCTTGTCACACAAAGTCGTGACTGATATCCTCCGCCATGAGCTTGGCTTTGATGGCGTTATTGTGTCCGAGTGTTTGGCAATGGAGGCGTTATGCGAGAATATCGGTGTCTCTCAAGGAGCAATCATGGCTATTTTGGCCGGCTGTGACTTTATAATGGTGTGTCAAACATACCAGACACAGCTGGAGGCTTTATCAGGCCTCAAACTTGGTGTGCAAAGGGGACATATACCAATCCAAGTCGTCAACACCGCGGTTGAAAGAATCAATCTACTGAAAGATAGACTTACAAGCTGGGATCAAGCACTATACCCAGGTGGAATTCCCAAGCTTAATGAATTAAACCGGATCCATAGTAATATCTCGCTGCAAGCGTACAGACAATCTGTTTCCCTTATCCGAGACACCAATGCCCACAGCTCTATTCTCAAAAGTATGTCGGCCAACGACGACATCTTACTTCTCACGCCGCTTTTGGATTTGTTTCCATCGACGTTGACCAAACGACACCACGAATCTGATTGGACCACAAGGTCTAAACCGGGACATTTCGCGGTGGGAGAGGACATTTTTCAAAAATTCGGCTTGTCATTGGCGAACGCACGAAATGGCCCAATCACACATACTTCGTATTCCAGTAACGGCTTACGACCCAGCCACGAGGCACTAATATCACAGGCGGCAGCCGTGATCATAGTAACAGCAGATGTGACACGGAATTCCTATCAATACGGGGTGACTAAATATGTAAATATGATGTGCAAATCGCAGAAAGATTGCCAGGGGAACGCCAAACCCCTCATTGTGGTTGCTGTCAGCACTCCATACGACTTTCTGGAGGACCTGGATATCCAAACATATATCTGTTTATATGACTACACTAAACCGGCATTAAACGTCTTGGTCGACATCTTGACAGGCAAGTTTCTACCTACAGGTGTTCCTGAACTTGCTTCTATGCGACATAGAAAGACTGCGAAGAATATTCTTCAACCGAGAACTCAGTTCTTAGGTCAAATGTGGCTCGTTGAAAATTACGACCCTGAAAAAGATGGCCCTGCACTGCAAAGACTGCTCAAAGGGGTTCCCGGGATTCAGAATTACCATCACCCGTGGTCAACGAATTTTGAAGCTAGGATTGATGGGATAGAGAACAACCATTTCGTTGTTAAAAATAGTAGTAATGGCACAATTCACGGGTTCTGTGCAACCTACTATATCAAGTCCACTTCACGAGCATACATAGCGGCATGTATCGTCAACCCACATCGGCGTAGGATGGGCATAGGAGGCTCTATTTGCACGTATGCCATTGCTTGGCTTTCTGAAAACAAGAAACCTGCTCAAATTCAATGGTGCTACTCCTTCCCTGCGTTGTTTTCAACTCCCGAACTCGCTCAACGAGAGAGCACTCAACGTGCGGACATGTGGATGAATCACTGGTAAGAGAAATTCCCCTTCCCCAACACCCAAGTAGTAAAGTTATGATGTACTAAGTGCTTTGATATAGTGGCTGGAATAAAGTCCCCGTGCAGGATAGTATATTTAGCATGAGGGTGGATTTATCATCGTGGCCTTCCCCGCTAGACATCGGTCCAGCAGGTTTTACGTTTGAGATTGTGGGCAGTTCCACGCATAGCACAACAAGCGAGTTAAAAAATTTCCTAGCATTGGAAGACCTCGCGCTGAATACAATCATCCATGATCTCCACAGCCCGTCCTCCAATCTATATGTGCCTGTGGTTATAATCAAAAGCATTTATACGATGGCCATTTCAGATCAGCCACAGAGCAACGTCATAATTGCCCGTGAACAAAATACACTTTCCATTGTTGCTGCCATTGCTATCCATTTCAATGAGCAGAACTGTTGCTGGGCTGGTGCGCTTGCGATCTCTTCTCATCTAGATATATATTCTTCAGTGCGTTTGGTACAACTGCTGCTATCTTCTGCTGGATCCCTTGCTCGGCATAAGAACTGCAATTTTATGGTTGTAGAGGGGCTAAGTCACGAGCAAATGGATGCTTTATCTAGAATTGGGTTTCAGAAAGAGCAAGAGTGGGTTCAGCCAAGTTATTATAGACCCTAACTTCGACAGGCTAATTGAATGCATCTCAATTTTTCCTGACTTAGGAGAACAGCATCATTGCAATCTGTCACCTTTATACAACACTCTCGAAAGACCATATCCTGTGGGTATATTCCTGGGAGCAAGTAGTAGCTGAATGTAACAAGCCTGGCATACACTTAGCTGTCTCGGCATTCTTTGTAATTAGCCACGTCAAAGGTTACCATCATATTCGGGGTGCGAATTTATCTCGTAAAATCCAGTATTCAAAAGTAAGGTACGAAATTGTTGGTTGGCTCTTTACAACTTCAATATGCGGACGCACACTAATAAAATTTTCGCTGCCTAGTGTTGGCAAAACTACGCGAATAGACAGTACTACGCATCCTGAATGAAGCACCTTTGTAACTTACCTTTGCAACACATGAAGTGACTGACAGTTGTTTTGTTTGGATGGAACAGGCTGTGCGTTCTTGGACATCGTAGATAGGATAAAAGAGCGATTGAACTTGAGTTTCTACATATTACATTTTATGTCGGCCACGACTATGACCAGTCATCATATACCATGACTGTAATACCGAACTGTTGGAAACTGTACCCTTGTATGAAGAAGAAACGTTAATGTTTCAGTTAACTAGAACTTGGATGATTTATGCCGCGACTCAACACCATTTCATCTCACTCTGTGGGTTCATCGGATTCGGCTCTCCGAGGCAAATGATGGGAGTAAAAAAAAATCTAGTGTCTTAAATATGACAGAAAATACAGAAATGTGCGTGGACCAGATTGCTAAGGAATCTTACGTCTATGAAGATTTGGCATTGAGTGGTTCACCGAAGTAACGCTTATTAAAACTTAAGGGCTCTGTAGGTGTGGAAATCTTGTGATGCACGTAATGAGGTTGCTAGAGACAAACAAATCAGTTATGGATTTAGAAAATTGCGATGTGTAAACGTACATAGACAGCTTGCACGGCTGGGGTTCGGTCATCTGCGGCCAATGGTATATACCGATAGAATGGATTCTTCTGTGTGGCACGTTCGTGGTCCTCAAAGCTAGCACAGTCGGCGGAGGTAGAAGGGAAACTGCTGCTATAAGCCTGAGCTGTCTTATCAAAAAGTAATGTGGAAGATTTTGCTCCATCAACCATATTGGTAGATATATTCGGCGGCAGCGCTTCTGGTTCTGCATTGTCAGGAACGTATGAATGATGCTCCATGAACCCTACATCTGGATGTATTCCTGGGATCTGGTGTTCAGTATACATTGTGTCGCCTGACACTTGTACATGATCTGGCAAAACTAATGAGAGTTCCGGACTCGCAAAATGAGGGATTGTGGCCTCCGGTCTGGTAGGGAGCTCATTCCGTTCTGTTGGCCCCCGAGTAGTCGACGGGATTTCCGGGGAAGTCCGAAAATTCTTGGGCGATCTTCCTCGTACTACTATCGGAGGTGTGCTTGCTTCGCAAAGAGTAACAACCGTTCCACTTTCCGTCAAGGCTTTTACCTTGATACTGATATGGAAGAAATTTTGTTTCCTGCGGTGTTTCATTCCACCAGCTTTGCTCGTTGCGGTGCGGAACTGAAGCCTCGGCCAATCAAGCCTAAATGTGTGAAGGTTCGACGGCCTCGCAGCGTGTCGGAAATCCAGCTGTTTTGGCAGTGGGCTCTGTAACTCCAAATTCGTAGCTGCTCGCGGTGTGCGAGGCAGCGCGACGATTTTGACTTGTTCTCTGTTCGGGCTGGAAAAGGCTACCAACTCCGCATACATTTTATTTATCTGGGATTGGCCGGCACCAGCTGATATGAGGTCGACGTCACCAGGGACTAAAATGCTCCCATCAACGTGAAAAAGATTTCTGCGATAGCAAACCAAGTTCTGGGTTTCACCGTGTGCGTTCCGTGAAACGGAGAAATTTCCTGACAAATGCGCCGCGATGGTGAGATTTCTCGGTTGACCCAAGCTATTGTAAGTATCCAGTGTCCTATGATCATCTCTACGGAAGGCAAGCAAGGGGCTGCTTTGGTCAATTGCCTGGGAGTCGTGATTTGGTGCATCAGGAAGCGCCTGCTGTGGTCCCGTATCAGTGTTATGACTGCCAGGCGTCGATCTTAAAGGCGGCGGGGTGACTTCGTCAATGCCAGTGAGCCTGCATGCATGGTTAGGCCAGAGGGCGCAAGGATTAGCGGTATATAACTGACGAAAAAGCCTGGAAATCTTCACTTTGTTCGATCGCTGCTGTCGCATTGTAAAGCAGTGGTCCGTTCCCATTGCCGGACAAGGGCCATGGCGATGGCTGGTCCGCCAACTCCCGTGAGAAATCCATAATAGCTCGCGCTCCTCCGGCAGCATTCGCGAGTTGTATGTGTCAAGGCACGTGAAAGGTAGTCATGCAAGGCGGAAGCATGAAGCAGCATGCGGCAGACGAGGGACAAGCGCGAAACACTGCAAGCGAAAGATTAGTGGAATTGCGCAGTGGGGTAAGACATAGACAGAGCCAGGACGAACCCATCATATCACATCAAAACACTTCTGCCGCTGGAGAAGAACAGGCGATCTACCTGCATCGCTGCGTTTGTGCAAAAGGGAATAGAGAGAGAGAGAGAGAGCGCGGAAGCCGTCGAGGGAAGGAAGCATGCTGCGCGGAAAATAGTATTTGCGGACCGGCTCTCATTGTTTCCGTCAGCAACACTTTCGATATGATTTACAAAGTTCCCTGACGAAGTCTAGCTATGGAGTTCAATACGAATTTTCATTCAGAGGATATCACGGAGTACGCTAGAGAAATACAAAAACGAGACCCTGGCGTTCCTTACCATCCACCTGCGCATTGCAACATGTCAGATAGTGTTTAGGGGGGCAGAGACTATTCAACGGTGTGAAACAACTGATCGAACGGCTCCGGATCTGGAAGAAACCCATCGAAAAACTGCATATCGAGGTCCTCCCAATCGTCGTATTCAGTGTCCAATGAAGAAGCCATTTGAATTAGTGTGTGTGCGCCTTTTGTGCAATCAGAGATAGGGTCCGGCGGACTACTCGAATTCGTCTCGAGTTTATCTGCCATGTTACCAGGGAACTGCTGATTGCTATTGTTTGGTTGGATCTCATGATTTATATGCAAGGATGCCTGCTCCAAAATCAAGATCTGGTCCATGTAATGCTGGACAGTTCGCCTGACTTCTCCCGCTACCCGACGACGGTATTTGGTGACTGCCTCTGAAAAGCTGGTTAAAATATCATGATAAAGTTCGGCCTGGGGACTGGTTGTTGCTATACTAGCGAGCACGCTGCGAGCGTTTTCAAAACATATTTCAATGTCCTTTCGGGGCTCACCGGCGAACATGGAAAATCCGAGGACAAGACCGGCACCAAATACCCAGGCTCTGTTGGCGTATTAGCTTAAATTCTGTGAAGTCGTTGCAGAGAAAGAGACAGAAATGGGCATACTTGAGTAAGCCGAGATTCCCAAGAGTCAAGGTCAAGTTCTGCACTTTTTGACACATATCAACCATATACACAGCCGAGCTAACACAGACCTGGCCCAACTTGGAAACCTTGTTGTTTTTGATAGTAACATCAGAGGCTTCGTCGGGATCTGTAATGAGATGGTCAGGTGCTTTGCCACGGAGCCGCGACATCAGGTACGCGATCAAATATGGCCTGGTAATCAGTATGACGGCAAAATAGTATATGCATGAAATATGCATATTTCCTATCAATAACTGCCAATCCGAAGGACTCAAGTCGGAACCATGCCCACCATCCTTGCATGATTGAGGAGAAGAGACACCGGGCGTAAACCGACGTATAGATGGAGGCAATTCCTGACTCCATTGGCGGAGCCTCTTGAGGAAATTCTCCGCGGTGGGAACATGCAGGATGTTGTCTTTATTGAGGGTGTCCATTATATCTTCAAACAGGCTACATAACTTGACAGTTTCACGAAACGCAGACTGCGGGCTGTAGAGGCTTTTGCCCAGCGGTATTTCTGGCTGAACGGAATTTCGCGGGACGGTGGGCAGACTTCTGGGTCTCCCTAGAATGAAACTACTGAGTATGTCGAAGTTTCGAGTGCTATTCCATATCCGTAGTCTGTTGCTTCAATTAGCGAAACGAGTTGATCGAATATTTTGGATACGGAGAAAAACCTCAGCCAGTATTCGTCTTCCACGAGACCACCGTAGCTTTCTAGATTGTGTAGATCCAAGATCACTGCAGCTTTCGCAGCCACTCCCAGAAACATGGATGCGGCATTTCGGTGGCATGCGCCGAGCATAAAGAAGGAAAGGAGGAGAAAAAGTCTGACACTTCTGACGCTCTGGCCCATCAACATGTCCTCAAAGGCAATTTGGCGTGCACGGCAAAAGTAGCCCATGGCGAGATCAGAATCCTCTCCTCTCCGCTGAGCGCCAATCGCCAGCGCAAGATCCAAGGCGGCGGAATCTTCGCGTCTAGAGCTGGACTCCAAAGTAAACATCGACATTAGCGACTTGTCTGCAACCAGCGAGTCTATCTCCTCTGCCGTGAAGAGGTCTAGAATACCGCTAGTCTATTATCATTCCATGGCGTGTTAGTACGCACAAACCACGAAGTGTGATCCTTCGGAAAACCGACTGACCGCTTCAAAATATGATTCCAGCAGATCATAGATTTTCTCCGCGGTTAACTCTGGTGGTGTACGATCTGCTGGCTGTGCGATCTCCGTTTCGAGAACAACGTGGCGACGCTCCGAGTCGGTAAACGAGACCGATCCCACGTACGACTTGACCGTTTTCCTCAAGAAATGTAGAAACGACAATGACGACGTTTCACCCACATACACTTTGCGCGAGGAACGATGCCGAGAGCTTGGTGAGGGCAGATTTGCGCCCTGTTCACGCGGCGTCGGATGCTCATCTGAGAAGCCGGGACTTTGGGCTTGACTGTCCGCACGAGAGAATGTTCTCCGTCGCCGTCCATCAACGCCGGAGTAGACACAGGCATCGGGATGCTTCCGTCGCACACAGGAGGCACAGGGACGTTGAGCGTCGCAGCGGATCTTGGAGGCCTTGCAAGCCAGACAAGCCCGAGGAGCTCGCAACCGGTCTTCGGGCCGCACCTTGGGGCGAGGCATTGTGCTAGGATGTTTAATGATGGGCAGTGACTTATTGATGCTAGGGATTGATTATTGTTGTTGGAACAGCAATCAGCTGGTAGTAGTGTATTGGCCTATACAGATGAAGAGTGACTCCGAGGAGCGATAGCCCATAGCCGACGTCTCTCTCTTTATCTTTGCTGGCTTATCTTTGCACGGAACTTAAGCTAAGCGTCAACCACTCGCAGGCCATGCTCAAACATTCTATTCGACGGTGGGCCATTCCTGTCCCTCATTTTCTGCGCCGTCTCTCGCCCGGCGCCCGGCACTCGATACTCAGCCCTCTTCCCCTCCGGCACACGCGATCCGTCCGGCATAGGGTACGGCCATGGAAGATACTCGGGCATCAGGCCGAGTTGAATCAACGCCGTCGTCTGGTCCCACGCAATATGCTCATGGTAAAGCCGGTCGCCGCGGATGTTGACGACTGCGGTAAATGGGAGTTCGGCTTTGCGGCCAGTCGGTGGGATGCCCGGCAGTCTGCGCGACGTTGTTAGCTAGCCCTCACCCAACACCAGAACATGCACGCTTACAGCCAGTCGATCTGCATATCGTGCGTGAATTTGTATATGAATTCATCAATGACTCGGTCAATCCCTATGGTCCGGCTGATCAGCTCGATTTCGGTGTCCTTGGGATTTTGAAAGACGAAGTGGTTGGCGTAAAAGTAGGAGAGACGCTCTCTGCCGATGCCCCCAGTCAACTGCCCAAATATTAGTGACAACAAACTCATATCGCTGAGGCATACTTGTCATACCGTGGGGATATGGTTCACATAAGGCTCCTGAACCATCGTGCTCATTGTGTCGGCCACGGATCGCGTGTCAAATTCATAATACGTGTGCTCATCCCAAATAGCCTCGAGATCAAAATATGGCCCATTCATCAGAGGTTTGAGGAAAGCCAAGTTTCGGCTGTGTGATATGGCCTCGCTAGAGTAGTTGAATGTCTTTTGGAATGGTGTCGCAAAGAGATATGCCTCTGTTTCGGGATAGTGGTACAGCTTTATAGCCCCCGACGACGATGTAGGTTTTGTCGCTGCTGCACCAGCCAAGTGCTGCAACATGGGAATAGAAGATTCTGTAATCGGCGTAGCTGCATTTGCATATGCGACGACACCAACGATTTCAGGGTGCTTAGCCACGAATGGCTCGCATTTAGACCACGATTCTGGGTCATACGCTGTTGTATACGAGTTTTTCTCATCAGAAAACGGCCAATTACTAATAAATATGTTTATTGTAAGGGAAGGCTGCTCACCTACTATCCCAACCTTCTCCTTCGGTGCACAGCTCTCACAACTGGCCAGAGCCGTAAGTGCGGTTGATAAGGCGTTCTCCGGCTCTGCATTTGCACCAATCTCCACCACGGCGTATCCTTCTTCGGCCCATTTCATAAGTGGTGAAGGGACACCGTCGTCCAACTGCACCCCAGCACCACTTTCGTCGGAGGAGAGAACAATCAAACCAGGTCCATGGCCTCGTCGTGAGAGTGGGTGCACCAGGCGAACACTGGGTGTCAGATCAACGAGGGTGGGAGTTGGTAGTGCAGTCATGTTGATTAATGGTTCGATAGTGATGCTTAGTTTCTAGGCTTATACTCGTGGGAGATGGGCGGACGAGTTGCATTTAAATAGTGACTAACTCTCTGTGATTTTGGTCGCAAAGATCAGGAGATGCCTTAACAGTCTAGCCCATACCCGATCCCGAAAAGATATCGGATATACGGGTGGCTTCGTCCAAAATACGCTTTAAAACAGCCCATAAAAATACCTCCACTTGGATGCTACATCATCTAGAGCAAAGAATCATAGGTTGGCTGAAACTACAGTAGATTACTTATTTGAGAAGAGGTTGTGAAAATATATCCGAGAAATTCAATGAAACTCTATTCTATGCTTGATACCACAACTTTTATCTACCTAATCGGAATCCATGGATCACTTACAAAAGCGAAATTACAACGATGACTTAAAGGTGCGCTCGGGGTACCGCTGAAGCATATCTGACAAACGAGGTATCAACCTATCATTTCCGAGACACTCATTAGCAAGACCCAAGATGTCGAAAAGTTTACGAAACCAAAGAAAGGGAAACAAGCCTTACGTGCGGCGGGCTCAACTGATCAATGCTCGTCACTCCAAGCAGTGCCATGGCCGTTTCAACCTCATGTTTAAGAATCCTGATCGCCTTGCTGACGCCTTTCTCGCCAAAAACCAGCGAATACAGGAATCCACGACCCAGTCCGACTCCCTTGGCGCCGAGGGCAAGAGCCTTCACGATGTCTGTACCACGGGTGATTCCACCATCGACAATGACCTCACATTTTTCAAAAACGAGAGGACAGTTCTTGCGGATAGCAATCAAGGTTTCCACAGACGAAGGGGCGCCGTCAAGCTGTCTGCCGGCATGGTTTGATAGCCAGGGATGTACGCCGTAGTGCATGCATAGCGCAGCATCTTCCCATGTTTGAATGCCTTTGATAGCTATAGGGAGATCCGTGATGCCGCGAAGCCATCTAATTGCCGAAACCCAATCGAAATCGGTCCACACATTGCTGTAAACTGTTAAGAAACGGATTTTCTAGGGTCCAACAGTATATAGATTGTCAAATCACTTACGAACGGCTGACTGTTGGGTTGTTGGCAAAGCCGTCATCATCATCCTCGTCGTCGTCGTGGCCGTCGTCGACCTGAAGACAGAGACGTCAGCCCCAATATACAAGAAGAAGAAACCACAATATGATTACGTACCTCATCTGGAAGACTTGTCCGCACATCTCGCTCGCGTTTGCCAGCACGAATTGCATCGGCCGTCAACGCAAGCCCTTTGTATCCCAACTTAATAGCGTTTCTTATCTCTTTTTCCGTCACTGCCAGATCACTCAATGCATATATCTGCCAAAACAGCTTTTGCTCTTTGGCTTCGGCATTTCGGGCATCGGAGATTTCGCTTTGGGTGTATCCAGCCATGTTGCAGACCCAGTGCAAAATATCATGCTTCGCTGCAGCTCTCGTCAGAGATAGTTCCCCGGTGGGATGGGCTAGTTTGGCGCCTCCAGCTGGACAGATGAAGAATGGACATGAAAATTCGGTGCCGAGGATTGTAGTTTTTAGGGATACCTGTCGGATGGGTGCGAGAACTCGAGGTCGGAAGCGAACTGCTTGCCAGCTAGTTCGATTCCATTGAGCCGACAATTCATCATCGGCGCCAGCCTTGAAGACTATACACATTTGTGAATTCGTCAGACGTGGCTCAAGGTATATGATGGGGGTTTATATCTGGCAGAATTGGGCAGCTCACACGCGAACGATTTTGCAGGCAGAATTTGAGAGGCGGCCAATTCAAAATCCCGAATATTGATGATGGACTTGATGCTCACTCGCTTGGTCTTTGGTATCGATGTAGTTGTTGCTGCAGCGCTTCCATTTGTCTCTTTCTCTTCGGCCTGACTCTCGTTTGAAACTGTCACTGGGCCAAGATTAAACCTATCCAAGAGCACATTCAGCATACATCCGACAGCAAGATGACACAACTTTTGCATACTTTGGCGGAAGGTGCTTTTCGATAGTGTCATTTGAATGTAACGATTCAAAGACTGCAGTCGCGTCTCGTCCAGCGTACTTGAGTATGATACCAGAGCCCCCCGGATGGGCATCCAAGAACGAGGTTAAGTCGTAGACAACGCCTTTTATGATAACCCAACAGTTCGTTTTAGATGAGTGTTTGCTCACTTCCGCTCTGTAAAAATGGATATACGTAAATATCCACCGTGTTGCATCAGCAGGGAGACTTACTTTGTCACCATTTTGAGTCTTGAATTGCTCGAATAGAATAATGTATAGATCAAATCAAGGGTATTGTGACATGGGCTTCATGGCTTTTAGGACCTTTATTGGACAAACCAACCTTTTGTCGACAAGTTGTTGAGCACGGAAATGGGCTATCTGGGCCTCGCCCATTTCCGAACTCGGCTATTGCCCTAAGCTCTCATAGCTGCGACACTTTTATTTTTTCCTCTGATACTCTCAATAATCAAAACAAGCCTCATGAATGCAAAAGTATCTGTTGACAACTTTACATCGACAACAACAAGGCACAATTGAACGATCGCAATGGAAGGCGTCTTTGAAAAAATTGCTCAGGAAACCACCTCATTTAACCTGGGCGACGAGGACGTAGGTTTCCTCGAGCACTTCAATTACTACTCCTTGAACTTACGCAAACCCATTATTTAATCCAGATATGGCGTTGTCTTTACGAAGGACACTATGCAGAGCCACCGGAGACTGTCTCAGTGGTGAAGGATGTTCGCTACGGCCCTGCAGAGCGGAACCGTCTCGATGTGTTTTTCCCTACGAACGACAACACTAAATGGACGAAAAAATCCAAGCCAGTCTTGATCTTTGTGCACGGTGGAGGATTCTTCTCCGGTGATAAGGGGTGGAGTGAAAAGGTGAATCTAGCAATCCATGACCGAAAACACAAAAAGGAAAAAAAAAGAAAACCAATGGCTAAAGGTTCAGCAGTGCTGGGCGAATGTCGGGTATTTCTTCGCACAACACGGAATCGTAGTAGTCACTGCAAACCACCAACTCGTGCCTCACGTTCAATATCCCGGCGGAGCAGATGATATGCAAAAGGTCCGAGAATGGATATATCATAACATTGCCTCTGAAAAGTACGGAGCAGGGTCTGTTGATAAGGTTGTTTTGCTGGGCCATTCTTCGGGGGGAGCACATATCGCCATGAATCTATATGCTGCTGGTGAGAAGGCCTGGAGAGTATATCGATTAGGTCTTTTTCTAACGGTTTACTGTAGGAGATCCGAGCCGAGTGCCAAAGCAAGAACTCTTTCCACCGGTTGCTGGTGTAATCTATCTCAGTGTGCCTTTTTGGTATGATCGCAGAAAGCCAATCCGACAGAGAGTTATTCGCCAGTATTATGGCTCGGACGCTGAGGACGTTTGGGGCGTAAGTTATCCTCACTTGATATCTCTCTCTTCCCAAGCTCTAACCATTTGAGCAGCCCATATCAGCACTGGGTTTATTTGAAAATCTACCTGATGATTCCATTTTGTTGTAAGTGCTCGATTTCTGAGAACACTTGAAGAAACATATGTAATGCAATATTCTAATAGCTTTCACAGGGACTCGGACAAAGTACCGGTTTACCTTGGCTCCGTCAAATGGGAGGTGTATGTTCAAAAGAATGTGACAATCGCACAGGACCTGCGACCTGGAGTGCTGATATCATACAGACAGGAAACCGCAGATGCAACGACAGCTTTTTTCAACGCATACCGCAAGCGAAGTAAGCCCGCCGGCACGTTGCCTCTGTTAGACATCCTGGATAAGCACAATCATCTAAGGTAAGTTGCATGCAGTCTTTTCTGAGCCGAACCAAGCTAAACAGTATGGAATATACTAGTAATGTGCTGTCAATTGGAACAGAAGATACAGCTCAGGCTAAAAGGCTTCTGGAATTTATTTGGTCTTGCGTAGAGAGGGCAGAGAAAAGTCGGAATAGTAAGTCTTCTCTTTATGCTCCTGTTGGGAAAAGGAGCGAGGGCTAATGGCTAACCTGACAGCAGCGAGGACACACGCTTTGCTATGAAAATAAACGGTGAACAAACAGCGAATAAAGTTACAAAATAATAAAAATAAAGCACTTTTAATAATCACGAATACGAAAGTAACCTTCTTTAAGTACTTTAAACGTGAATGAGTACAGCCGAGACACTTAGATGTAACCAGTAGCTATGTTCTAGGAAGCTCTCACCGTCTCTATTTAGGTTACACGCATGCGAATAAATATTAAAAAGAAAAAGAGAGAGAAAAGAGAAACGCATAAATTCATAATTTTGTTCAACGCATACTACTCAAGTTAGATTTTTGTCTATCTACTTTGCAATTAACATGCCCCCAGGCCAATGATTTGGATGTGTCATTGAGTATGGTCCATGCCATCAATCAAGCAGTAGCAGCCTGTTGTCTTGCAAAGTTCCTCTGGACAGCTTGGTTGAAGTATTCTTCCACCGTCACGGGAGGACTGTATCAAAGTTAGCTGAAACGAATTAAAGGTCCAGGATACGTTCCTTTCGCAACTTACTATTTCTTCAATGGGCCCTGAAGAACAAAGTCCCGTCTTCCTTGATTGAAGTACGCTATAGAGTACCGTGAAGGCGACTTGCCCACGTCTTTGGCGCGCACACGATGGAAGTTGGATTTCAGACGATCGTCAGACCAAGCCACTGCTTAAAGTTAGTTGTCAAATTAAAATACACAGGTGCGGTAGGCAGAAATTTACTCAGCATGTCTCCGATGTTAACCACTATCGGACCGGTATGAGCAGGCAGGGGGGTAAATACGTCTCCCATGGCAAAGCTTGAATGGGACTCTCGTCCAGGGCAAATTTCCAGGCCGTCTTCGCCCTCTCGCTGGAACAATAGCGTCAGAATGCCAATATCGGTATGGCTTCCTGCTCGCCATGTTCCCACTGCATTTTCGGAGGCTGGGTAATGAATGAGACGGAGCTGAGTGAGGCAATCAGGCTTGTTAGGGTCATTGGCTACACGGAAGTGATCGTCAGGCAAGTTGAGAGCAATGGCAAGGCAGGATACTAAGTCGGAACAATCAGCGGGTGAGGAACCGCATAACGGATAGGCGTGAAGTAGATACATACAAACTTGGTTTGAAACTTTGGCGCACTTATCTAGGAACTCAGTGGTGGTATCTTTAAAGTGAGGCACGTCCTCATCACTTGGCCATTGCGAGCCTCGTTGCAACCAGAGAGATTCCTTTTGGTCGTATGTTCCCGTACTCGGACGCAGTTGAGCCTAAGCGCAAATTCGGAGTTAATAACACATCTGGCAATATGTACGTTGATTCTATAGGGTTGGCGTTGCCCACCTTGTATTCCCAGCCATTGTTAGACTTAGTGTCATGAGGAGTCTTGCTTTTGACTTTGGCGGGCAGGTCGAAGAATGCCTTGGAGAGAGCAAATTGCTTCTCGATTTCGTCGACCGTGATACCATGGTCGACTAAGGTCAGAAAGCCCGCTGTTTCCGCAGCATCAAGGAGTTGTTTTGTTATCTCCCCCTTGCGGTTCTCAAAGTCTATCGGTCGAACTTTAGCTTTATCCTTCATGAGTACAAACAAGATAAGGCTTTATTTTACCTTTGAGAGAGATACTGGGAACCAGCCTGTCAGCCATTATGATGCAGCTTTACTCGATAGATACTGTCGCTCAGGGATAGTTTAGGTCGTTCGGTCATGACTGAACATGCCAAGTTTATACGGCACATTATTCTTATACAGCAAGAACTAGGGTTTGGACCTCGAGGTACATAGCCGGTGACCCATTTCCGGCCACGCAGTCGCTTATCTACAGTTCACTGCCTATCTTTATATAGGCAGATAACCAAGATAAGCCCCGTGGTCTTCAAGGGCTTTGTAAGATCAATGTAGAGATGCTGTACGTATTTGGAAATATATATGAAGGCCGATTGAAGCACGAACATGAGTGGCCTCTCTTACTTTCTGTTGTTTTAGCTCCAAGGATTGCAAGATGTCAGACTCAGATAAGAAGACTGTGACAATGGCAGATGAGCCAGACGTCGAAGTGGGCGAGGTACGGTAGATTCGTCTTCTCGAAATTACTCTCTGTACATCTACTAACGAATGCACGGCCGGAAAAAAAAAAAGGGAGAAACCAAGGCAGCGACAGCTTTGGAAGAGGCAGGCGTCAATTTTCGCGAAGCTGGCAAGTCTAAGGCTTTGCATTTGCTTGCAAATCGCCCCCTCGACTTTGATCCGAATTCGCCAGAAGCTAAGAGGGTGCTTCGGAAGATCGATATGAGGATTATGCCTATGGTGCTTGGCGTCTATCTACTTCAGTTGATGGTTAGAATTCTCCTAAAGCCTCTCTCAGGCGGAATGAGCCTTAAATTTGGAACAGGACAAAAATAGTCTGTCATTTGCTGCGATCATGGGAATCAAGACGGACGCCCATCTGAATTCCAGTCAATACTCCTGGCTCGGATCTCTGGTATAGTGAGTTCTGCGTCTTCCATAACATAGGCAAGGAACGAACAATAACACTTGATGCGCAGTTTTGGCTACTTGGGCGGCGAGATACCGGCAACAATCTTGATGCAACGATTCCCACTTGCCAAATACCTCGGTATCATGAGCATGATTTGGGGTATAATAGTTGCTATGCACGCCGTGTGTACCAACTTTGGGGGTCTTGCTACCGTTCGACTCTTGCTAGGAATGGTCGAAGTCTGCACGACTCCTTCAGTCATCTACATTACCAGCTCCTGGTACACCCGCTCCGAGCAAGTGACCAGGGTAGCAATTTGGTACACGACATCAGGATGGGCCTCAGTATTTGGTGGGTTTTTCGCGTGGGCCATCTACCAAGCCAACAGTTTTCGCTGGCAGGGTCTTTTTGTGCTTTATGGATCATTGACTTTTGTCGTTGGCCTACTGATTTACTTCTTCCTTGCTGCTTCCCCAACTGACGCCAAATGGCTCACCGACGAGGAAAAGGCGATTGCTCTGGAACGAATTAGAGAGAACAAAACGGGCTCTGAAGTCTGGGCTTTCAATAGCTCTCAACTGAAGGAGACCTTACGTGATATTCGGTTTTATTTAATCATACTACTCATGATTTCTACCGGTCTACCCAATGGCGGGCTGACGGCTTTTGGTAAATCTGAACCTTCCATCCAAAAAAAGACATCTTGAAAGGCTTGTTTTCTAAATAATTAACCCATGGATAATACAGGCCCAACCATCATTGATAGTTTTGGATACGACGTCAACCAGACCACGCTCTTGAGTATGGCACCCGGAGCAGCAGCAGCTGTTGGTACGGTGGTAGCCTTGTTCGTGGCAAAAGCAACAAATCGTACTATAAGTGGTATATATACAGTTCTTCTGGGATGTGTTGGTATCATTATGATGTTTACAATTTCTGCTGAACATAATGCCGCTCGATATGGTGGCTATATCCTTACTCTACAGTGTACGTTCCATGATGATATATGCGAAGAACCATTTCTGATTTGATTTGACAGTCCCAAACTGTGTTTTGTCAATTGTTGCATTCATGACCGCTGGTGTAGGCGGTACAACCAAGAAGTTCCTCTTCAGCGCAGCCTATCAGCTTGGTTATGCGGTGGGCAATATTGTCGGTCCTCAGACGTTCCGAGCTCAAGATGCTCCCAACTATTATGTGAGTTAAATCAGCCGCGGTCTATGGTTCTTCTGTTTTTGACTTCTTGTGTCTCCACAGCCCGCCAAATACACCATGCTTGCCTTTTTGATCTTGACCAGCATCCTAATTGCTACGTTTGGCCTTATCCATTGGTCGTGGAATCGCAAGCGGGATAGACAGGACGAATTGGATGCCCAGAGTGAGCTATGACCCCTTCACAGTATCAATTTAATCTATGGCTAACCCTGTACCTACCAGACGGTATTGTGCATGTACATCTTGAAAACGAAGAATTCACTGATCAAACGGATTTCCACTTGAGGTCCTTCCGATATCCGCTATGATTCTTCCTTCGGTACACTCATGTGAAAGTCAACTCATCGAGAAGTAATATGTCAATATTTTGTGTTGTTTCCTGTGTTGGTAGATAGCTATTAGTAATTAAGCCACTTTAATATCGCTGATTCAATTTCCGTGGCTTAGAAAAGGACTGAATAGTAATAGAGGATACACAGCATCACATGAGATCAAAACATTTGTTCAGCAAGCACTTTTCTAGCTGTATTTTCCTACCCTCCCACAGAGCTTATGGAAGGCTCAGGAAAATACTGTGTCAAATAGCGTCTATACATAGTCTGTAATAGCTGGCGCATCTTTAATATTTGCAAGCATTGGTAAGTATGTGTTTCATGATAAGTAAGAAACCAGCTCTATTCCATCACCGGCGCTGGCCATTTCTCAGGATGTTTCTTGAGCTTATGGCTAATCTCTGGAAAAATCTACTTTCACACGTCTATCCTGGAAACCGTATACCCGACAACTCGCCTCTGCTTGTTCGAATATCACCGTCTAGAAACTACCCGGACGAACGACTACAACGCCTTCTCAATGAGTCTGGAGGTAGTCGTCTAGAATGGGAGGAAAATCATTTGTTCTCTGATATATATGCTCCAGTTGATTCTATTACAAGGCCATGACCAGAGAAAGACGCTGGTGGAAAACATAGTCCATGCCTAATGTCCCAATGATAGTCTCCACGTGACTGAGAAAAGCGCGTTATTCTTCGTCGTTAGATAATTATAGGGCAGCGTTTCCTCAATGAATGTGATTTAACCCCAATGGATCTTTAAGAATGTTGTCCGCACTTAGGCAAACACCCCGCATCAGAAGATGAGATAGTCATGAGAACTGGGAGCGAGTGAGTGAGTTTATGACTGAATGTGTCCAGCATTCTAGTCACGACGTGTCTAATCTCTCGGCTTCTGTCCATAAACAACCCTCATCTCATGGTACCCATGGATGTCGTCTCGCTTCAAGTCCTGCTTGACCAACGCGATTTCCAGTAGAACTCGCTCTCTGCTCCAACCCATGAACCTCGTTAGAACAGCCATCGACCAGTTTTCCAGACCTTGCTCAATGTGAAACCGCACCCATGCGCCAAGTACTTTGTCGGCTCGGCTCCGTTTCCATGTCCCAATGGGCCATTTGTACCTTTTCTCGTGGATGTTCGTGAATCCGGCATCAGAAATCATGTCTGCCATCTCGTACATAGTCTCGAAAGACCTCCCCATCTTGCGCCCGACCTCGACGCCAATATCATGCCAGGTGCCGTAGGGCGAGTTGGGGTCGAGTGAGCCGTCATCAGACTTGAAGCCAGGAGCAAACTCGATCTGTTCAAAGTACCCACCGGGTTTAAGGTGTCTGAGTCCACAATCAGACGATATAGCCACGTACGGACATGTGCGAGCAGGGAGTCGGCACAAGGATAAAGAAGTGAAAAAAACGTACCTCAATGCCTGTTGGTAGAACCTGGGCCAATCAGCTATGCATCCGAACATGCAGCGGACGTGGACGTAATCGAAGCTGTCTCTTTGCCACATCCATTCATCCTCTGCATCGTCAATCTCAAATTTGAGATTGGGTTGAACCCACGTAGGCTGGATGGGCGACAGGTCGGTGCCAATAATCTGCGCCGAGGGGTATTGATCTGCAAAATCCATTGCCCAGATGCCCGTTCCAGTGCCTATATCCAATACTCGCTGGGGGTTTTTGCCAATAGGTGCCAGGTGCAGCTTATTGTCAAAACTGAGAAGAAAAAGGTGATGTGCGATGTCTAGATGCTCGGCTGCCTGTTCGTCATTGGGGCCCCTGTAGTTCGATGCGCGTAGGCAATTAATAAACCCAGGTCGGTCTAAGTATTATCTAATATAGGAGAATATTACAGAGATATACAGATACATATACTCTGTATATGCGTAATGAAATGAAAATCAGACGAAAGAGACGAGAAGAGACATGGGGCACTCACCAATACACCCCGTCTTTGTAGGCGTGATACCTTCGGCCATTCTCCCAGCGATATCTTGTGATACTGGATGTAATCGAGGCCGTGGACGCAGTCCGACTGCTTGAAGTTAACAACAAAGACGATTTGAGGTGAATAATGACGGGCGTACTCACGTACTGTCAGTGTCATCCAAACCAAAAGGGTCGTCTTCTTCTGGTTGTTCATCTTGTTCTTCTTCATCTGCCTTCGAGGGGAAAGGAAAAGATAACAAACGTGAGCAGAGCAGCGTGAGATGCTTATTTCGAACGGATGGATACACATACAAATTCTGTATCCGGCTGCGTCGGAGCTGGATTTGGGATTGAGTCTGGATGAGGAGTATCGAGACGAGTATCTGAGTCTATGCCGGTTCTATTGCTGCTGGTTTGATCATAGCCTGCATCATGCGATGTGTTGGTGATGTGATCTCGTTTTTTTGACGAATCCGCCTCGTTGGCGACGGCACTCTCGCGGTTCGTGGAAGTATGCTCTCCGAGGAGGTGCTCTGTCGTTCGCTGGGGTGATGGCATAATGCTTTTTATGTTTTATACATATCTTAATGCGTGTTCTGTGCTGCACTGAGTCCAATAATATATTGGGTTGCCAGCGTCGACTACCGGGGGGAGCGAAATTGGCTTATGATTAGGATTTCTTCAGCAATTTGGGTGATTCCTCAGCCGGGCCGACCCGACCCTCGCGCCAGCCACGTCACTCGCTAGTTGGTAAGCGCTAAAGCCTAAACAAACCCTAAACGAGGCCTAGCGAAAGGCTACGCGTCTCGTTTCTCTGTGTTTGGCTGTCTCGCACAGCCGTTGGAGTTTGGGTATATTATGTGGCGGGCTCTGGAGTCTGTGGGTGGTGGGTCAAATCCATTCACTACTTATTCACTACGTCAAGAGTTCTGATGTGATTGATCAAGCTCTATGGAGACAGGCCATATTCATTACTCCGGGTTCAGAACAAATTTGATCCCCTGCACCGCATTCAGTATAAAGGTGAGCGAGGCTTTCACCGATGGGAAAACGAAAAAATAATGTGGAAAGCGGGCATAATGCTCGCGTTTCACCTTCACACCGGCATCCTGAAGCAAGTGCTCGAGGACAACGCCGTCGTCGCGGAGGATATCCTTCTCGCAGGTAGCAATATAGACCGGTGGGAATGACGACAGATTGGACGACAGGGTCACGAAGACGAGCGAATCGTCTGGCTGGACGCCAGAATTGCCTGAATATTGCATTTCAGTATGTGATTAGCAGAACGTACTCGCAATAGGCAGCTTACCGAATGAGACGTCCATGCAATGACGGTCAATCAGGGGGACATTCGATGCATTCTCCGAGTAAGATTTATAGATATCTTTGTACTTTGCCGGTGGGTTGTCCATATGTGAAGTGATGGGGTTTAGAGCAACTACGCCTTGTATGAGACTGCGCTTCCCGTTTCGAATCAGTTTCTCTGTGACCGAGAGGGCAATCCCGCCTCCAGCGGACCCTCCGATAGCGAAGTATGCGAATGGGTTGCCATTTAGCTTAGAGGCGTTTTCGTATGCCTGTGATTGCATTCCATATGAGTACAGATATTGAAAAGCGACAAGGCGTGGCCGAGGGAAACAAACCCACAGAAATGCGTCATAACCATCGTCGATTCCCGTGGGGAGTTTGTACTTGGGAGCTAGCCGATAGTCAACGCTGACAATGATGCAGGGTGTCTGCTCTGAGATGATGCGGCAGATGGGATCCTCGAGGGCCGGAGAGCCGGCCATATACCCTCCGCCATGGTAGTATACGCCCACGGGCAGTGCTTTCTTTTGGCAAGCAGGCGCGTATATCCGAATCGTTACATGCTCGTTGATCTCTTCGTCATCTGGGTCACGACAAGATATTAACAAACACAACCATCACCAGAAATCCAAGGCGGGAGAGATGTAGAGAGAGAGAGAGACAAGCTTGCACCGCGTCAGAAGGGGGGCCCCATTGTTCTACCAACGCAGCACCCAACGTATTATATTGTTCAGCCATATAGCCAACATCCCCGGTCAAGACAGGTCTTTGACCCAGGGCAGCCTCGAGCTGTTGCGTATATCAGAAACTGAAGCAGCTTGGTACAAGCAGGGGTGTTTGACCTCCAACCATTCCGGATCGTATCCTTCACTCATTCTTCTGATCGGGCCGTTCAGTGGATAAGCGGCTGGGTGTCTCTAGGAATAGCAGGCCGTTGAAGTTGAGACAGAAAGTTGCACGGGAAAAGAGAAGGAAGATATAGTTGGCCCCGCGGTGCGTTCGACGTTCATGGCGCGGTTGTTAAGGGGTTAGAGTTCATATTGGACGGTGCAAAGTTAAAATTGGAGTTTGAATTTCCAATATTTCGTCTTCCAAGCTTAGTTTTGGCACTAATATGAGGCGTCAGAAATTAGTTCCCGCAGATGAGAATACGATTTGTTCACCAAAACCCCAACGGTGCTTTATCCGTAGTGAGAGAGAGAGATGGTATGATCTTTCTCTAGGCGGGCTGTGGTCAGATTATGTGGCTTGAGTCGATTGCATTGACCAAGGCTATGCACCGTTTGTTAAAGCTTATTACTCAACCGACTATGGCATGATTCGTTGATCCCAAATATTGGTCGTAACAGAGCGTAGTCAAGACAGTGAAGTATACAGCAGGTTTATTGTCAATTAATCGTGCCATAAAGTCGAACGCGTTAGGAGCCTACATAGTCCAAGACAGTCTAGGGACAGGCAATTTTCCGAGCGTTGGAATCGGCAGCAACCTTGGGAAATGCTTAACGTCCTGTACCACATGGAGAACCACAAAGTCGTACAGAATTGGTAGGGTTATTTTGAGTATTTGGTGGATGGGATAGGACCTATTCTTTACGATGATTCACGAAGTATCATGGTGGTTGATCAGAAGCGTGGGTATCCGTGAATACCTAGCAATTATATCTTTTAAACTCAAGTGTATAGCAGGGCAACCACTGTACCAAGGTGCGTGCAATGGCTGCGCTATACAGAGAGGTATATATTTGAAACAGAAATACCTAGATTAGGTATGCTCTTTGATCTGGAAATCCAGTCTCCACGACGATAGTTATGAACTGATCTAGAAGATAAGAATATAGCATAAACCGGACCAACGTACCGGGAAAGAGAACACCCACTTAAGTAGATGCCAATGATATGATCGCTCTTTTCATGGCTTCCAGGCAGTCGTATCAGAATACAGGCCAAGACGTTGCAAGCCAGTCGCACTGCATTTAGGGTAGCAAACTCTGTCCTATCATCCTTCCACGAGCTTATTGGAGGCCTGAAGATCGCCGCCTAGTAGATCCAATCTGCAGGTTTTAATTACCTGCATCTCGCGATGTTACTTGGACAGGGCTTTTCGGACTTTCCACATCAGGCAGCTTGAAAACACTTGCGGGTTTGACTGAATTCACCAGTGCAATCATAGTCCCCACCGAATACGACCCAAATTCCGGACATGCCTTCTGTTAAATGTTATTTAAATGGCTGCATCATGCCCTTGGTATGGTGCGATTTTTTCATATGAAATAAAAAAAGACAAAGGTGCGTTCAGTTGTATTAATCCACAAAATGCAAGTCTACAAGGTTAGTTCATCTCATGCTCAGCAAAACCCCTCATCAACCCCAAGTATGCTCGCCAACTCATCTCCGTTCAAGGTTGCCGCTGTCACCTTTGCTCTCTTCGCCAATGCCTACGCTGGTGCTGCACTTCGCACCCGAGCGGACAAATGCGTCGAAACCTGCGGCAGCACCTGCTACTGGCAATCTGATATCGATGCCGCCTTGAATGAAGGATACTCCCTCTTGCAGTCTGGCGAGACCAAAGACGACTACCCGCACCGCTACGAGGACTACGAAGGCTTTGATTTCGACGTCTCCAGTCCTTATTACGAATACCCAATTCTCAGCTCGTACAAGGTTTTCACGGGCAGTGATCCTGGCACAGATCGGGTCATCTTCAATGGCGATGGTGAATATGCTGGTTTGATCACCCATACTGGTGCTTCTAGCTACGACGGCTTTGTCGAATGTACCTCAGACTAAGAAAGTGATGATGGTGATTTTTTGGGCAAAATGGGAGATCAGGAATACAAGCATCGTATAAAAAGCAAGATCTCAATTTTGTGCCTATATATTGATTAGAAATATATATATATCTACTCTAACTTTCGGCTTTCTTAACTCGGCCACCGGAACGCCCACACAATCGCGTATATGACAGTTACGGATTATTCCAGAACCCACCCTCTGTGCCACATGCAACTTGACTAAGTTGCAACTTACGCCGTGACTGTTCTGGAAAACAATCATGGTGCGGGGATTTTCTGGAGACAGACTCCGAGGAATCCTCCACAGTCTGTATCCAAATCTAGAACGCACATGCTGCCGGCTCCGTGTCGTTTTCGGCATAACACAGCAGAGCTTTTCCTCCGCTCTCCTGATCCCACAAACTTTCCTCGGATTTTCTATAAGGATCAGGACTGCAACTAATTAGCCATTCCTGGCTGCATGGAGACTCTCACTGAACGCTGCCGTGTTGTTTTCGGCGTAGTGCTGAATAGTCCGCTTGATGCATTGGTATAATATTCACAAAAGATCTCGACTCACCACCTCCGATATTCCCCAGAAAATGCAGCCCATGAAGATTATCTTGAATCACTTATAGCAAACCGACTGCTATGGATGCGAGCGAGAAGTCCGCGGGAACCCAGCATCCCCCTGGCACCCAGCAAGTGGTGAGTTATGCAACAATCACTAAGACATCCTTCTTGTACTGAGAATATGCTTTTGCCTAGGAGGATGTCACCGTCCGGACCATGGTTGGTAACGAAAGCTACAATGAAGCATTGATTCTGGAACCACCTCGGCTTACACACCCAACTAGCTTGCTGCTGGTGCTCTGTTTGATGGTAGGCTTTTGCTGCCAGACCGTGAACGGATTCGACGGTGCGCTTTTCAGTGGTCTTCTTGCGAATAATGTCTTTTTAGGATACTTCCATGGTTCCGATGCGGGCATCTGGGCTGGCTTGGTATCTGCCATGTATCAGATTGGGGGTGTTTGCGCTCTTCCTTTCGTTGGCCCCGCCATTGACACATGGGGTCGTCGTGTTGGAATGTTTTTGGGCAGCTTCTTGATCATTGTGGGCACCATCGTGTGTGGTCTCACCATCTACAACCCAACTGCTAATCAATTCATGGGTGGTCGGTTCGTACTTGGCTTCGGTGTAGCAGTAGTCTCCGCCGCAGGTCCCATTTATGTCGCCGAGACGATTCACCCTTCTTTTCGCGGAATGGTTACGGGCTACCGCAATACCTTCTGGTTTATCGGCTCGATTCTTGCCTCTGGTGCTGTGCGTGGCTGTATTACTCTCACTACCAATGAGTCCTGGCAGATCCCTGTCTGGCTTCAAATGGTCTTCTCTGGTATTATCGTGTGTACTTGCTGGATGATTCCCGAATCGCCTCGTTGGCTCTACGTGAATGGGAAGCAAGAGAAGGCGGCTGCTGTTTTGACCAAATGGCATGGCCTGGGGAATCCTGAATCCGTATGGGTGAGGCTACAGCTTTCCGAGTATGAAGCTCATTTAAACATGTCTGGATCTGTACGACTCCCTCCGTTTTTGTTTGTCTGCCTAAGGTTGTTTCTAATCCCTTAATACAGGACAAGAGATTCTGGGACTATCGCACCTTGTTCAACAGTCGAGCCAACTTTTATCGTCTAGCATGCAACTGCCTCTTTGCCATTTTCGCACAATGGGCCGGAAATGGTGTCTTGACGTATTTCTTGGTTCCAGCCCTCAAGGGCGCCGGCTTTACTTCCTCTGTTACTCAGGCGAATATAAACTTGGGCTATTCCTGTTTTCAGTTCTTTTGGGCTCTTGTCGGTGCTGCGTGTATTGACAAAATTGGCCGGCGCCCAATGATGCTCTGTGGAATGGCCGGCTGCTCTCTTGTTTGGATCGGAGTGCTCGCAGCTTCGAGCCAAGTCGATGATTCGCAAGGAAGTGTGAACTCGGCCGCGTCTAATGCCACCCTAGCCTTTATCTTTATCTTCGGTGCTGTCTTTTCCTTCAGCTTGACGCCGCTTCAAGCCTTGTACCCTGTCGAAGTTTTGTCCTACGAAATGCGTGCGAAGGGTATGGCCTTCTCAGCACTGGCTGTTAACGCTTCTGGTTTGCTTAATCAGTTCGCATGGCCGGTCGCCTTGGCCAAGATTGGTTGGAAAACTTACATCATTTTTGTTATTTGGGATGCTATCCAAACTGTCATCATGTATTTTCTGCTTCCGGAGACCAAAAACAGAACGGTATGTTATCTTATATCCTCCCTTTACTTTGTCTTGAAAGACGGGGTCCTTTTCCTCCGAAGACAGTTGCTAACAACTCTGTAGCTTGAGGAACTTGACGCTATTTTCGAAGCGCGTAACCCGGTTAAGGAGTCGACGAAGCCCACCAGAGTTGCCGTTGACACGGACAACAACGTGCTAGAAGTTAAAGCTGACGCATAGGTTCGTCCATTGAGGCGTACTGTAACTCTCTGGTCTCATCAGCTCGACAAGATAACTAGTTTCGTCCCAGGCTAAGTTCGTCAAAAAAAAAGAAAAGAAAAGAAAAGAAAAGAAAGAGAAAAGGTGTATTTATGTTACTTTAGCCTAGCAGAGAAAGTATTAGTGAAAAAATGCGAAGGAAATGCAAAGATGAACTGCAAGACGAACTATGCTTTTCATTAAGACAATGGCAATTATTGTCAGTAAATATGAACCTATAAAACAAGCTAGGCGTGTGTGATGGCGAGCATTATCTATTCTATGTCCACGTTAAACAGCAGTGGTTGTTAAATGGCAAGGAATATACAATGTTACCCCGCGAGAATCATACCCCAGCATGAAACGGAAGCCCAGCATAAACTGGATAATAATCCGACAGCCGTAAGCCCATCAAACAAGCAAAAGGCGACTTATCCAGTGGCTCGACAAAAGCTATCCCCAACCCCAGCCGTTGGCCAGGACCGAATCGGGCAGCTCCAATGAACAGACCCCGTGTCTCTTTGGGCCTAGCGTCACTGCAGTATGTCGTATTTATAGTTGGTTGTCGTTCCAAGTATCTTGATCCGTGAGACAATCCTGGATTCGAGCACTAGCAAGGATGAGTTTCTCTGAACAGCGCTTGTCCACGGGCTGGGTATTCAAAGATGGCGAGGACGATGACGGTGAGGCCTGGATGCCCGTGCCGACAGTTCCCTCGGTCGTCCATCAGGACCTCATGGCGAACAAAAAGTTAGCCCCCAAGCCCCGTGTTTGATAAACCCTGTTGGCTAACATGATCTAGACTTGTTGATCCATATTTGGGATTCAACGAGCTCAAGGCCCGGTGGGTCAATGAAAGGACGTGGCACTACCGGCATGAGTTCCAGCGTCCGCAGGTCCCTGTCGGCGGCGCAGTTTCGCTTGTATTCGACGGCCTAGACACGTTCGCCACGGTCCGACTTGACGGCGAAACAATCCTCGAGAGCAGCAATATGTTTCTAGGTTATCGCATTGACATCACCAAGGCACTGGCATCGAAGGAATCCCACGTGCTGGATGTCATATTCGATTGCGCCCAAAGCAAGGCACGCCAGATACGCGATCAACACCCGGGCCACAGATGGGAGGGTTTCAATGGCGACTTGTCGCGTTTGGCCGTGCGTAAGTCACAATACCACTGGGGTTGGGACTGGGGCCCGGTCATCATGACAGCAGGTCTCTGGCGTGAGGTGCGCCTAGAGGTGTACTCGGCGCGAGTTAGCGATTTGTGGCCACAGGCGCAGTTGGCCGCAGACCACCAAACGGCAACTGTGACAGGAGTCGCTGAATTAGATGCCGTAACGCCCGGAAGTTATACCGCTCACTTCCACCTCAGCTTGCGTGGACAAGAAATTGCAAGACAAGACGTCCCTATCACGGCTGACCAACCGGCCCAAGCAACGTTTCAGGTCAACCATCCGGAACTGTGGTGGCCACACGGCTACGGATCCCAGACGTTATACGAGTTGTCGGTAACATTGACAGGTGGTGGAATAGAACTACATCGTGTCTCCAAGAAATTCGGCTTTCGGACAAGCGAGGTCATCCAACAGCAGGATAAACATGGCAAGTCCTTTTTTTTCCGAATCAACGGAGTTGATATTTTTTGCGGTGGCTCTTGCTGGATTCCAGCCGACAGTCTGCTCCCTAGCATAAGTCCGGAGCGGTACAGGAAATGGATCGAGCTGATGGTAGCAGGCGGCCAAGTCATGTCCAGGTAAAACTTCACCCTTCTTTTGGGCCTTTTCTTTTTGCATCAACATATTTATATCAAGGAACCGTTCTAATCTGTCAAGTGCAGAGTATGGGGCGGCGGAATCTATGAAGATAATGCGTTTTATGATGCCTGTGATGAGCTTGGTGTGATGGTCTGGCAGGACTTCATGTTTGGTTGTGGTAACTATCCAGCTTGGCCTGAGCTGCTGGACTCGATACAGCAGGAGGCTGTTTACAACGTACGGCGACTACGGCACCATCCGTGCGTTGTAATATACGTCGGCAATAACGAAGATTACCAAGTCCAAGAGCAGGTAGGGCTAACTTACAATTATGAAGATAAGAACCCAGAAAACTGGCTAGCATCAGACTTCCCTGCTCGCTATATCTATGAGAAACTACTGCCAGATGTAGTCGCCAAGTTTTCTCCAAGCACTGTATACCATCCAGGGAGCCCATGGGGTGATGGAAAGAGAACATCTGATCCCACTGTGGGAGATATGCACCAATGGAATGGTTTGTTTGTCATGCTCAATTTCCAGAGGCCAGTCCGTAGGACCTTTACTGATGAAGATTTGATCTAGTATGGCACGGAACACAAGAAAAGTACCAGATTTTTGAAACACTGGGTGGCCGCTTCAACAGCGAGTTCGGAATGGAGGCCTTCCCACATATGTCAACGATTGACTTTTTCGTCGAGAATGATGCGGACAAATTTCCGCAATCACAGGTTCTTGATTTCCACAACAAAGCTGATGGTCACGAGCGAAGACTAGCGACATATTTAGTGGAAAACCTACGGATGGCCACGGATCTAGAGGTGTGTTTTTATCTTTGGCCTACTTAAAGCAATACTCTGACGCCATCTTTAGACGTACATCTACCTTACACAAGTAGTTCAGTCAGAGACCATGATGTTTGGATATCGTGGATGGCGCCGACAGTGGGGTGATGAGCGCCATTGTGGCGGTGCGCTTCTCTGGCAATTGAATGACTGTTGGCCGACAATATCGTGGGCAATTGTTGACTACTTTCTGCGACCAAAGCCCGCATACTACTCTGTTAAAAGGGTGCTGAAGCCCTTGGCAGTTGGTGTACAGCGTGAGCATCACGACTGGAGTGCAGTACATGCACAACCCCCTACACGCAGCGCGTATACAATGTGGATTGCTAGCAGTCTGTCCAAGGTGGTATACGGGACTGTGGAGCTACGATTCATTTCGGTGGTAACTGGACATGACTTGCGTCCTCCAACTCTTTTCCAGAACGTCTCTATTGTGCCCAATGGCACAACTAACATTATAAAAGACGGGGTAATTGATCATATCGCTCAGCCGGAGCCGCATGTTCTAGCTGCGCGCTTATGGGTCGACAACAAGGTCGTCGCTCGAGACGTCGATTGGCCACAGCCATTTAAGTATCTCGACTTTTCTGACAGGGGATTAGAAGTAAAGCAGCTGCCTGGCCCTGTCTCTGGCCAGCAGGTTCTTCATATATCCTCTCGAAAACCAGTGAAATGCATTGTGTTTGAAGAGCGAGAGAATGTGCAACTCAGCGACAGCGCACTAGACATTGTTCCTGGGGATGAGCAGGTTATAACGGCCACAGGGGTCAAAAAAGGCGACCCTCTGCTCAATTTCCGCTATCTAGGTCAATAATTATGTTGGCAAGTATTTCTGGGCCTGATCAGTATACTCACTTAGATATAGCTTGACCATAGAATTTATCAATTGTATATTTTGGCACTATTATAAAGCATGTTCAACAATACATCGCGGAGAGTATTGTCTCAGTAGGAAGAGACACATTAACAACGTTTTGATGCGTGTGTTGTTCAAACATTGTTTTAATCTGGGAAACATGTATAGGAAGAAGTTCTGTTATGTGACGTGAGGAAACTCCAACATATTTTCTTTTCGTGACAAAGTATAAACTATGATTAATACATCATTAAATTCATAGAAATTAGCTTATTCATGTACATGAACAAGAATTTTTATAATTGACCCCTTTGATGGGCAGCTCCTTATTTAATTTGAATGTTGTCAATATTATGCCTAAAGTCTTATTGAGTTCTGGACAACAGGGAGATTTTTATAAATTTGCATATATCTGCCTCTGAGCTAAAAGAGAGACTGTAGTAAGAAATAGGCTGATAGATATACATGAAAGGGTAGGGTTTTGCTATTAAAACAACACATTCACAATTCACTTTTCAGTTGCAATTACACAAGGGGTACTGATTGGAAGAAAGAGCAAGAACATCATCACTGAACCTAGTGTGTGAGATAATCATTTCCTCCTCCTTTCCCATAAACCTAGATCGCTGCAACGTGATCGGTGACCAAACAAGTGTAGTCATCAGTACCGTAATAGATAGTGTAGTAATCATTTGGGGATTCGCCGGTACTCAGATCGTCTCCAAATTGCCAAAAGGTATCCGCACCGATACCTGAAGTGTCAAGCGCTGTTGCTTGCCATCCACCTTCTACGCTGCATTTGTCAGAGGTTACTCCATACTCCTCCGCAAGACAAGGCTTGCCTGCTGCTGCGCATGCGGCGCCATGCGCAGCGATCCAAGGACTGCCGAAAGAGTTTGAAACGCCCCCTTCACAGGGGGGTTAGCCTTCAATAATATATTGTGATGGGGGTGGGGGAAAAAGCTTACAGTTGGAAGGATAAAGATGGAAGGTGCCAAAGTCGATGGTATCAATACCTAGATTCAAGGTAAAATTGGTGCCCTCGGAATAACCGTAAGGGTAGCTTCCATCGGAGTCAATATCCAAGCCAAAACCCTCTGTAAACGACGTCAGTTACTTCTTATAAGTGAAAATTGAGGCAGAGTCACAAACCGTCTCCAAGGCACACCAGATGCGCTGAGTCTATTGACTTGATGAAGGCACTGGTAGAAGCAACCCAATCATGGATTACGGAGACATCGCAACCGCTGCAACGAGGCTCATTGGCAAGCTCCCAAGCAAAGATAGCCGGTGAATCAATGTATCTTGAGATGACGGTCTTGATATAATTCTGATAGGCTTCTTGGCTTGCAGAGTCGGTGTACCAGGACGTAAGGCTACCGCCGAATGCGCTGACGTATGCTTGCATTCCACCGTAATCTGACCAGTAGTTGACAAAGTTGATGATCAGCTTGATGTTGTGCTGCTCAGCGGAAGAAACCACGTAGTCTAGACGCTCCAAACCGTCTGAACCAGTGTTGATTGTCGCTTTCCCGTCCTGGAGCAGTTGAAAGTACACGGTACCACTAGAAGGAACCGTGTTGACGTCGTTGAAACCCCAGACGCGCATAATGCGCAGCCCAGAGCTCTCTGCATCACTTAGAACTTTATCAACGTCATCGTTGTCGGTCAGGAAGCTTAGCCAGTAAGCGTTGCTACCTGCAAAATATCCAGCAGTGCCGTCAATCGTGAAATTCAGTCCACTTGTGCCAGGAAAAGTTGTATCACTCCGTTTACGTGTCGCTACCGTGTTTACAGTCAGCCCCATTCGATCTCTTTGTCAACCTTTGAAATGCTTTGACTACCTGTATTTTGGATACCCGTGGAGTAAGACGCCACTTGGGCAACGATGAAACATGCTTGGATGAGAATACTGGTGGCCCTCATGGTGCTCAAACTCTCTTAGGTTCTCTTGATGTTGATTCCAACAATGGGCATGTTGTGGTGCGCTTTTTGACGTCCTTAAATATACATACAAACGCAGTGCATGATCCGCAGGAGTCCTCGGGGGTGGGCTGAGGTCCTTGACGGATATGGACACGGAATAGTCTGTCAAGGGAAATTTTACTCACTTGTGTTTATCTGATGCAACCATCTGTTTCATATTGGCTAGATATTTCTCAAGGTTTGCACAATTGTGGATGAAGATCGTCTCTGAACGAAAAAGTCCTATTGGTAGGGCTACACGAGCCAAGGGAAATTGGCGACCGGGGTACAGCCGAGCCTAGCCCTCTTTGGCACGGAGCATGCGGAATATTTCCTCATTCGGCGTCTGCTGGGTGTCGGCTTCCAACCCAGGTTTCAATTTTGCGGGGGATGCTCATCATCCATAGTGTAGGGCATCTATTCCTAGGATGGAATGAAGAAAGTACTGCGCGCTAGACGCTACCGGTTCGAACTGGGTGGGTCTTGTGCTGTTCAGACCTATGGCAGGGTAACTATCCAGACCCAGCAGGTTCAGAGACAAGCGAATACTATATAGAAAGAATGGATGTTTGTCGTTGGATATGGTAATGAAACACCGTAATATATAGCAAAGATATCCAAAATAGTCCCCGTTGCATGCTGCGTATAAGTGATGTTATACGCTTTCCCCAGCAGGATCTAAAAGGGAAATCATGTCATTATCAGAGTCCATATTGGGGATTCCTGGCCACACTCCGTTGGGCGTAGGCAAATTCAGATACTGCCACATGTAATGGGACCAATAATCTTCGAAGGAGCTGGCATTCTGATCTAATACCATGTCTTGAGCCATTTGCTGGTAGCTCTCCGAAGTGTTCCCCAGTGGTAGATTCTGCGAACCGAACCCTCCGCTAGTAGGGCCCATCGGGGGATCACGCAAATTGGCTTCGAGAAGGCGAGAAACAACCTCGCGAGAACGTCCGGCAGTGAGTCCGTAGGGCCGCATACGATCAAAAGTTAGTAAGGCTGTTTCGACCTGTGTTTTGCAAGCATCAAAAGAAACAAAGCAATCGCCGTCTGCAGAGCCAGCAGATAAACAAATTAATGGGACCATGGTGGCCTGAAATAGTAACCAGACAGCATTCCAACCAACAACTTGGTTTAGGCCGGTCGTAGATGAAATGTCCTGGATAGACATCTCAGCGATCTCGCAGCATTTCCGGATAGCACTGCATTCCTCGGCTTGAAGAGCTATAAATGGAACCTGCCGCATCGCAAAGCTTAGGAGAGCGGGTCGATAAAGTAGGATGCGTTGATTGTAAAATCGCCAGCGCATAACAGTTCGCACCGTGTACAGCGAGCCTGGACAAGGCTCGTAGTCCTTTAGGACTGGCGGTAGATTCTCCCACCAGTGAAGTAGTTGCGAGTCCATGTGGAACATATCCGTGTGCGCTAAGGTTGGAAGAGCTGCGAGAGAATCCTGTATCTTTGCGGCGATCTTCACAAATCGGATGTTTTCTATCAATGGAAGAATTTTCAAATAGCTTTCCTAGGAGTAGCTGTCAGAGAGACAAAATATTCTTGCTCGTAGCAGAAATGGAGTGAAGAGTGCACCTTTTCAAGTTGACGAGGGATTTTTACTGTAGTGCTTGGCCCAAAACAATCAATGCTTAGCCGGCCAAGAGTCTCATGGCCCCAGATCTCTAGACAGGAAAGCGACCACCAGATGCGACGCTTATGTTCCTGGTGGGCGACCCATGCAGGATCTGGCGCCTTATAATTGTATGGTTCACGGTGTAGGCCCAATGTAACCGCCATTCGCAGCGCAGCACCCATTAGAGAATATCCCAGATTCGGCTGGCTGATATAATGACAGTACCAACCACCTATGAGCCCTAAGGCCTGGACAACTTCTAAAGTGGGATTTCCCAGCGAACTGAGGTTCAAGTGACTCATTGAACGCTCAAAATAAGGTCTGTGGGTGTGAACGTCAGCGCCCGCGATTGCGATGGTGCCCAACGCAAGAACAATGTTAAGCAATGCCAGCCATTTGTCGTCCTTCCGCAGACCAGCAGAGTGGTTCCTACGGAAATCTGCTTCATCCAAAAGCGGCGAAAATGGCTGGAAATTGACAAAGTATGCGTCCAGAATTTGCGTTTCTGTGGACGGTAGGAAAGACTGTGATGGTGGTGACTGAAATGATGAGCCGGAAGGCCGGTGGCTTTCTCCTTTAGACGTAGGAAGAGCAAATTCTGACTCAAACTCCGGATGGAGCAACGCAATGACTTTAAACGCGGCCTGTATGGACGACACCCCCAAGTAGGAGGTGGGACGTAGAGCCGAATGAGAGAGTGCATTAACGTCGTCTGATATATGTTCGATGGAGACCGAGGTGCTCGTAGAATTATTTTCATCCAATTGCCGTTCTGGCATTGAATGCAATGACTCCAGTCCGGGCCGTTCCTGCGAAACCGCCGAGGCATGGGTTTCCACGGACGGTATATGCTGATGTTGAGAATATTGGGGTTCAACCGAGGTGACCAACTCTAGAAGCTGCTCTCTTGATAAGTGAACGAGGTCTTCTAAGTCAGTGCTTGGAAAGAGCATTTCCAGCGTGCCTCGGTAGTTTGGGGTGGCTGTCATAGATTTCTCCGAGTGACTATTTAATTCAGTTGGGGATGATTGTCTTGATTTTCCTATCACTCGTTCTTACCTATGCGACGGGCGTCGTTCAGGATAGAGACACATCTCAGGTGTCTTATACCATTGACAAGCCTCACAGGGCCTTTCGCCGTTGCATTTGATTTTACGACGACGGCATGAAGCACAGGCATGTGCTGTAGACTTTTGTCGGCTAGTGCGCTCATTCTGTTTGGCTTCTTTGGAATTACGGGATTGCTCGTCGTTTCCCTCTGAAGATCTAAAGGTGAGAAACATGATCACGAAGGATCAGATCGTGGCGATTCGTGCACGCTCTGGAAAGGTGAAAAGGAAACAAACATATGAATATGAAGTTGTTCTGAATGAAGGGAACTGCGGCCTAGTGCCAGATTAGGCTTAGGGTTGCCATCCCGTCACGTGCACATCAGTCAGGTGAAGCTGAAACTTATGTAATTTGGCGACTTGGCCCGATAAGCCCGAGTTTGCGTGAGTCTCCACCAAATGGAGCATCTCGAAGGAATGTACAGAGTGCTCGCTGGAGTGCAGCATGCGGGACTTTGCTTACTCAAGTGTGTATGACGAACGCAACTGTCTGCCAGCCAACTCGATGAGGCTCACCGGATTTCTTCATCAAGTAGCTCAAAAATCGGCTTCAAAGAATTACCAGGACTTGTCCGAGAAACCTCCCACTCGAGAATGTCAATGCTCAGATATGCTTTGGAGATAAATCGCGGTACTAGATCTAAATTCGGAAGGTCCCTACTGCAACCCTCTTGACTATTAGCAAGATTTGCGTTGATAAGCGTGCCATCGGGGTCCAATTACAATGCCCGAGTGACACGAAAGATAAAAGACTATGATGAATATCGGGCCCAAAATGATAAATACTGTGCTCGCGACTCTAGGAGTCCAATGTCCACCGACTGAATCGAAACCATGAAAGAAACCTCTGCCTTCGCGGCTGTCGCGCCGACACCCGTGTTGCAAAGCAAATATGATGGCGGTGACAAGGCGCTGGAGTTTCTGGCGCGAGAGAAGGAGGCCGGAATGCTTGTCGATGTTACTGAGACCAGAGTCCTGCGGTGGAAGATTGACCTTCGGGTCATGCCCATCCTGATGGCTATCTACTTTCTGCAATACCTTGACAAGACCCTACTCAATTATGCTGCCGTGATGGGAATCAAGAAATTCTTGCCGGGGAACGAGTATAACAATCTCGGAACCATCTTCTACGTTGGATACCTTGTCGCGGAGCCCATCACGGGGTACCTCATGCAGCGCATGCCTATTGGCAAGTACCTCGGATTCAACGTCTTTTGCTGGGGCATTCTTGTTGCCTGCCACGCAGCATGTCGGAGCTATGCCCCGTTGATGGTCGTCCGTGTTCTCCTGGGTGTTTTCGAGGCATCGGTGGCGCCAGCTCTCATCCTCATCACCGGCATGTGGTGGACAAAACCAGAGCAATCACGCCGCACAGGCTTGTGGTATATGCAGATTGGTGTCGCGCAGATTGTGGGCGCCGCTCTGTCCTATGGTTTCCAACACGTTCACTCGGAGAAACTAGAGAACTGGCAGATCTTGTTTCTTTTCATGGTACTCCCGCATGCTTTTCCAGCATACATTGAGAGCACTTGAGCTGATATCGCAATATTGCAGGGATGCCTCACCGCCGTGGTTGGGATCATCACAATCTTCGCGCTACCGGACACTCCCATGAGTGCCTGGTTCCTCGAGGAAAAAGAAAAGATCGCGGCTGTTGAACACGTGCGAATCAATCAAACTGGCATCGAAAACAAGCAGTTCAAGCCTTATCAAGTTATGGAGCTCCTGATCAAGGACAAGCAAACCTGGCCGTTATTTTTCATCACGGTACTGGCCATGATTGATAATGGCGCGGTCTCGAATTTCTCCAGCATCATCATCGCGACATTTGGCTTCTCCACGGAGCGAACGACCATCATACAGATGCCGTCTGGAGCAGTCTCTATCATCGCAACGTTTGCGGCTACGTATATTATCGGTGCGATTGGACAACGCTCTTACATGATTGCAATCATCACGCTACCCAGCATTCTAGGTGCCGGGTTACTTTTGGGTATGTAATTTCCTCGCCTCCTCCTGGAGAAAATATGGAACTAATCTCCCTAGGCCTGGACAACTCACACAAAGTCGGCAAGCTCATCGGGGTCTATCTCCTCAATTCCTGTCCAGCGATGCTGCCTATTATTTACAGCTGGAATTCAGCCAATACGAGCGGGTATACCAAGCGCGTGATGAGGAATGCTTTGACGTTGGTTGCCTTTTGCATTGGCAACCTGATCGGCCCTCAGATGTTCGCGCCAGGTGATGCGCCAAACTACAACCAGGCTAAGATTGCCCTCATTGCGACCATGTCGGGCGTGGTCGTACTCGCGATTTTCCTACGACAGCTTGTGGTATCTGACAATGCGAAAAGGGACAAGGAACAGGCTCAGTCCCCAACCGAGGAGGCTTCTGACCCTGACCTAGCTTTTTCGGACCACACAGATATTCAAAACCGGCATTTTCGATATCTATACTAAATTTCCTACATCTTGCTCTGGCTGCCAGGAACTATTGTGTAACGAATTTTTACTTCAGCTCTGTTGTGACATTTTGCGTTTGCATACCATAAGATCTATTGTTTGGCCATTATTGAAGTCTAGTACGAAAATTCCATGGTAAATTATAAACTAACAACTTATAACGTCGGATATGGCTCGAGATATTGAAGAGCAGCGAGGATGTTCGCTCAACGCCTTGAGCAGATGATGTCAACCGCGGTTGTCGATATCACCGCGTCAAGATTCTTGCTGATTCTTTCAGAATTAATCGTAACGTAGTTGGTAACGTAACCAGATGTCGCATATGCGCGTCAGGGCTAGCACTGACAACTAATATTGTACGAGAATAGAGACATTCTGACAGCGGATTATGACCGCTATTCCGAATACAGCATGTAATCCACAACCAACACCGTATTTCACAGAGGTGCACCTAATTGGCCAGAATAGGCATCGGATACGTGTCTTAGTTGACCCCTATTCTGATCATAAATATGGCCTCAAGTAACCCCTAAATATTCTCTTTAGTTAGATATGTAGATTATATAGTATTTTTAATACTAGCTAATATAGTGTTCTGAATCTGTTATTATAATAGTATGTCTTAATAGTATTAGATTTTACTAATTTAGAAAAGGAACTAATTAATAGGATATAAAAGCTTATAAATAGCTAAATTCTAATTATTGAAGCTATTCCTAACTTATATATTTAAGAATTACTGTGACGATGCAATGCCAAATCTATTTGGTCGCTAAACACGAAGAGACTAAACTAGAAAGAAGAAAAGGAAAGAATAACTATTAACTTCTTTCCTTTTACTTATACTTTCTTCTATTCTAGATACCTATAAATTATCTTCATTGTGTGCTGGTATTTAGTAATCTAGATTTTTAAAAGATTCTAATAATATAAAATACTAGCTAATAAAGGCTATTTATCTTTCTTAATATTATTGTCAGAGAATCAGAAACGTCACAGCCAATAGATTGGACTAGGTCCTACGGGAACTAATGCACGATGGAATAAAGGATTATCTGTAACCACTAGGGTTAGGGTAACAGAGCTAATAGAGCTGTTTGTTAGAAAATGGATATGTTAGATATATTTGTTAAGAATAGAGCTAGCAGAGCTACTTATTAAGAATTAGCTATAATAGCTATGCTGATGATAGAATATATAAAGATACTCTTTTATTATGTATTTAGTTTTATTCTATTATCTTAAATTAATTATTTAATCTTAAGTATATTATTACTTATAGATTAGTTAAGCTATTATGATAAAGCTTATATAATTTTTAGGCATCTGCTCTTTTAATAATAGAATATTATTAAACTGATATTTAGTGAAGAGCTTTACTCTTTCTAGATACTTGATAAGTATTGGTTTATAATAATTTAAGATCCTTATATTAAAAAGAGAAGTCTTATATAAGAAGCTATTAAGTTATAGTATCTAATGTATTTAGATCTTTTTTAATTCCTGGTAAGGCAAAGTAAATCTAGCGTGAAGTGGAAGAAGAAAAATATAATTTAATAAAATAACTTAAATAGTTGAAAGATTATATTAATTAATTAAGCAGTTATATCTAAATATTTGAGAAGTTAAATAAGGATTAAATTGATTATATTGAATAGTTTAAAGTTTAAATAATAGGACCCCTAGCTAGTATTATTAATATTAGTGAATAATTTAAAATAAAAATGCTAAAGCTTATAATCTTTGATAGAATTTAATTAAAGTTTAAAATATTTCTTGTTAATATAGAAATATATATTAATAAAAATAAGATTAAAGATAATAAATGTAAGATTATCTTTATTATATTATGTTTTGTTGGAGAAGTAGCTGAATAGATATAATTTATACTTAATAATTACTATACTACTAATAATAAGAATAAGTGGGATGATCTAATAAAAATAATTTTTATAAGTTATAAGAACTTTAAGATTAAATTGACTAAGGTATTTGGAAATATTGATAAGGTTAGAAATGCTAAAAGATAGTTATATTTTTTATGCTAAACTAGATTAGCTTAATAGCTTATAATAAGATTTAGATAAATTATAATACTATTAGACTATAATGATGATATTTTTATTAGATTATTTAAGAATATGCTTAAAGAAGAGGTTTAGTTTGAATTTATTAAGATGGATTAGCTAGATAAATTTAATAAGTTTATTAAAATAATAGTTAAGATTAATAATAAATTATTTAAAATTAAGTGAAAGAAATAAGAATTTTAAGCTTGGAGAAAATATAGTGGAATATTTAAAATAAATAAAAGAAGACTGTGAGGGTTATATTGAGAATAATGTGATTAAGATGATGATGTTATTATATAAATAAATGTAACTTTTACTAAGGAAAAAAAAGATAAATTAATTAAAAAGAAAGTTTATTTTAATTATAAAATATTAGAACATTTTATAAATAAATATTGAAAGTTAAAAAAAGTTTAAAGAATAGCTAATTAAGGATAATAATAATAGATTATAATAGTTATCTATATATATATTTTAGATAAGAGTAGTACTAAGAAAAAATTAGAAATAAATAATAAATTACTAGAATAATATAAATAAGAATAAATCTAAGAATAGATTAAATAAAGATAATATATAATGAAAGAACTTAAGAAATGAGTTAAAAAAAAAAAGATGAAAGATTTATAAGAGGTAAAGAGATTTATAAAGTAATAAATAATAATTAAATAAGAAGAGATATAAGAAAAAGTTTAAAAATAAGAAATTATATTAATAATATAATAAAGAATGATAATAAAGATGAAGAGTATTATAAGAAATATCTAAGATATAGATATCTAAGTATCTATAGCTATGTATAAGGATGCTTATTATAAAATCTTGAGGAATAATTAGAGCTATAAGATATAAAATGAATCACCTGAAGAAAGTTATTTTGGAGGTAGTAAATTAGATAATAAAAAAATACTAGAAGATAATAATGAAAGTATTAATTATGAGGATTTTTTACTGATTGAGTTGTTTTATATTTAATTAATGTTATAGAATAGTGATAAAGAGATGATAAATTAGCTAACCCTATATTAAGAATAAAAGAAATTCTACTTAGATCTCTATGAATGTATTAGAAAATAGCTTAATAAAATAATAAGTAAGTAGAATTAGTAAAAAGAAGAACTAAGCTATACAAAAAAAAATGATTATATATGTAAAGATACTTATAATAAGAAAACATATAGAAACAACTGTAGCTATAACACTATATAGTTTATTAAGAAAGAAATATAGAAATTATAGAATTAGAGAGATAATCTATATAATTGCACGCCTACTAAAGTAGTTTGCTGGGAAGAATCTTAATATATATAAAAAAAGTATATATAATGCTGTCTGAAGTGCTATGAATAGATTAATTAAGAATATTTAATATATGAGTATAATAATAAGATTCTAGTAGCAATTTATGAATGAATTTTAAACTTAAATGGACATCAGCTATATAATGGATAATTAGGATATGTATTAAATTATATCTGTATGCACTTTCTGAATCTAGGAGGATGTATGTATAATGAAGTTCATTGGACAACCTGTTATAATAATGAATGTAAATTCTATTATCTTAGTAAAAGAATTAACTAGTGGTTTCTAAAGATACCAGGTATTGTAATATGATTAAAATTTATATACTTTTAAGAAAATCTAGAATGCTAATGTGTGTATAAAAAAAGTGGATATTTAGTATACTTTAATCTACCTAATGAATAATGTCAAGTGATATTTTATTAATATTATTAGTATGGACTGTTTATGAGCTATTTGGAAGAATATATATAAGTAGTATAAAGCTATATAGATTAACATTATAAGAAGCACTAAATTATAATAATAATTAATCTAGGATACTGAATAATTATTATTCTGATAGAGGTTAATAAAAATAAATTATGAATATTACTAGACTTAGGAGCAATAGGAAATCATATAAATCTTGAAATTATAATAAAGCTATAAATTAAGTAATATGAAACAACACAATAGACTATTATTATGGGAATTAATAGGAAATCTGTAATACAAGGATATTAAATAAGGATAGAATTAGTACTCTTGAAATCAGAATCTTATATTATAATAATTTTATTTAATATTATAATAATAACTGGCTATAATATAATATTAGGAATATTATAATTATAAGAATAGAACCTTATTATTAACTGGATAATAGAAATAGTATTAATTAATAATAATATACTATAAACTAAATTAGAAGAATATAAAGAATTTATAAGTCTATAAGAGGGATTAAGGAATAATCTTTTAAAAATAAGACTAAAATAAACTATTAGCTTAGGTAAACTAGAATTATGAAAGGTAATATAAATTATTATTAAAGAATTAAATGAAATATTATAAGGGTGATTTATAGAAAAAAAAAAAGAAATTAGAAGTAATCTAAGATAAAAAGAATTAAAGATAAAAGTATTAGAAAAATAAAACTAATTTGATTAATATAAAAAATAGAGAATATATAGATATTAGAAAAGATATTAATATTGAGATTAAAATTATAAAAATTTTATAAATAGAAACTGAAAAAAGTACTTATAAAGTTACTAAAGAAATATTATAACTTTATTAAACTATTTATGAAAAAAGAATACTAATTACTAATATATAAGAAGGAATATAAAGTTAGAATATTATTAAAATTAGGATTTATATTATTATCAGTTAAATAATAGCATAAATTATAAGACTAGCTAAAGCTTAAGAATAAGTTTATCTAAGAATTCCTAGTAGTAGAATATATATGTGAAGGGTAAGAACTAGTATTAAGCTAATCTATATTTATGTTTAAAAAGGATGAAATTAAATAAATAGTTATTAATTATAAAGCATTAAATAATAGAATAATTAATGATATGAATAAAGCACTGTATCAGGAATAAAAGAGAGATTTATTATAAAAAGCAAAGA